ATCTACTTTGTCTCTGACGGAATAGCCTGTTAGCGGCGTAAAAATGATTTCATTTATTCACATACAAACATGACAAGCACTAAAATAGTGAAAAACATACACAGTTCGATGATTTGAAAGGCACAATACCACTATAACCGACTGCGAAATATAAACAAATGGAGAACAACACTCTTTCGGGAGAATATTTGACACTTTCATTCTTTAATGCGTACGATATGATAATAGTGTGTAAAGACAAGAAATTGCAACAATATTCAGAGACTAAAGGTGAAGGATATAAGGAAAAGTTTGCGCTCTAATTCAGACTTTGTGTTAAAAGTACACCAGAAAATGACACCAAAAATGGGGATAGTGTTGATGATGGTGGCGATTTTAAATACGATTAGATAATTAGAAAAATCTCTTCGCTCGGCCGGTCTACACACCTTCGTAAGCTTTCCGAACTATATCTTGGTCAGAAGTACGACTACCTTGTCGTATCAACTCGGAAACGTCCTCACATTGTGCTGAAGGGTACCAACTACAACTGATGGACTCAACTTAGTGAAAGGAACGTGAAAAGACCAGGAAGTAAAATCTATGATGGAAAGACTTACGTGAAAGCCAGAGTTTTGCGGTCGATGAAAAAGACGCCGTTCAGAGTTGTCGTAGAGTTCTCACCTTGACGTGAAATTTTCGATCCCGTTTAGGAGAGTGTGCAATACTGAGTTTTGAATAGCTATTAAATGGAAAGGCGGTAGAAGGGTGAAGCAAAAAGAAAAAAAACTGTTTTAAATTAAAACTGATGACATCAGACTCGATCTCATTCTCTACTTGGTGGTTTAGCTAAATAAGTAGTTAATGACGGCTGGTAATTTCCGAGCGAGAGCGAGTCAAATAAAGAGTTGTTTTCAGACTATTGTCAAAGGCTTAGCGCATTCAAACCAAATGGCTAAAAAAAAAAACTTAACTGGTGATGAGTGACAAACTGATCCTCACAGGATTTAAGCAATTGTAGAGAGTAATGCCCTGGGAAAGGAAAATATGAACTGCGGTAAGTGACAAACTGAACCTCTTGCCTAGCCTTCAATGAAGACACCATTGTCCTCTTTTATCACAGAATTTTACTTCTTTGGCTCTACTTTCTGGAAATATTTTCTTCCGTGATCAATTCATAGTTAATTTCTAATTTGTTACATTGATAGTTGTATAGTTGGTACAAAAGGTTGCATTTCTCATGTAACACGTCTGTAATGGGCTTTGATTGGCTTAAAAACAAGAGAAATCAACAAAAACAAATAAAAGAAAAGCTTCTTTTGCAGAAGTCAGAAATACGATGTGAGAAAATAACGGCCGATGCGACACAATGAGTTGGGTTTGCACGTACCTCGTCACAGTTAAGAGAGTATCTTCCTTGCTGAATTTGTGGAAACGTGGTTTGAAGCCGCGAAAAGTAATGACAACAGAATCGTGGGAAAAAAAGCCAGCGAATGAAACAAATCACTTGAAAGTTTCTAAAACCAAAAATGATTGAAAATACGAGTTAATTAGCCTAAGAGGGATGATAGCTACACTCGACAGGTAATTAGATGTACAAGTCAGAATACAAGTGGTCCATAACAAAAGCAGACTTCCGCATGAAGCGCCAATTTTTACTGAAGAGGAAGAGGAGGTGCTACGGAAGGCAGAAACTTTTGGTTCTAAAACTCTACACGCTCTTATTTCTTCTATGTGGTAGCTTTAAATGCTATCTTTTGGTTCCCGTGGCCGACAAGAGCATCATGGAATGAAATAAGATGATTCAACTATGAAAAAATGACGAAGGCGTGGAGTTCGTGCCGTTTACAGAAGGTCCAAAAAAGACGAGACAGGGCGAGCTTTAGAGTAAGAACATAGATTTCCAACCTGGTAGAAAAAGGTTTCCGGTAGCTCTCTTCAAGCGGTTTGTCCAGCGAGGACCTTTAAATATGCAATGGTTGGGTACTTTCTACCTCAGTGTCTAACGGAACCGAAATTTGAATGACAATGTCTGCTTTAAAAGCAAACCGTTGAGCGTAAATACAACAACGATGCAACGTGATGGAAACAATTGTGGTGGGTAGTAGCCTTAAAGAAAGGATGGAAAAGGTCACGAATCACTATGCAGGAGCCGGCCCATCATGAGCAGCATCGAGGGAAAACCAATTTCTATTCTCACAATCGGGTTTGAAGTCTCTGCGAATGCAGTCACATCTATAACGAGGTATCAAGAAGAACAGACCATAATGAAGACACTTAAAAACTGACAAGTTTCTCTCATGCTTGGCCGCTCAAAGCGCGCACCTAGGATTTGAAAGCGACGGTCGAGTTCTAATCGACGCTAAACTTTAATAGTCGAGTTCGAATCTGATAGACCAGTACAAGCCGGGCACTTTTGCTGATCACTGCACGATTAATTTTCTTCAGAACGTTTTTGGGTGGTTTAAAATCAATCTGCACACGCTTCCAAGCTTACAGCTGAATAACTTTTGAATGAAAGTCTTTATAAAGTTTGAATTTAACAAACACTGTAATCTGTTTCGGCCAATCATTTGGATGCATCTAAAATAAAATAGCAGCGTGCAGTGTCAAAATTTCTCTTATTTTGATCTTCTTTCTTCCTTTTTTCTTTTATATTATATTACTTGTTAATTTTTCAGACTAAAAATTGCACTAATCCAAGAGGCTTTTGTTCGTCTGAAAAATGTGTTCGTGCTTATTTAAACGCTTATTTAAACAAGCTTCAATGCTAAATAATGTGATTACCCATGCAAACCGTAATTCAATACATTTTGCTCAATTTAAAACTATATTGTTGTTCTCCCAATGCAGGCGGTTGGGCGGCAATCAGTTGAAAGAGCTATCACGTGAAATATTTCTTGATTTGTCTGCCTTGGAAGAATTGTAAGTAGCAATTTTTTCCAAAAGTTTTAGAGATATCACTATTCTGTACATTGCGTTTGTATGAGATCCACTGTTATCAACTGGTTTAAAACACAGCACTGAATTATTAAGAATAAAGCAAGTAATCTTCGCAAATTTGAAGTAAAAGATTAATATCACTGAACATCTAATGATAATGATTGGTCAGTTTTCAGCGATTAAAGTTGATTCTGTCAATTATCAGGAGTGGACCTGTCCTGATTGTGCCCGTATTATGTTGGAAAGGTTCTCACCGAACCGCTAGAAAAATTCTGAAAAAATGGCTAAAAGTCCAAAAAAGGTTGCCACCTAAGTTTCTTGATACTTTTCTATAAATATAAATTAAAAACTTTATTTTTGATTCCTCTCAATAAATGCTTACATAGGTCAAGAAAAATAGCTTGAAACTTAGCTTTAAAGAGTTTCTTGCAAATATGGGCCAAATTTATATAAACTCTTGAGTTTAAAGGAACGAAACACATGGCTCATTAGACGCTTTGCCGAACGATATGAAGGAAATTGAATGAAACTACCTCTACTGATTGCATTCTCAGAGTCTAAACCATAAAACTCTTAAAGTTTTCAATGAAATCGTTGGCTTTTTCGTGCTTTATATATGCTCTAAACCTACCTTGTTCAGAAAAATTGCTCAGAAAAGGCACGAATTGCTCAAGGTTGTTAGAACCACAAAAACTTGCTCCTAACCTCAAAAGGTGCTCAAAAGTTGCCGAGCGCAATCGGGACAGGCCTATCAGGGAATACACAGCCAGTTGAATGACGAGCTTGCTGATGTGCTGATGTAGGGGAGGGGTGGGGAGGGGGCAGAGAGAGTCAATCTTCTCAAATTTTTAACAAAAATTCGTGATTCTCTAATTTTAAACGTTGTCTTAAACATCAAACATCAAACACGTTTTCTGTTATCTTTAAATGAACGCACAATCAGACAAAGAATCTATTTGTATCCTAATGAAGAAACAGAAAGTTGTTAACAGTGATGTTATCTAGGGGGTGCCTCGATCAAAAGATCATCAGTTAGGACCAATAAAAATGCATATATAATTCAACTTATTGACAAATTTTTTTAAATTGATTCATCGAATATGGGTGCCTTGTCACATGGTGAATCAAACAGCTTGCATTCACATTTAAGTTTGTCGATAAACTAGCCTGCATACAACTGTTTTTTGGTATAATGATTGAAAATTTTTAGTCAGGTGTTGTTGAATAAATTTTGTTGGATAAGAAATACAGTAATCTTCGAAGGAAAGGTCAAAGTCGACACGTATCAAAATCATTTTCCTTATGCGGTTCAAATAAAGTCGATGCCCATAATAGTGGGCATAACATCTATTTATGACACTCGAAAAACTTATTTAGTTAAAGACATTTGACCCATTAGTTAAAAGTGTTTGTTAACTGCACTTTTGACAAGTTCTATTCACTTCGCTCCCCGATTATTTCATTGTTAGGGACTTGTCCTACAATCAGTTGCAGTTTTTGCCCCGAGGGATACTTAACAATAATATCAAGCTGACAGAACTGTAAGTAAAACTGATTGTAAAAAAAAAAAAAAAGCAAAGTTCCAGGTCCAATATAGATAATTAATGATGGTAGTCTTTAACTACTTGAAGAGTTTGCTTATTTCTGCTTCGACGTGATCCGTTATCGGCGGATGAATTGATTCACTAAGTGGGTTTTATTTAGGGTTAGAACTCAGAATGCGTTCGGTGGGGCGGGCCTACTATTAATTATTGTCTCAAAATAAAGAACTCTCAGTTTACTGCATGTAGCTATTTTTCACTGAGTAAATCTGCTGCATACATATTGGTGATTCCTGGCCACTATTTATGGGGCATTCAAAATGTCTCTATTCGCAAAATTTATATCTAAAAAGACGTTGCGGTATAAAACTGGTTGGCTCGTTTGGCTCTTGTTTAGCTCATACCAGAAGACTTAAGTAGCGGGCTATCAGCCAATTATTAAAATAGCATTTAAGTTCTTGAACTGTTATTTAGCTTACTGTTATCTCAATAAATACTCTAAGGGATTTATCAAACAACGAAATTCAGCGTCTGCCCATGGATGTTTTTGGCAACCTAACTCAGATGAAAAAGCTGTAAGTGGCATTCAGTACAAACTCCATAGCAAAGGGAATTATGATGTATAGTTTTTCATAGCGCTTGAAGTAAACATATGCATTATGACCATTCTAAAACTAGAGTTTTGTGGATTTAGATTTTTTTATTATTTCAAGATGTGTACTGCCTTTATATAATGCTAACTTTGGTGGAGTTGGTCATCGAGAACAATTGAAAAAAAAGAGGTCAATATTAAATTCAATTGTCTCACACAGCCTTTGCTTCACGTGAATTGTGACTATAATTTTTTCGCTAAGTAACCAGGGAACTCTGTTAAGATTGATTTGAGATGTAAGTGACTTATTATAGTTTGGTGCATCAGTACTGAAAAGTGATGTCATGCTATGAAAACGCCCATTTTAACAATGAACGCGCAAATGGTATCTTTTGCCTAAGTTCTCAGGATCAAGAGTAATCAGTTTATGTACTCAGCAAAAATGGGTAGAACTTTGTAAGTCTTCAAAATAGCTTTCCCATGAAGAAACAATTGGGTTTTATTTCATGCCTATTCGGAGAGAAGAACCTTTCCAAGAATCTCAAGTTCTATTTCAACCGACTTTTTTTTCATTTTATATATCACTCACAGCTTACTCTCCAGTAACAAACTTCAGCACTTGCCAAGGTTCAAAAATCTCTCCGAGTTGAAAATATTGTAAGTGATTCACGTTTGTGATATAACTGGCTCAGTACGTGTCTTGTATAATGAGCATTAACTTAAAGGTAGCGTTGGCCAAAACCAAAGGATCAGCTTGGATACGGACTATTTCTCTGGCATCTTCTTATGTTTAAGGATGTTAAATGATTGCGTAAAAAGTTAAATTATACATTCACTTTGGAAAGAGATACCATCAACTAAGAACCACACAAGGGTCAAATATTTAAGGTGATAAAACAAAATACAATACAACACATCTCGTACATTACTTTAATAGCACCCTCCCCTTCGGGCTTTACAAGGACCATACGCTAGAAACGATCGCTGATGATTGATGATTAACCCAAATCAAACTTCAATGATCAATTTTTATTTTTCTTAAAAAATGTATGAAATTGTTTAGCGGTTATCAAAACGTTGTCGTCAATACTGAGTTTATTTGGGTTTTAAATGAAAACACAGGATCTATAAATTTCAGTTTTTACCTAATTTTTTCTAGCAGCTTTTCCAGATGTTCCAGAAAAGGGTTGTTCAAGCTAAAAGTATAGAATTCCGGGTGATGCGATTAGAAATACGAGCTTTAACTCGATTGCAAAAGTAAATGGGCGCACGTCCGATCATTCATTTAATTTTTACAACAGCGTTACCAAGGTTTAACCATTGTTTACCTGGTGGCCAGCATAGTCCTTTCGGTGAAGGCGTAACACGATGGAACTTAATTGTTCTTGTCACAATGCGCGTGGCAACGTCTTGATCCAAATACATTCATGAGATGTTTTTTTCAGAAAGTGTTGGAGCACACTGATAAGCAGTAGGACAGTTTGCCGAATACCAAGGCTCCAATACGCTTTCGAAGGAGGTTTCCATAATAAGCATGTTTAATTCGACTGACTTTAATTAAAGATGAAACAGTTTCTATAATATAAGACAGGGTTTGGGACTAAACTAGTCTCGAGGTCCTCAAAAGATTATGCTGAGTCAAGGTTACTTAAGAATCAATAAGTTTCGCAGTCACTCCTGTGCTGCCAAATATCATTAAGGTCAATAATACCTCTCCTATCAAAGACTCTGTAATTATACCGAACGTCTGTTGCATTTTATTGTGTAGATACCTGTATAACAACAGCCTCGTACACCTGTCACCTGATCAGTTCCAAGGCCTGTCCAAACTGGAGGAACTGTAAGTAAATATTCGATGGAAATCATATCTGACTGCACATGTAACTATTCTTGACCAAATATGTACTTAACCAACTCAGTAGGGCGAATAGACCTTTCTTTCCTCCTCCCACCACTTTTTCCCAAAGTTTCGCTAAATTTTGAAGCTAGTGTACTTTGATTGGATGAACCTCAGAAACCCAAGCAGAATTCTGAAAAAGATTCTTTGTCATCCATCCAAGATAGTAAATTCCACCTCGGATTTCTTCAGAAAAAGACAGGAAAAGAAGAGAATTAGAGATGTAGCAATTCTCTCCCTCACCCCCGAAAAAAATTAACAGATCAGTGAAACAATACTTTTTATAGAAGTCCAAATATAAGCATGCGCTAAGTTTTGACATTTTCAGCGAGGTAACCGCAAACTGCATATCAGTGTAACTTTTACGCATCCCTGGCTGTGAGTTGTTTTTTTTTCACCTTTTTATTATGTTTTCAATATCGGATAGCTTTGAAGATATCGTAGGCAGAGGGCATTTAAGAATCAATGAAGATAAGAAGGAAGTTTATGTAAATACGTGCTTACCTCTAAATTTTTCTACATTTCTGATAATAATGATGTGCCCTCTATGTTGTTCTAGGGCTGTTTACGAAAACAATATTGACTACCTGCCACATGAAGTTTTTAAAGGCATGAAAAACATGATGTCTATGTAAGTATCTGTCTCTAAACTATCCTCTTATTAACGGTAACGAGGTATTGTAAAATTAGTAAGGGTCTCGTGAAGATGCAATCATAGCAATGTTAGGAATCTCCGTTATCTAAGACAAACTCCGCTGGGGAAGATCAAGAGACCCACAAAGCTGCACACCAAAAACATGGACAATCTTCTACCCCCGAGGACAGATCATACCTTGATCAAAACCATGTGTGATGGACGACGAAATATTTACGATAGTGAAAGTGAAAACAGGCTGACTAAGAGATCATATTTACTAGAGGTAGAGAGAACTACCAAAAGGCAAATCAGACAAAACCTTGGGAAACACCAGGTCTCTTTAACCACCAAAAACAAAATCCTGCTAAGGTATCCCTTCCAGATTCAAAACTGAGTTTACAAAGACTTCGACCGCGAAAACCTCTTGAGGATAGGTATGACAATACTCATGGGGTTATTTAAATTGGCATCGGCCACGCGGATAGAAATAGATCTGGAACTTAAATAGAGAATGTTTTTTCATTCTTGATAACTTAACTGTGACTTTGAAGAAGCTCTTAGTAATGTGAAAATTCGTAAAAATACTTATGTGACATTATTGTATGACCCATTGTCTAATGCACGGTGAGGTTCTTTTCTCGTTGCAGAACATTTTGAACAAATGGAAGATATTGCCTTCCATTCTTGGCTAATTTTCTGTCCAGTGTTGTTTTAATTTACGCTTTAATGCTTGTCAGTTGACGCTCTACGCTTTTCATTGTTTCATCGTTCTGTAGGAGCTTTTATTTCAACAATATCCGTACCGTTAGCAACGAACAATTCAAAGATGTCGCCCCAAGTATTCGATTCCTGTGAGTATGAGTAAACTGGTAATATTCCAGGTGTGTTCAAACTACTTCGAGTTCAAGGGAAACAGATATTGTTGGTGCGACCTTCACGTGCCGTAAACTCACGGATAAGCGCCCCTCCCCCATTTTAAAGGATGGACAAGTGATCATACCACTGGTCGAATTGCTTAGGCAGGGAAATTGGAGTAAACGATTTTCACATACATACTACCACTGATATACTAGAAGTTAGGATCGGCTTTGTTCACTAATACACAGTTTATACTTTTATTTACGCCCAAATGTTATACTCCTTGGGACGATCATATCTGGTCACAAGAAAAAGTTTGGGAAAAACTTAAGGAAGGGTCCCTCCGCATAAAGTACCCTCTCTGTAATGAGCGACCCATCCTAAATTCGAAATGAGTGCATCAGATACTCATTGCAGTATTAAAAGCATATCAGTATAACAAATAAAGTCACTTTGGCATAGCCTGTGTAAGTATATCGTACACACTCAATGACAAATTGCTCGTCTTCTGTTTTAGTTTTCTATCGAATAGTTGTTGAGAATTGGGCAGGAAAAGGAACAAGAGAGAGCCGAAAAACTGATTAATACATAACGGTTATAGGACTGAGTGGAGTCCAATTCGGTCTGTAATCATACAAGTGATCAGCAAAATCGGACGACCGCGAGGCGAGAGTCCGATTTGTTAATCACGAGTATGATTAAGGACAGAATTGGACGACAAGAAGTCCTGTTACCAATTAATCATAACCATTTGAATTTCCGAAAAAGCACTTAAAACAAATATCTCCAGTGGAGACAATGTCTTTAGTTAAAAATTCCTCCATTTTGGAAATCCCCCATTTTTCCCTTGGATAAGTGGTTGTTGCTGTGATTATTTTGATCATTTTCGTGATGGGCGGATTAGCTGAGTGGACTTAGTAGCTGAGTCAACTGTCCGATTACAGGTTTCTGATTACAGCCAACTGTCCGATTAAACTGTCCTATTACAACTTTACAGAATGATTAGTAAAAAATGAAGCTGCGGATGCACCAATAACATTTCAGGAATTTGTAATGGTTGTGATTAATAGGCTAAAGATGTCGATGTTATCAAGAATTAGCGAGCAAAGTTTGCCTGAATTGCTTTCCTTTAATTTGCAGGTACCTCCATTACAACGAAATGCGAGAACTACCGGAGGGTTTCTTTACAAACATGAAGAATCTAATAACTGCGTAAGTCAAGTGGAATGTTCTCCACGCGAGGAGTTTAAAATTGAAAAATTTCATTTGTCGGTGCTCAGTTATACTGCGCTTACTTTATTATTATTACACTTTCATTTTCTTACAAATTTAGATCCTGTGAGGGATCAAATTTGTCTTTTTTTTTCCCTTTTGTTGTTCATCTGAACTCTTTTTATGAACCGTAGGACTGTAGACACCAACCTGATGTGTTGCCATTTGACGAAGCAGGATGCAGATTGCGACTTTGCTTATGTCGACAGCTTTGCCAGTTGTGAAACTTTGTTCAGAAATCGAGCTCCCAGGGAGTGCCTCTGGGTGATTGGAATTATGTCGTTGGTTGGTGCTGTGTTTGTCATTGTGTGGCGATTGGTGTTTAGGGAGACGAAGAAGAAAAACAAGATACAGTCCATCATGTTGATACATTTGGCTGGGTCCGATGGACTCATGGGTGTCTACCTCCTAACGATAGGTGTGGTGGATGCCATTTGGGCAGGGGAGTATTATTTGCATGACTATTACTGGCGTTCAAGTTTGACATGTCAGGTAACAGGTGCCATTGCCGTGTTGTCAAGTGAGGTGTCTGTAATGACGATTTGTTTGCTCTCCGCCGACCGGATGAAGAATGTTCTGTTCCCCTATCGGGGAAAGTCCCTTACACTTAAGGTTACGCACCTTTTGTGCTTCCTTATCTGGATTGTTGGTGGCATAATTGCATTTATTCCCACGGTGGGCTTCGACTACTTCGGTAGTCGCCAGAAAGGTCATCACTTCTATGGCAGATCAGTTGTATGTCTGCCATTGCAGCTTTCCACAGATAAGCCGTCGGGCTGGGAGTACTCTGTTGCCATGTTTGTGGGTTTAAACTTTACCCTTGTGCTCTTTGTCGTTGTGGCATATGCGATGATAATCTATAAGTCCTGCGCATCAAACAGGCGCATGGCTAAACAAGGGACCGAAAGAGAGAGGAGAATGAAAGCCAAGGCAAGGGCAGCCGATCTTAGGAGGGAGGCCTCGCTCGCCAAAAGAGTGTTCTTCATTGTTCTTACCGACTGTGTCTGCTGGCTGCCTATTGTGGCGATTGGAATGAGGTCTCTCTTGGAAAAATCCTTCCGTACACCTGGTGACCTCGCAGTTTGATCGCAGTCTTTGTTCTGCCGGTTAACTCTGCCATCAATCCCATTCTTTACACCTTGTCTACCCCACAGGTACATGTGCTCATAACTTGAACGGTTGGAAAAGTATATATTCAGCCAATAAGTTAAATTTTGTATTTATATCATGTCTCTCAGATCACAGATCACATCTAAATTCGACAAGAATAAATAAGTGAAACACGAACCGCCAAGAAGTGTCTCACTGTGTATAATTTTACCGGATTTTTATATCAGCTGGTAAACTTGATTTCCGCCATTTCTGAGATCCCTTTGCCTCAGAACTCTCTTCTGTATGTAAAACGTGCACGTTTTCATTGTATCGCACTCGGTTTGAGAGTGGCTGGAAAGCTGCGCAAACGTAGTTTGCATTCCTGGGGAAATCAAAGACTCGAAGGGTTAAAAAACTGGTGAGGAAGCATTATTTACTGATTATAACCTTGTGTTTTGTTTCGATGTATTTAGGTCCGAAGAGTCATCAGAACCAAACTCCAACCGTTGTGGGATTATCTGATGGCAAAACTCGGCCGAAATCAAAATGTTGAAGGTAATTTTTGACACTTTAAATAATCTTTCATCATTCTGGGGAGTATTTTTCTCGTTCTTTAATTTTTTGGTTTCATGCCATAAAGTTACGTTTTAAACAGGTTTAAGAGCAGATATACCGTGGGTTAATCAATCAGATCGGCTCGTAAGCCAAGAGATACTTTTTGGTTACCCATATGAATAAGAAACAAACAGATCTATGTATTTAGTGGCGCGTGAGCTTGAATCTTTCATTTAAACACATAGGTTGACTCAACCTCAAATGACAAAAAAAGACGTTGCCTCATGAATGAATAATTTGTTATTGCTGATGTTTTGTCCGCTTGCTTGTATTTTTTCGTCAGTTCAAGATCAGGGAATAGAGATGAGAGTCATCGAAGAAGGTACGCACCATTCACTTCTCCACAGACTAAAACAAATTTCAGAACGCAATACCTAGCATTCAAAACCAAGAGCAAAACAGAAAAGCCAAAGAAAAGCATTGTTGTAACTTTGAAGCAATTCAGTTCGACCTTTTGCCATTATAAGAAACGCGTAAAAAAGTAATTTAGCCTCCAGTTTGAAGTTTACAGACAACCACATTTTGAGTCAATTTAATTACTGTAATTTTTCTTTATGTAATATGCTTAATCCTACTTTGACTGATTCTCAATTATTATTTAGTGGAGGGAAGACTTATAGATTTTTTCACCACTAACAATATTTCGCTTTTTGTCATAAAACACTCACATAAAAAATCGAAATGGGCTAAGAACATCGGCGACTTAATCGGCTGAGTCCAGTGCACCACATTTTTGATGTTACCACATTTTGTCGTCATATGTTATCTATGAATGAACAGACGCACGGCAACTTAGGCTACTTGTTTGGTCGACCGTGAAAAGTTTGCAAATAATGGTTTTAATAAGGTATCAAAGCCACAAAGAGATATTCGGAAAGAGTAAAAGCGGAGCGTAAATGATTGAGGACGGAGAAGTTACACGATGCGGTTACCAAATGCAAAAAGCACGGTATAGTTCGTTTTACAAATTTGGCGATTTGGCCAACTACAACCACCAGAGGAAACACTTTTTAACCTTATTCCCTTTTTGTGTTTATTTTATTGAACACAGTACAAAACCAAGGGGAAGTGGGGAGCACTGACGATAGTGAGGATGAATCGCAAGAAGAACAAGGAGATGGTGAGCACCATGCAAGATCAGGCGAAGACAATGAACAACCTTTTGAATCCCAGCAGGTTGAACATGAACAAGACGAAGAACCAAAACAAGGAAAAGAAGAAGCCACTGAAAAGCAGCAAGTTGAACGTGAACAAGACGAAGAACCAAAACAAGGCCCAGAAGAAGCGACTGAACAGCAGGAAGTTGAACGTGAACAAGACGAAGAACGAAAACAAGGCCCAGAAGAAGCGACTAAACAGCAGGAAGTTAAACGTGAACAAGACGAAGAACCAGAGCGAGGCCAAGAAGAACCCACTGAACAGCAGCAGGTTGAATCTAAAAGAAACGAAGCACCAAAAGATGACCATGAAGAACCAACTACAGAGCAGGAAGTTGAACAAGATCATCAAGCAGATTCAAAGGGAAACAAAGAAGTAAGTGAGACGCAACGAGGAAAACAGGAGCTAAATGAAGCCGATGAAAAACCTGAGCGAAAGCTGAAAGGAGACGACCAGGAATCCAAACAACAGGGCACTCACCAACAAGAAGAAAAAGAACCGAACGTCGACCATGCAGGGCCTGATGAGCTAAAGGATGCAAGTAAAGAGAAGAACAAGTCGAAAAGAAATGAAAACGAAAGTGAACAGCAACAAGAGGAAAATGAACAAGATGAGCAGGAGAAAGAAGAACACCCTGAAGAAACCGAAAAGCAGCAAATTAATTGTGATCAAGAAGAACGAGAACAAGACCATAAGGATCCTAAACTCGAGAAAATTGGACAAGAAAAGCCAAAAGGAGACGATGAAGATTCTAAGAAAGAGCAACTGGATTATGAACAACCAAAAGAAGACCATAAAGAACCTATGAAAGACCAACTGCAGCAAGAAAAACGAAAAGGAGAGAATCAGGAACCTAAACAAGAGCAACTGGAAACTGAAAAGCCAAAAGGAGAGTATGAAAAACCCAACCAAAAGCAACTGGAAGACGAGAAGTCAAAAGGAGCATGTGGGGACTCCCCACAGCAGGCTGATGAGCCCGCGGAAGATAAATCTTCACGACAGCAGCAGCTGATTGCAGACGAAGGTATGTTTTGCCACCCTCCATTTTCGCCAAAATTCAAAGTTTTGGAGCATTAATTTCTCGTTTATCAGTCTGGGTAGAAGAAATATATCTTCATTACTCCAAAACTCTTGGTTATTTGTTTTAGGCGACAATGTTAACTAAAGTATCATGATAATGAGTTGCTTTGTTATTCAACAGGAGATTACGAAGAAGATGATGCGGTACTGGATACACGTCTGTAATTGCTAGCATTGACTCATCAAGTGTTTTTTAGTTCTAGTTATCGTTTTAGTAATAAAAAGGTTACATACCGTTATATCATTAAAATGACGCATTTATTTAACCAAGAGCATTAGAGGATAACTCATATAAGGTATTACAGTGACTAGTGCGTGCCCGCAATGTTTGTTTTCATTTTTTGATAGTCTGAGTTGTCGTAGACAAGTACAAACAGCTACAGGAGAAAGGAAGTTAGTATGGTATGCTAAATAGATAATCGTGAAAGCATATTTACGGCCGTGTTGCGTTTCCAGTGTCGTCAGAAGTTTCCGCAACTGATTTTATTTCAATATGATTAGGTTTATTAGTACTTATAAACATGATTTAACTATCTACTCAGCATTCAGTTGCATCTATTACTCATTATTTATTGACTTTAGTCCTAGCATGTTATTTAGTAGGTGGCTTAATTGTTTTTACAATGCTACGCCACTAATCGTATTTACTCCACTGCACACATATATCAAGTGCACAGGTCAGATAATGTATTTTCATCTGGCTCCTTTATTTATTCACCTTTGTTGTTAACCTACGATTTAAGTTAAAATTTGGTAGAAGCTTGCACAAAAATATAAGAAAAAAGTATCACAGGAGTGAAACCCAAGTGAGAATGTTATAAAAAGTGTGAAATGTTTCATAATTTATTGTCAAGCCATTTAGTATCTAATTAAAAAAAAATTACAAAATTTTAGCTCTCACTTTTTTTGTCTTCTAATAATTGAACCATCCTGGAGTTCAACAGCGTAAACAGTATCTTATAACTGGAAAATCACCTTTGATGCTGGAAATCAATTCAGTTGCTGCAGGATTGTTCAAAATAAGTTGAATCAGATTGTCAGTTGACTGATCAACCAATAATACGGGACGTGAGAACCAGAGAAAGGTTGTAGTTCAAACACAGAAATGGTAGGAGAAGTTGAACGTAAAGATTCCGTCAACAAGCTTTCTTGTATCTCCATAAATTTTGAATGAAGATCATGCACTGTGGTCTCCTAGAGTCAGTGACAATCCCTGGCTTAATGTTACTTCTGCCACCAGGATCCCGCTCTTCCTCACGTGTATACATATATTGTAAGCGCTAATATATGTCGCAGAGTTTGTCTTGTATTTTCTTTTGGGTAGAAGCAACGAGGAACCCGGATTAATAAACTGATATAGTTTTTGGGTTTGGTGGAATCGTGGAAAAAAAATAAAAAATGTTTTAATATATAAATATTTCAAACTTGGAACGTCAATGCCTCGTTAGCGCAGTAGGCAGCGCGTCAGTCTCATAATCTTATGTTAGTAATCTGAAGGTCGTGAGTTCGATCCTCTCACGGGGCACGTTATTTTTCATTTCTTTTTTTTTTTTTTTTCTTATTTCTCAAACAGACCTGCTTGCCACAAACCATGATAAGATACACAGGAAATATTTTTATTTTCCTTGCAGCAAAATAATTGGGAAGTCCTGCAAACGAATTCTGGCCTCAAGATCGATCCCATGAACGATTTTCAGGTCACGTGGCTAACTGCCAAACCTCATGCAGGCTTCATAGAATTTATATTACAAGGATGATAATTGAGGTAATTAAGCAGGACAAATTGAAAGGTATCACTTCAAAAGTTTGCTTGTAATTATCTCTTACTCCCTGGACTTCACTGTCTGGTTTCCACTCCCCACAAAAATCGAACAGAAGTAGGTTTCCATTCCCCGCAAATTTGAACAAAAGAAGTAGCGGAAAGTGTGAGAACGAGATGACGGCCGGTTTGTTTTGTCTCTCACCTGTATTGAGCGATACTAAAAGCGATCACTTAAAAGCGTAACTACTCAAAGTCGATGTTAGCACTATTTTTGAGCGAGTATTGGTGGTCAATTACGGCATGAAGTGCCTTTTTATCGTTTTTAATATCCAAGTTTTGGGACCTGTATCAAGCTTTCACCTTGCTATTCACCGTGGCTGACCTCATAATGCAGGTTCGACTGTACTTCATAGCGCGACTCAAAACCAAAGTTATGAACGATAATAACGCGGCATAAGGAAAAAGAGAGTTCATTTTATCTTAGACCGTAAGTTAACAGTGTGGCGTGATTGTTATGTTCTGCATCACTGGTTTTCTTTTGGCTAGAGTTGTTCCTTTCTTTGTCTCGAACAACTCATAAGCCCAACTTATTATACAGTGAAATAAAATGATGCAAGTCTTCTTTCTTACAAACTACCATGTATCCTAATTGGAAAGCTAATCGGTGCGACAAATTTGTGACAAACAAAAACTCCATATGAAAATGAGTGTATTGTTTAGTGAGCTGAATAACTTTGGTTGGTTTAAAAATGAATGAAAATAGCTGCTTGAATTAAGCAACCACTTAAGACTCAAAACCTGTCTTTGTCCTGTCCTGTCAAGCTTTTGCTGGACAGGCCACGTACTAATCAGAAATCTACATCCTGTACTTTGAGCGTTGAAAGAGATCTTTTCCCTGATAAATATGATGCAACTGTTCTTGATACAGCCGACTGGAATCTACGATTCGAGGTGGTGCTTGAAGCACTGTTGCACCGGCTAGACAGCGCTGACCTTGATGGAGAACAGCGACCTCCTTCGGATCGCAGGTCTTCATTGGCCCCCATAGCTACGACAGAGATCTTTGGCACCATCGGCTCGTCGGGTTTCTTCGTAGTCCTCTCCAGGCCGGCACCGAAACGAAAAGAAGAGTCGGGGGACATTTGCTCCGCATAAATGGCCATTATTTTAGTAAGAAAAGACACCGATGGGGAATTATAGACACTGAAGTGTGAATACCAGCTGTACTCGTCGTCCACAGCAACATTCTCCGAAGTTTTTGGCGAAGGGTACGAACGATCATGATTGCGTGTTATGGAAATTTCTTTTGATTTTCGGCCAACAGCAGAATTTGGATACAACTTTGTGTTGATATTTCGACTTCGCCGAATTGTATCCGCTCGAACGGAAGTAGCATTTGACACTGTATTTATCACCCGACGCGTTTGTCCTTTAGAATTTGCGATTGCTTGTCTTTCAATAAAAGATGTTTTAGTGTTAAATGAGCAACTGAGTTCACTGATGCCGTCTGGGTTAGCGTCATCCGCCCCCCTCTCTAATTCTGTTGTGGCCAATTCTAATACTTTCTCAACTTCCTCCTTGCGTGATATCGGGTGTTTCATAATTCTCTCATGCCACGCATATTTACGCCGGCGGGCATACTGAGACTTTTCCATGTGTTTGGTGTCTACAGTCACTAAACTTGCACTTGAAACTTTTCTAGGTGAGCTCGTCTTCCTTTTCAAGACCCTTTCGTTGTTTGAAGAAGATTTCTCGCCATTCGAAGTAGGGGTCTTCTTTGTAGGAATGTGTTTCTTTTGAATATTCCGGGGATTAGATTGTTTCCTCCCAGAAGAGTTGCTAATCGCAGCATATTTACTTTCCTCGACACCTCGCACCCTGCCGTTGTAAGATTTCTCTTCTTTTACGCTCATAAAATCCAAAAAGGGATTCACCTGAATATTTGTTGACGCATTCCCTTCAGTCAACAGGATAGTCGCACACTCTTCATTCCCCAGTCGTTTGGCCTCCAAATAAGGTGTTCTGTCTTCGAGATTTCGAACATCTATGTCAACTTGAAACTTATTCAGTTCGCTAACTATAAATTTCACTAAAGTGGCGTTACCTGTGCGAACGGAGTGCATGACTGATGTGTTTCCGTCGAAATCTCGTTGGTTCAAATCAACGTCCTGTTTAGCGACATTAACCAGTAGTCTAACAATATCTTCTTTGTCGTCGATGCAAGCCCTAGACAGCACATGTCGGCCCTTTTTATCAACGATGTTTACATTCGCACCGTGCTGCAACAAGAGTTTGAGTAAGCTGTTACGTGTGCGACATTTCTCGTCAGGTAACTGCGCGGCATGCATAAGAGGAGTCAAACCCTGTTCGTCCACAAAATTCAGGTCCACTCCGCTCTCAATAAGGTGCCGAGTTTGATAGATTCTCCCGTCGCAAATCGCTTCTTTAAGTCTGGTCGTAGTTGGATTGTAAAACGCTGCTTTCATGGTGTCTAAAAGAAACTTTTCGCGAGTTTTGATCTCTTGTCGGTCCAATATAGCGCTCTTCGATACAGTTGCTACACTGAGTAGCGTCAATCGAAGCAGAAAGCTTTGTTGCCTAACTTGTTGTGGTTAGCTAACCTTTGTTTTTTTCATCCGACAGTTGCCAAGGGAATAATAGACCGCACAAGAGGCATTCCGATACGCAACGATAAACCTCATCAAACAAAAGACGTTTTCAGTTTTATAATGAATTTAGATGAGTTAACTGCTGGGTAGCCTAATTGAACTTTTGTAAGCTAAAACAACAGCTCATCATAAAACATCGGGTCATTAATAACAATCATATGATGTTTAATTTAATATTTGAGATAACTTTTGTCCTTATTGAAATCTTCTACCCTATTGAGTAAAAAGAACTGACTGAAAAACAATTTAGGGTCTCGTAATAGAAAATTATCTTCATGACAGGATGAACGCAATGAACTACGTAAATGTAAATTGAGTTAATGAATCATAAAATTGAGCTGGAGCGAAACCCTCCGTAACCCGATTTCGACCTGTTTCTTTTTTAATCTTTATAGTTAATCACTGAACGGGGCCTCAAGAAGACACGTAAAAACCAGCTTGTCAACTGAGAACTGAAGCGTTCCTGTGAAACGATAGTAGAATTCACCCGCTGACCACCAAAACATTGTTACCACTACCGTGACTATATTCTGCGTTAAAATCTTTGTGTGCACTCCAAAATGAAGTATATTGCGCCCATCTGTCTATTTTGACAATGCGGGAGGCTCGTTGACGACTAAAGATCTGACAGACAGACAACGTGATTTTCAGCATTCAGGGGCTAAAAACCTCTAACCAAATGATAGAAAACTCAAAAGAAGTAATTATAAGCTAAGCATGTCAGACGAAAGAGCCAAACATATGAAACTGGAATCCAAACGCAATTCAAGATGGCTGCTTTATTTTTCTTTTTGAGTCGTGCTGTGCCATAACTTATGACTTATCTACCTTGAGAACAACTTAAATAGTTCTTTTTGAATATCACTCTTAAAGAAGGAATAGAGAACTGGATTGACAGCAGTGTTGGCAATCAGCACCAGATAAACCATATATCTGAGCGTCCCTGCGAAGGGACATAAATTAGTGAGAAAGCAGAGACAGCGGTAATTCCCTCCGAGGTACGTGATATTGAAGGCGGTCATCACCAATATGATCAAAACGGTGGAACTCCTGTGTTGCACTCTGAATACTGCAGGTCGCTGGATGTTCTGTCCACTCATGTTCATAGCATGGTTGTGGCGGACTTGAGAAATCAGTTCCCGTGTCTGGCGGTTGACTTTCCAGGCAATGCGAAGGAGATGAGAAGTCGCAGCGACAAAGATAACGAGGGGCAGAATCTGGAAAATGAGCACTCGGGATATTTCCACGAACATGGTAAATGTCGGATTGTGATTGTAAGTGAAGATGGAAGGCAAAAAGAAGAGTAGAAATGGGCCAGTCCAAGCCGTAATAATCATTGCCCAAACAGTTTCTTTCGTCATGTAAGACATGTACCGCAAAGGCTTTGTGATGGCAAGGAAGCGGTCGACCGTCATGGCGAAGAGATTGGTGTTGGAGCAATACAAGAAGGCGAAGCTGACCTTGAAAAAGACACCAGCATGGGTGAGGTCGACGGTGTAGAAGAATTTGGCGCCGAACAGGGGTGGAAAGAATGCTAACCCTGCACACAGATCGGCCACAGCCAGCGATAAGATAAACCAATTGGCGGGGGTATGGAGACGAGGTTTTGTCATGACGAGGTAAATCACAAGACCATTGCCGATCACAGTAACTAAAATTAGAACCCATCCACTCACCCAAAACCACATATCAGGCATGTCAACTGATCAAAAAAGAGCAAACAAAAATGATATAGAATCTCAAGATCTTGCCATTTGTTTGATCATTTCGTTGCGGAGAATCATATGAAAATAAATATTTCCACATTTTTGTCATGGTTCTCACTTCAGCTGTACATACTGATTATCAAGATAAGTGGAGCGGACTAAATTTTGCGTAAGAACTGCTAACTACCCGTTGATCGCAAAAGCTCAAAGCTGTACCGTATAATTTGCCCAAAAAAACATTTTTTTTTAGAAATAGGTGGAATATTCTTCTAGAATAAAGTCATTCCAAGTGTGTTTCATTTAAGGTTTTGCACAATGTTACAGCCAGCATTATCAACGAGGTATTTTCACCCGCATCAAAATTTGTCCATGGTTACTAAAATCAGTCCCGAGCAAATTTGAGAATCATGCAAGAAGGTTTGAGTGTATGGAAGGCGTTCGAATCTGACAGATTAGGCTAATTCGTTTCAGTTTAACACGAACTTTTTACGCAACCCTGGAACGCCTTCAATTGTTTACACATCAGAAAGGAAGCCTTTCTCGTCAATTTTTCCTTGAGGAAAACCTACCTGATAGTGCTTTTGATTAAAAAGCTGGCTGATTTCTGCTGTTAACTGCAAAATTTTGCTCTGCGACTAACTTGCGGCGGCTAATTTCGCACTTTTTGGGGGCATTATCAAGCGAGCTTCACAGAAGCCGGCTTACTGTGATTTCTTCTCTCGCTATCATGGAAATTTCGTCACTTAAGTCGTGTCTTAGTGAAAACCAATGGAAAATCGTAAAAATGCAAACGACTACCGAAGGTGATTAAAGTTTTCTTTGAAACGCAATTGCGCGCGGTGTTCCATTTAACAAGGCTTAGTTATTGAACTGAGTAACTGCAGTTTTTAATAAACTGTTAATTGATAGTAAATTAAAATCTGTCGCGTATTTCTTTGAAAGCAATCGAAACACGCAGCAAATTGGCCGTCATGTAAAACGGTTTTAATAAAATTTTGCGTCTTTTCGATCGAAGGTTCAAGATGGAACCATTCCCATAGAATATATCTATTACCTTTCCTCGTTGAACTTAATTATCTTTATCATTCTTACACAGAGGGACGTGCTCCTAAGACGCTGCAGATCTGTAATTGACACCATTATGGTATACCTAGCTAGTCGATATCTTCAACTGAATAAAGAAAATGCGGTTTTTCAGTTTTGGAGGGTCCACTTGAAAAGAAAAATTGATCAGAATAACAACCAATGTCGGTTTCAACTTTAAATGTGTGAGTAGCAAATGAAAATCTATTGCATCATTGACTGAAAGTCGCCGCAACCAGTTCAGTTTAGAATTGACCGTAATTTTAAAGCAATCTGCCAACTCTGTGGCGTCTTTTCGATCAACGTAAACAGTTTTCTGAATTTTCAAGGTTTAATTTCAATCATCACAAATAACCTTCAACTTATTTCGTTTTGTTTCTCACTGAAAAAAGTTCAGTTATCTTTTATGTAAAATTTGAGCTATTACCTAATGCATACTGAGGTCTGCGTTTCGGCATCCACAAGTTTCAGATACCTTTTATCTTTAACTTTTAAGTAGTTATCATAATGATAATCAGTATTCAACTGAAATACCAATCCTATTATCATGGTAAAAATTTGTTCTCCTCGTCAAGAAAGAAACGCATCGAACCCAACAAAATTACGAACTTTGTTCATTGACAGTTCAGTGAGGAAACCATATAGTCAACAATGATATCAATTCACCACGTAATAATGAAACAATTTTTTTGTGTTTCTTTACTATGGTGCTCGTTTCGAAATACGTCATTTCCATGTTAACTATAGCTTATTAAAACCGGCTGTATATTTAAAGTCAATTCTGTTTAGGCCTCCCAAGGTGAGCTTTCCAGATTATTTACTTTAAAGAAATGACACGTCAGCGATGTTTACTTTTCAATTAGCTGCGACTCAAAGCACCAATCGGGTAAGCTGTCTCTTTGGTCATCCCACGGTCTTTGTTTCGACAGCAGCTGTGTCTTATTTCTATTAGAAGCCGACGTCTTTTTCTCTCCTGATAAAAACTCCAATTTAAATTTGCCAATTTCACGGTTGCATGAAAAGGCTTGATTACCATGCGGCTTTGCTTTAAATTTTGTCTTTCAGATGAACGCCGCTAATAAGCGAAACGACGACCTCCTTACTACAACGGAAAGCCATTTTGATATCAACCATTTCTAAGAGCTTTTTCGTAAACTTCTATTTTGGGCTGACGATCTGTATCCAGATAAGTGTTTGTGGTAGGCCTAATTTAACAGAAAAAGTACTGGTTTCAAATTACTTCGGCAAAGTTTGGACGGGACCTACGTAGACTGCCTTCCTTTTGATGCACACGTGAGTAGTGAGCGTAGTGCATGCTCTTTTAAGTGGTATCGGTTACTTATTAATCCCGTTACTCAGTTGAGAATTAAACCTGCGCACAGTTCCCGAGCATAATATCAGCTTGTTTACGAAGACGGTGTAAAAGCAAACTTTCAAGTCTTAGCTCGATAACCGGGCTGGGGTATTCATAGGAGATCATTTCAACCACGGTTACAATCTTGCTGATCAGACTCAAAGGCCTGACGGTTAGTGCACTGGACTCCGGGTCGAGAGGCCTGGGTACGAGACCTGCTCAGTTCATCGTGTTATGTTCTTAGGCAAGACACGTGACTCTCGCAGTGCCTCTCTCTTTGTAGGAGTATAGATGGGTACCTACGAATTGTCAAAAAGACGTGACGAAATACTGGGGTTAACTGTGATGGATTAGCATCCCACCCCCTTCCCTGGTTCCTTCATGCTACAGAAACCGGGATAAATAAAATTCCGGCTTAATGGGCCACTTGGTCGAGGTTCAGACCACTTTCCTTTTCCCTTTTTTAACCAGGTTGATTCGCCTTTTTTTACAAACGAACTCCCTTTACAAACCTCTCTTTCTTTTTTACAAAAGAGAGAGGCCAGGCGAGAGCTCGTAATCCGCCTTAGCCTTTGTTAAACTGCAATCTTTTTTTTTGTAGATAGAGGGGGGTATCAGATTACGGACTTAGAAAGCAATTGAAGTTCACAATCTTGCTACAAGCTTTCTTACGATTCCAACCCTTTTGGGAACTAACCTTTATTATGCGCATGCGCCACGATGCAGGCAAGTTTTCTGCCAGCGGTGACCACTACCGTGTGGACAAGGAAATTTTTGTCCGTTTCTTAAACAGAGGAGTTAAACTTTTGCCGAAATTCCTGAATGAAAATGATTTTTTTTTTAATTTTCTAGCAAACAGTGAGCGGGGCGTTGGTCGACATACTGACTGACTGATTGGAACATTCAATTTCAAATTGCAAAGGATAAAACGTTCCCTAAGCGATAAAACATTGTTATGTAGACATATTTAATTCTGCAAGGTCCCTTTTAAATTTCAAAAGCAGCTCATAACCGCATCACTGATCCTTGGAATTCCTTCTTAACGGATTTTATTAAATCTTTTTTCTTTTTCGTTTGTGCGTTTCAACTTGAGATTTAAAAATCATCTCCGGTAATCGAAATGAAAATCGTAGTGAACCGACTTCTGTTTGTTGTATCTGATAATTTTCACTTCGCACTTTCCACTGAGTCCTTCGACGCGCGCATAGCCACTTGGGTTGAGCCCTCGATCTCTTCACGGTTGATTTGACGCCAGCGGCATTGTAACATAGCCTTAAAGGTCCTGCGGAAGTCCTTGTTAAAAGTTCCATAGATGAGTGGATTACAGCCAGAGTTTAACATGGAGAACACTTCCGCTGCCTCGATAGCAAGAGAAGAGACACAGCTATGACATACACAGTAAACGATGAGCATGACATTAAGCGGCCCCCAACAGAGGATGAACACTCCAACAACAACCGCAACCGATAGAGTAATTTTACGCTCTTTTTCCAGCTTCTTACGGCGTTTTTCTTGTTCACTTCCACTAACCTGTAAGAAACAATGAACGTTTTGCCCGAAAAATCACCAATTTATAGGATTATTATCCAAATACCTCATCCAGACTGATTCTATTAGATTTGATGTAATTCCTACACACTTTGAATAAAAAGATGCTGTGTGCAGTAGACGATGGTAAGAATAGGGCTCTCTGAAAAAGCTGTCACCAAACGACCACGCCCTCCTCGTTACAGTCTCCTCACGACTATTACCTGATCGTAACGTATAACGCATTTAATGTTCTTAACAATTATATTTCCAATAATTTATGTAAACCTTCAAATTATGAAGAAAGGAAATGCGGAGTAAAAACATTTTTCATGGCATTTCCGCCCCCCACATAGGGTTAGACGGGGCTAAAATATAGTTTTCAATTTATGTATTATACGTTCCTCTTTTGTGTCCTAATGTGGAGGTCTGGATAAATTTGGAAATGGACTGCTGAATCACCATGATTCAGTGGTTAACACCTGAGTTTTTGTCGTCAGAATCATCTCTCAAATATGTACAGTGTTTTAAGATGTTTTTTTGTTGCTGTTGTTTTCTTGATTATTTTTTGCTTCCCAATCACTTGTAAAATCGTTACCACTTAAATTTCTACACATTTTGTTCCTCCTCAGGTTAATTTTCTTTTGCCTAATGTATTTGTATGTTTTTTACAGTTTGTTTTGGCTACGAAGTTTATTTTTCCGCACTGCATCCTTGCAAACAAAGAAGCAACACATCTAACCGTCATTGCGGCGATTTTCTGAGCCTGCTGTCGAGCTACTTGGAATATCTTACAGTACGCCAGACATGTGATGGTCAGTGGTGTCAGGCACACGGTTATATGCAGAAAAAGAATAAAACTGGGAGCGAGGTTCAGGTGATACTGACAAAAGCCTCCCTGGGAACGAGGCCGGACGTCCCGCCAACCAAGGAAAGGAAACACAGCCACGAGCACGGACAAAGTCCAAATGAAGGCTATGACGTAAGCGATACGTCTTGCGGTGACGATAGCGTGGTAACGAAGAGCGTTATTGATTGCTGCAAAGGGAGCAGGCACGGTGAGTATTGGAACCTTGAGAGAGGGGATTGGGGTGGAATGAAAGCATATCTTTGACGTCGTAATAGAAGGGATCTTATGGTTTTTATGATAAGCAAAAATTCTTCATTAACCGCCTTGACCCTTTAACCCCAAGAGTGATCAGCATCGAGCTTCTCCTTACAGTATAACTATTTAATAACACATGAAGATTATGAGAATATAGCAAATAAGCACCAACTGAAAAAAAGCTATTAGTTGGTATACAAATCTTCATGTCAGTAACATGGGAAATGTGCAGATCGCAGCATGGAGAATATGCATACTGATGTTGGGCTATGAAGGCTATGAAGAGATTAAACGAAAGAAACGTTTAGAGAAAAGAGAAGACGAGTCTTGCTATTTTAAAGAAAACTTTTTGAAAAAGCGACTCATGCGTCCCATGAGCGTCCAATTACAACAGATTTCTAAAGCAGTCACGCTCAACTCTAGACGATAATTTTATTTCGAAGACTGACTGAGAACTTCTAACAAGAAAACAATTATCACTGTACCCATCCGTGTTTTTTACGTCATAAAAGGCGCAAAACCTTTCCTCCCTCTTTGTAATTAAAGTATTTAGGTCCTAATTTGAATGCAAAAAAATGGCCAAGGATCAATTTTTTGGTCACATTCAAATATGATTGCGGACAACTTGTTTGCACGGGAAGAAAAGAGAGCACAAAAGAGAATTTTATGCCTAATAAATGGATGTTCATATTTTGTGTGGGGAATTTAAACCTTGAAGCCAAAGGGAATACTACACTGTGTTTTTGGCAACAACGCCTTCCTTAGTAATACATAATTAATATAAAGTCCAACAAGTTAATTTAGTGTTTTTAGCCTTCTCACCTAGATATCTATCCAAGCTAATGAATAACAAATGAAGACACGAGGCGCTCAGGAACACCTCAGTAAAGAAGATGGTTGTGTTGCACAACTGCTTGCCATAGTGTAGATTTGGCCCGTATATCTGTGTCAAGGAGATAAGAGGGAAGATCACCAGACCAACAGGCAAATCAGCAAAGGCCAGGCTCACTATCAGAGCATTGGTGGCGGAACGGAGTTTCTTATTAATAACAACTGCTAATATGACGAGACCATTTCCTAAAAGAAGTAAAAAAAAATGTATGAAACTGTTGCAAAACATGCAGAATCGGAGAGATATTTGCTAATTATGAACGTTGTTAACCCAGGACGATGTTGTTGAGAAGAATGTCGCAATGCTTTTCAACCGTGCTCACAGAAGACCGTATTTACTCGAAAAAAACGTCGCCTCCGACTAAGCGTTTCCCTCGAGTAAGCGCCGCGTTTGCCATAGAAAAGTTAATAAGAGCTGTCTCTGGTCTCGATTCGGTGCCTATTCGAAGACTTTTTTTTACAAGCTTTAATGTTACATACGCAGTTGGTTATGTCGAGAGAACAATAAGCAAATCCTTTTCAATGCACAGATTCAGACTTGGAAGAGTGCGTACCTTAGATCAAGAATGAGCCAGTGAGATCGAAATGGAGTGAAGACACCTCTGGTAATGAAATTGAAAAATGAGGGAAGAGACGGATGGTGACAATTAAAAGACACCTCTGTAAGGCTGTAAAATATACCGTTTAATTAACATACAACATTTTTTCCTTCGTTGAATCCAATTTTTGAATAAGCGCCACCCTCAAATAAGCGCCGCACTTGAGGAGAAAAAAATATCACGTAAGTGTCAAAACGTTTATTCGAGTCTATACGTTAGGCCTAAAAGTGTTTCACAACGTTTTGTACTTCCGCGGTTTCGGTCATTAGTAGATATTAGAAATAGACGTTTTTGTCAAAGAGGCCTCCCCAGATGGGCTTTAAGACGGGTGATACTCTAATCCAACCCAAGCCCCCCTCTACCGGAAGAAAGGAAGCTGCATTTGCATGCATAGATGTCAACGTTTCCAAAAACAGCTGAAGAACGCGATTCACATTCTGGCTGGCGCTATGTTTTTGCGTGTCATTTATATAAAGGTTCAAGCGCCAAATCGCCACGCTTGGCTTTATTAAGAAACAATTGATGGATTATACCACAATGGTGGAATCCTTAATCGACTTTCGTTGTAGATCAAATTTGCCGAGATCGGTGTTCAAATCGATTGATGAAACAGCTTTGAAAAGAACGTTTTAAATCGCTCCTGTTCACCAAAACGATTCTAGTCGTCGTCTTCTGAAACTCTCAAATCAACTAGAATCTCCAACAAAATAGAAAAGAAAGGTAAAACAAAGCCAATTTTATTGATCTCGATCTGTGCTCATTTTTCATGTATCTATCTTAACAACAACAAAAGAAAACTCGTTGAATCTATCTCTGATTCTATTTCAGAGAGGAAAACCTTTACCAAAAATTAGTAATCATGGAATACAATTCATATTTTTAACACAGTTCTGGCGGGAATCTCTTTTGTCTTTCTATCAAATGTGAAGAAGGCTTTTAAGTATTATCCAAATTTTATTTTGTAAACATTCAGAATTCTTCCAAGGGATATGCGACATGAAGATCTCCGATACTGGAGAGCAGTTGATGGCCGCGCAAATTTTAATACAGCTGACAAATATAAACGAAAACAGTGCATCAAATGTTCCAACAGTTTCCCGATATAATTGTGCCAAAGACGCCGCTATCAAAGAATCGACGGCACCGGCAATGAAAAAAGACAAAAATAAGATTCATATATCCATGCAAATCGAAATTGATGTTTGACATTACTATTAAACTAAAATTTTCAGATTATTACAATTTTTTACGTTATCTAATCTTTTAAAGCGTAAGGGGCAAGAAAAAGAATTGAAATATTTTTGGAAATCGATTCTCCGTCAATAAAATGGTCATGTGGTTTTAGAGGGAATTCCTCGACCATAAACTATATAAGTAATAAAAAAAAAGTAAATGTTGTTCGTTTAGACGGCTCTTGTGATGTTCTCTGACATCCAGGCCCCCTTTTCAATATATTCTGTAAATAACCCACTTTTCGCATGATAGCCGTGAGTTCCGCGCGATAATCGTATCACAAGTAAGACATCGGCAGATATTTTAATACCTCCGATTGTCATATTCATCTCAATTATGTCGACGTACAGTTGATGAAATAATAAGGCGGGAAGATGAACATTCTTCAGTTAATTTTCCTAAAAATGTATGCGCTGCAAAATTAGGTCTTGTTATGGGGGCCTTGAGTCTCAAACAGGTTTGCTCTTTAACTTACGAGAAAGGGTGACGTTTTGGACCGGCATCTTAAAACAAGACTTCAGCTAAGCACTGCGGGGTTTACATATATGACTCTCGTTTTTAAGGACAAAGCAGCCCAACACCCCCCTCCCAAGCTTCACTTACCGTCCCCCTCCCCCCCTCCTCTGGGAAGCGCGCTGTCTTTTAGCGTTGACAGCAATAAGTGAGATGGAGTAAAAACTCGTTACTCAAAATTAATACAAATCCATTTAGACAGCTGAAAGCCGCAGCAAATTAAACATTTGCATAAAAAGAAAACAAGGTTCAGTTACCAATGCTGGCTGTTGGATATTTCAACCGTTAAAACAAAGAAATTTTCCCATTTTTCAGAAGTAATGGCGAGTTCTACTGGCCTTGAAGAGAAACGAAAAACCAGTCCAGTCCTGGCTGTCTTTTCCAAAGCGTAGTTCAATTCTTTAAGCATCTATCAAGGTGTTTTCACTTTTCTCGCACTTTCAGTTACTTGTTTGAAGTAATAAAAAAGTATCTAATATCATTGATTCAGAACTGGCGAAAAAAGATAGCACTACCCAATGTTTCGTTTGAATGATAAAAGTTAGAGTTTTACCATGAACTTAATTTCTGATAATCGTTCCTCTAACTTGCCATCGCAGATCAATAGAACGAACCTTTTGAAACTTGCGTTGTAAACCTTTCCAAGTTAAACTTTTGGACTTGAAATTCTCTTCCTTACACAGCTCATGAAATAAAATATATTTTACCGAGTAAATTTCAAGAAAAATTCCAGCGATTCATGATTCTGCAGTTTAATTCCCACTCAGATCTTTGCTACAAGAAAAGCTGTTTTTGTTGAGTTTTGGTTGCCGTGGTTAACAAAACTAATGAAAATAATGGCTTCTGTATTGCGATATTAATAATCCATCACTATTATTCTCGCATCAAGGAAATTAGGAAAGGCCACAAACGGTTTACAAATCAAATTAGCAATGACTTAAATTAAATCTTTAGATATGTGGGCTTTGCTGAAATTTAAAAGCTGTGGTGCCAAATTTCATGAGGTCTTGATCATCTCTGATTATCTTTTGGAATAAGAAAAAGGAAGCCAAAAAAATAAATAAATAAGTGCTCTTTTAGCCGTTTTAAAGCTGTTAGATGTTATTCTAAAGGGTTTCACATATTTTGCCATGGATTTGTCACGAAAAAATCGCGGTTTCTTAGTTATATTGCCTTGTTATTTTCTTATTTACACGCTACCAACGAAGCCTGCGCTGGAAAAAATAACTGCGAACTAAACAACTTGAATTCGTTTGAGCTCAGACAAGAATTATTAGGTCACGCTCGAATACTTACGTTAAAATAATAAGTGGATTTATTGAAATGCAAACTACCCCAGAGAGAAGTGTTTTTAGTCATCGATTGAAAAGCCCAACAATTGTATTAGCCTTTTATTGTATCCTGACAATTATACATCCGCGCGAATATATCGAGAAATTAAATCTGAAACGAATGGAGGGCCGTTTTCAATCAAATTGAAGTCTTGGAGAAATTATTACCAAATATTTTACGCGACTTTTTGAATGAATCAACCAAAAAATAATTTTGATTACTACTGAAAAAGGGTAAAAGATGTCGTGGATAATTTGCCTCTTTGGACAAACATTTTAAAGCAAATAAAATGAACACTCTTGTGTAGATCGCCAAACCTATTTCTTCCGTCCCGAAAAGGTTAAAAGTGTTTAGAAGGACCTCCCCAGAAATATAGCCTCTAAATCAGACCAGGCCATATTATTTCTCTCGGGTATTTTCACTCAAAGAGTCATTTCAGTGTTGAAAAATACACAATTGTGGAAAATTAAAGATCAAAACAAAGTGCTCTGAGTGTTGCTGGCGAAGTTGGTCGACTCGTTTATTCAGCCGAGTTAGAAAGTCAACTCGTCATACATTGTGAAGTGTGATCACAGGGGATGGATTATTTCCTTTCAAAAAACCATAAACTTATATTTTTAGAACATATTCTCTCAATATTTAATCGAGAGTTAAACAAATGATCGTCCACTGTGTGACGACTTCGTTGGAAAATTAATTCCTCTTTTCGCTGAAAATCATTCTAAAACTTTTAAACCTTTACTAAGCGATAATCAAGTTATTTACTTCATATTTCGGCAATTTTTCTTTCGCCCTGTTCGCACATGTCGTAAATTTAAAACTTTCTTAGGCAGTTAAGTGAAGAACTTACCGAATACAGTTAGAGGGAGAGAAACGATGAAAGCAGCGTAGAAGAGAATTTTTAGTTCGAGCGGGTGGTGAGATTCGTAGGTCCTCTCTATAGTTGAATTGGCCATCAGGTTTTCACTTGGTTGGGTGATCAGATGGCGTTTCACAATGTAAGTCTCCTGGCGGGCAGAGTATATGACATCAAAGAGGATCAGGGTACTACAAATTGGCCCTACCGACTTTTAATATCGGAGAAGTCCTTTAAAAGTAAACAACCTTTACAATATCAATAAGAAATGTGATGTCACACGGCGCTTTGTTCGGCTGTCTCATTGAATGAGTGATTAAGACTTCTGCTTGACAATTTTAAAGGAAATGCAAGTTATGCTGGACACAACTTTCAAATAAGAAATAGAAACGTGATATCTTGCGATTGTTTTTAAAATCGTGATCAAAGCTTGCAGCTCCAGAATCACTAAAACACTCCTGATCTCTTTACATGCATTGACGTGCCCAAATTACTTCTAATTAGAAAAAAACCGTTGATCGATTTCAATTTTGCGTTCCAAATTGTAACGACCTCATTCAATTCGTATCAATTTCCAAATCAATAATAGCTTCAAAACAGCACGCTAACTCATCCTAAATGAAAACTTGCAAGGTGACAATGGTCCGTCCCACTGAGACAGACAACCACATGCAACGTTGTAAAAGGTAAACATTAAAATTAACACCCTAATCGGAGATTTTATTAGTTTTTACAGGTGTTTGCAATACACCATTAATTGTTTGTTTTTTTTTCAGTTAATAAATCTATCTGTGAAATTGAGATACTGTATGTCTTACACTGCTAAGGTTATCATCCCTTTCTGGTAAAGCGCGCTTTGTTACGTGTAATACGAGACACTGAAGTAGCAAAATAAAGCAGAGCTATGAAAGAAATTATTAAGGGTTTTCTATTTGATTTAGACGCTCAACATCCGCTTTCTTTAGAATTAAGATTTGCAATTAGCGGAATCATCAAGTCCTTAAGAGAACGCGCTGCTTGTAGTCGCAAGAGAAAGCTAGCATGTCTTCAGTATGCGAAAAAAAACTTCTCACTCGTTAAAGTTGTTCAAAATAAGAAGTAACAGCATATTAAGAAACGAAGTTAAGCTTTGAGACAAGTCGACATGTAATGCACATGGATGAAGCCTGTCAAGCAGTGCTCCTGTGATACTTCAGAAACGTTGGACTCAGTGTGCAATCACATTTTAAAATCAATTGTTAACTCCTTGGGGTGACTAGCATCTAATTTGGCTTTACAATATTACCCCTGAACCAAACATGAAGGTCACGAGCGTAAGGAAAATGATCGCCAACTACAGAAACTCTTGACTGTTAGACAAAGTCTCCTTGTCAACACCTTTGGAAATGTATGGAGAGCAGTATAAAGAATACGCATACTGATGTTAGGATGTATAGGATTAATCCGTTTCTCGCCTTTGACGACAACAGTGTGTTAACATATATACAAGTTACTGACGTTGCACCAACAAGTACATAATAATATTGAACAAAAATAAGCTCAAGGTGATTCTCATCGCAAAGTGACATCTGTTCTGATTCAGGTATCACCGATTGAGAGCCGATAAGCATTTAATATTATATTCTGAAGCCGCGATAAATCAGCCTTCAAGCTCGCCCCATTATTATTAGCGCTAAAAGACGCGTGCCGGTTCCTCCGCCGGCGGGAAGATTTGAAACGAGTCGGGGAGAGGTTTGCTGGTGGTCGGGCACTAATATTAGTAATAAATACTTCATAAATAGACCTCTCGACGGCTCGCATTGCTCATTAAAGCCTCGTAGTTTCTCGAAGAGGAAGAAACACTCGAGCCGAAGCGCTAATAATAGAGCCCTTCTTGCACGCCTTGATAAACACTCTGGTTTAACCCATGAAACCAACTGAGCTGCAAAAGAACTTGTTGGTAAATTTGGTCATAGTTGTAACATTTTTACATCCACTCTCAAATCATTTATCATCCTTGCACTCTGATTGGCTCTCAGCAGTGCGTGAAATTCACGAATCGCACTATTTTTTGCTCTAAATCGCACATTTTTCCCAGCCGGTGAGAAGCAATCCTAGAACAATTCATTAGATTTCATGGCTTATTTAATGTTACCAATCAGATTGTTGTTAAATGAAGACAAAGGAGCTATTGTGTAGTGAATTATGTAACTTTTGCTCTCCATCGTTTCATTATCATCTTTTTTTATTCAAATGAATCGATACATTCAATTCCTTACAGTTTCTGAATGACGACGAGATATTTGTACCGACTAAAATCATGTATGCAGGCAATTAAATTTTAAACGCGTAGCATCTTTTCTCGGGTTTTTCGTAGTTTCAACAATAATAATTCATTTTCTTCGTTTTCTACCCCCGCGGGGCAGGCGGGTTAGGTTCATGCGAAATTAAAAGCCATCGCTTGGTTGACAACTGTTTTCCTCGAAATAATACGTGTTTCCTGTTTCGTCTGATTCAACTTTACTTTTGGTTAAACAACGAGAGATATTTACCCTTTGTACTACACAAATGGATTGAATAGTATAGCAATCGAACTTCGAGTAATGCAGTTTAATCTGAAATCATGTTACGATTTCAAATCACGCATGTGATTATTTCGGACCAGATTGCGCTCCACTCATTTCAATCACCATTTTAAAACACAAAGGACAAGCACACAGCAAGCAAGGCTATAATTTTACCTGGGTGAAGAAAGATGCTAAACATCGAGCTTGTTCGTCGAAAGAAAAAAGAAGTTTATTCACTTTCTATGAACGCAGCTAGAGAAAAATGACGGAGTAATTCCCAAAGTGAGCCTTAGACATTCTGCATTCTGATTCGGAGTCCAATACATTGACTATATGAAGCACTTTTAGTATCTTTTTATCTGTTTTCACTTGTTTGTTTGTCGTTTTAATGGCTACCATTGAGTGTGTAATCACGTCGAGGCTTCCCTTTAAATATAACATTCACCGCTAAATAACCGCCTCTACATTGCCTTTACCTGGGCCTTTTCCGGCTGGAGGGGTTGACATCAAAAATGCATTCAAAAATGAGTGACTCTCAACTTAAATAGCGCATGCTTTTTCACCACCTCCCCTCAGTAAAAGTTCATAGCATGCCGAACTGCAACTTTTGTTTGCCCTTTGATGCGCCAGGTGGCAGAACCGCAAAAACCATGCGGCGGAACCTCCAGGAGGTTCCTATCAAAGTTCCGAAGTTGGCTTCCTAGGACCTGCTGCCTCTGTTTTCATCGAGCGTCCAAAAACCTAGCGGCATTGCAAGCTAAAAAGTATTATTCGGCACAGTAAATTGCTCTACAAGTAGCAGTATTATGAAAAATTCACAGACTTTGCCTTATAAAAAACAAAAGTGCCTTACATCGACGAAAAAAACGTTTGTCCATATGCACTTGCGTGGCGTTGTCCAGCAAGTGTGTTTGAATCAGAAAATGTTAAGCTATCTTTTAGTGATCGTGCCATCCGGTTTTCCAAATATGGCACATTCCGCCATACCAACAAACAGCCCCGTCTCTACCACCCCTAGAATATGAAAAGTTGGAAAAATTAGAAAAACAGGAAACAGACCCACACGCCATCGTGCGTGGCCTCCTTTTCACTGCCTTTGACGGAACTCGAAGGTACTACCCCTAGCACCCTTGCGCGACATCAAAAAGCGTTATGCATGTGTTGGTCGGCACACCCAAATCACCCCAAACCCCACTGTCAAGGTGGAGATTTGTAAATTTTAGTAGGAAAGTAATCTTAGCACACTGAAATCAAAAGTATACCCACATGAAAACAGCAAAAGAGCGGCAAAGATTTATAGACACTTTAGTCTGCTTCGGATATTTTCGTCAAGTTATACATACTTTCCTTTGCTCAACCAAAGTTTCGAGGTACAAAAAACGTATACTAACCTGGTATTAAATTCAATTGCGTGTTTAGTTCTTTCCAGTCATAAACCTTAAAGCAACACAGGAAAAACTCTTCCAAAAAAATTCCATGTAAATCAAACGATACCGATAGCTCACGTCTCAACCTTCTGTCAATGACATATTTACTTGCTATCGATCTGTCAATCAAAGACCGTGATAGGAGGGGAGGGAATATGAAAACTTAGCCTACGACTACGACCTCATTATTAACGCTGCAGAGCGCGTTTCTCCGCGTGCTAGTCGGGGAGAGGTTTGCCGGGGGTCAGGGCTCTAATGAGGTGTCAGACCCCTTGCAGGCTTCTCTCCAGTTCGCGTTGCACGACGAGGGCGGAGAAACGCTCGAGCACGAAGCACTCGTAATGAGGGCCAGCTGGCAAGCTAATGAAGAATTGCTTTTTTTCATTGAAGAAAGACTTTCCAAACTGGTTGTTGGAGAATGCAGTTCCGCGAATACAAAAACGGATAATAACAAGATGGACAAACTCTTATAGGCAGGCTAGCAGATATCAACATCTGTTTGGCACCAATTTGATCACCAGGCAGTAACACTGCCAACCTCCATAATTCGTTTCTTAGCACTTATAGTATTACATTTGTGCCTATGGTTTGACACAATAAATGACTGACACAATCATTCTAGCAAACAAAAATATAGTTTACCGAGTTAATAAGTGTTTACCTTGTCAAACTGGCAATCAATGATGAAATTGCTATTATCAGTCACCACAGGACCCTGGGGAGATAAAACAGCGGCCAAAATTGATCAGAAAAGTAAGTGGACACCCTATGCCTTAGTGTGCAAATACAAAGCATATCTTTCAAATAACTTAGCTAGCTTGCTGCAATAGTTAGTACGTATCGATTTTACTAGGGGCTCTGCGAACGACCCGAAATACTTTGTAGCCGTTAAACAAGACATCTGCAGATCTGCTTTGAAAAGGTCACCTTAGACAAAGGGACTCAGCAGCTGTTTTACTGGATGTAACACAAGACTCCCGCCTCCCTTTTTTTCATTCAAGAGGGGGTGGGTAAGGAAGTGCTGCAGAACATCTCAAAAGACTATTGATGTGGCTGCAGAACAATACATCAACAGGTATGATCTTAAATTGTAACCCCAAACACTGTGGCACTTTGTAACTTTTCTTTGGAATGGCACACAATGCTCCCACCCCCTCAATGCTCCCACCCCCTCTCTTCTAGGTGGGGGTGAGGGGGGTGGGTATGTCACCTCAAAGGACTGCTGCCAAATAGAAATAAGCAGGCACAGTATCAATGAACTCCCATTCTGAGGGTAATTTAACAACATTGATACAAAGAAATCATATATTTGTCTGTATGTACTTACTGCTTTAGCTCGTGCCATTCTAAGGATTGGTTTAAGCCCAAGTTTCTCTATTTTTTTCATCACAGGTACATGTGCCATAGGAATCACTTCAACTGGAATTCCCTTCTTGAACTGAAATGTTACAAGACATTGACACTCCATTCTTAATGTCCTTTGAATACAATACTGCACATTTATTTATCAGACTGTCTACAATCACTTTCATTGCCAATATGGCACCTGTTTATTAATTCATTCTTTGAACAATTTTTGATTCCATGTATATACTAAATTAAAAAATTGAGCTAACCCTTAATTAAAAACATATTGATAAAAAAAAATGTACTTACTGCTTCACCAAGCTGCTTAGAATCTTTTCTGAGAGGAAAAGAAAAAAACATCACCAACATCTTAGAACTCATTAAACAAGATCTTTTTCTCAACCATGCCTTAATCCTAGTCTATCTAAAATGTATGATCTAAGTCATCATTCTTCAAAAACACCTCCAGCTCTAGAAGTCCCTTCCATTCCTCCTTTTAAACATTACTTTTATTAGTTAACCCAGCCTTTAACTCCCATGAGTGACCAAGACAGAGTTTCTCCTTACAATATCAATACAACATCAATCAGACAAGTGATAAGAACTAGGGGATTATAAGTTGATCCAATACCAAATTCTCCAAACTAACATCACAAGAACTGTATTACAGACAGTAAGGAGAATTACTAGGGAGATCTTGGGAGTTAAGGGGTTTGGAGAAAATTGAAGCACCTGCAGATGATTCAAGATTGAGAGTAGGGCAGGGTATTTCAAGAATATTTGACAAGGGTTTTGCAATCCTTGTAAATTAATTCTTAAAACATTCCTGCTTCAGATTTCAAATTAATCAAAAGAAAAAGCAAGAATCTACTGAAATTACCAATAATTTGAAATCATAAGAAGTGGGGAGTGAAGAAAAATAGTTACATTGAAAGGTAAAGTGCAAAGCCAGTTTTTGAAAGTGTACTGTAAGAAATAAAGCAGGAATGCTTGTGAGAAAGCCATGGAACTTTGTTTCTGACCTGTCATCCGCAATGATAACAAATTGTTTAGCACAAGATGCTACTATCTTCTCTTGGGTTAAACAGCCTCTAAAAAAAAACAAAAACAGAATCAAATCAATGCTACAGCTTTTGATACCTCCAAGCCAAAGATCTGTAGATCTGCAATAACTTTTCCTTAAAGAGAAAATGTAAGAAACAAATTGTGTAAATTCAGTTTCCTAAGTGTCTGGTGTTAACATCCTGATTTCTGTTTTACATGACAGAGTCATTAGAATATAAATGAAATACAACAAAAGCATACATTTCTCAAATGGGTAAAACCCCTATAAATTGTTTTTCCCTAAATGAAAAATTCCCAAGAAAAAGTACAAATGCACTGCTTATTTTTATCATCTACATAATGCATTGCAGTGTTTATTAATTCAAGACTCTACACAAATTGTTTTGAATGTTGAAAGAATTTATTAGATCTACTTGAAATCTCAAGTATAGCTACTAACAGCTTTTAACATACCCTCCTCCTTTAATGGCACTTAAGTTGCTATCCACATCATCAGCTCCATCAATAGCAACGTCTAACTATCATCACAGAAAGCCACAGTGTTACTATTATTCCTGTTTATCACAGACCTCTTTCAGAATTGCATATATGATTCTTGATCTTTTGATTGCATGTAAAGAAGACATTGCCAAGTATGTTTAAGTCTTGGGAAAAGATAGGAAGCAGTGAGGAGAGGAGTATGGTGGAATGGAGGAGGAAAGTATGCGAATGAGGGGTAAGAGGGTTGAAGAGTGGGCTAGGAGGGAATAGGGGAGTGGGGTTGACAAGGGTAGAGGGGTGGGTAAAGGGGGAGCAGAAGTGAGGGTGGGTAGAGAAGGATATGGGAATGGAATGATGAGGGTGGAGGGGGATTGGGGAAAGGAAGTGCAAGAGGGGGGGAGAAGGGTATGGGGGTGGGTGAAGGAGGTTAAGGGAGTGGGATGATGAGAGTGGGGGGATGGAGGACAGAGGACACAAAAGTGGGGGAGGGTGGATGGGGGTGGGTTGAGAAGGATAAGGGATTAGAACAATGAGGGTAGGGAGTGGAGGAAAGGAGGATACAGGATAGGAGAAACCTGTGTCATTTACTAAATAACACCATCTTTCACTTAACTAACCAGGCTCCAGATTTACCAATTCTTCATGTAAATCACTGTTACAAAAAGGCATCCCATATCCCCATTCCTATCCTAGTAGTAAGCAGGAAGTTTATCCCCTTGGACCTAGCTAACTGGCATTGTTGCAACAAGTCTCCTGTAGCTCAGTGATGGAGAGTCTGAAGTTCCAATCCCAACATCATTGGGAGCAATAGAACTTTTTCTTTTTTTCTGAGTATGCATGTGTCACTCACTGAACAACATCATCTTTCACTGTTATTTACACTCTCTTATTATTTTTTTTCTGATATTTAATGGTTAAGAATTATTTTATTTGTTGGTAAACACATGTAAAATGTGACAAACCATAAGCTTAAAGAGCTTTTAGTAAGGTACAGAATAATATACGTTACTTCAGAACATTTCTAAACAAATTCTTTCCTCAGTTACCTCAGGCGTTCTGTCAAGATCACTAAGCATCAGGTTGTGTTGTGTTATCAGCTGCTGGGCCTACAGCCATCAAATTTAAAATAAATCAATTTAAAGTCATTACATGGACACAATTTAAAAACATAAACTTAAAATCAGTCACAATCCTTATTAATCTACCTCAAAATGTTATGGTTACATGATTTAAGTTGGATATATGACACAGATCATCTACAATATATTCAGAGGTTCTTTAAGCATTGTTGACCAGGAGTAATTGAGGACAAGATGGTAAGAGATATTTTATGGAACTAACAACCCACTCATAAAAGAATCATAACAAAATAATAATTCCATAAGACATCAGAAAGGTCCTCTAGAACAGCCAATCAGATGGCCGGGAGTCTCCATCTCTGATCAAAATACTGTATCACCCTTTACACCCTAACATCAACATGTATATTCTCCATACTGTTCATAATACATTTCCAAAGGTGTTGACTGAGGGAATTTGTTTAAAAATCAAGAGTTTCTTTATTTGGTGACCATTTCCTTTATTCTTGTACTGTAATGTTTGATTCAGGAGAGATGTGGTGAGAAGAAATTAGATGGTAGTCATTCTAAGGATCCATTGAGGCCACCACAAAATAATTCTACAATAGGTATAAAATATTTCATACTCCACAAAGAAGAAAACACAATTTTGTACAATAATTGGCTACTTATGAATTAAATTAAGCATTCACCTACTTGGAATGATGATGGAACACAAAGTAAATGCAGCTTTTCATCTTTCACTCTTTCAGCTAAAAATAAAAAAAAAATTATGAAAACAGTAGACTTTTAGGAATCAAATTGGTAGCTCTCCCAAAATATTGCGATCTCAATGGTAATAGGTTAACTCTTTCACTGCAAAGATCTCATTTGTACACATAATTCAGTCCTTACTGTCTGCTATACAATTGTTATGATGTTAGTGCAGAGAATTTGTTATTGGATCAATTAATAATACCCTTGTTGATATAATACTTTGTTCTCATCAGTCTTGTCTGCTTGATAATGCATCAATGATGGAAGGAGAAATTTTGCCTTAGACACTCAAGGGAGAAAAAGAATTAACTATTTTGTAACAGATTAAATATTCTCTTTCCAAATTACCTTATACAGTATTTGACTGGAACTACAAGCAAAGGCCTAATACTACACACCTCTGCAAAGTGGCTTATTTACTCACAGCTGGTGGTTTCTTAAGATGCAGTAATGCAGTAGTGCAACATTTTTGTGTAACTTATCTTATCTAGGTCACATTTTACAATTAGAATTCTCTTGCATTTTTTATTAAAAGCACTTCCACATGTAGGTCAAATACAAGCAGAATCATCAATTCAAAACATTTTACTCTCATGTAACAGTGTAATCAATTGGACACACAAAAAAACCTAAAAATTCACCCAAAAATCATATAATCATCATTGCAGATGATTTTCTAACTTACCAATACGTTCAACTGCATATACTATTGTTGATCCAGAGCCTATTCCTAGTGCTTGATTATCCTATAAAATATTTCATTTTCCACAAATAAAACCTAATTGAAAACAAAGTTATTTCATTTAGATTGTAGACTTATGTCATACCCTAATTATTATTACCTCAACATGTTATAAATGACAGCATAAGGGCGACAGTGTTCAATCTTGACTCAGTAGAATATTTTTCACAAATGCAGCAATTTGAGTGGCCAAAAGGCTGAAAATGGAAGTCAAGGCTACCACAGTGGAGAGAGCCACGTCACTAACAAGTGACTCTCATGCCCTATCTCCACAACCCCACCCTTCTCCCACCCCCCCCCCCCGCCCCACGTTCCCTATGTAATATAGCACTAAATCGAGAAATCAGATGATCCACACCTTGTAAAGTGATACTCTTGACTAACTTGTGGTTAACTTGGAAGTGTTCTCATTTGACGAGGTGTGGGAAGACTGCTTTAGATTCTAGCGCTTTTACGGTTTTTCTCACTTACGAAGCACTTAAAGCCATGAAACTCTTTCCTTCCAGCGAATAACATGAATGATAAACAAAGTTTACGTGGGCTTCATTACTAGTGCACCTCTTTTGAACCTCCCCATCTGCACGACTACAATGCTTTAACAATAGTATTTTACAGAAGGCGAAAACATCCTTCAGGGGAGTGTATTTGGGATAAACCCATGTGTCGTCTCTAAAAATATACACTCGATAACTGAGAGCTAAAAAGATGGTTGTGTGTAGCCTCTTAACTACTTGTTTATCACATGACATGCAAATTTGCCTCAAACTTTGAGCTCTCTTTACCTTTACATATGTGTCCACAGCATATCTCGCTGCAGCTCTTTTTCCAGCTTCCATTACCACTTCACCGGTTGAAACACGGCGGCAGAGATGTAAAATCGATCCCCGAAGACGAAAATACCTCAAAACCATTCGCTCGGAATGCCTTCGATCATTCGCGCGTGGAATAATGAATTTACCGCCAAGAGTGTTTTCCGTCCAGCGGTTTCCGTAAACAGAAACAGATCTTGATCTTGGAGCTGGTCTTGATGAAGGAAATTATCCGTGCTCTAGGAAAATTTTACCAAAATATGTATATTTATGATACAAAAAATCAAAATGAGTAGATTGCCAGTTTTCCTGTTGTCTGTTCGTGATAAATTTTTTGCAATTTCGCGGATCAGTTTCTTTGGCGAGATCGTGCTATGTAACCGCGCATTTTCTGTCTCAACACGGAAAAACATGGCCGCCAGCGGACCAACTGCTTGGTTCCAAACATTAGTTAATATAAAGCCTAAATCCCGCGGAGTTCATATCATAACGGACGAAATAGAAAGTATACCGGAACTAAAGAAGTACAAGATCGGACTGGCTCATTTATTGTTGCAACATACATCTGCAAGCATATGCGTGAATGAATGTTGGGATTCCTCTGTCCGTAAGGATATGGAGATGATGCTTAATCGTCTAGTTCCAGAAAGTGGTCCATCATATAAACACACTATTGAGGGACCGGATGATATGCCAGGTTAGAATTCTGCAACTTGACCAACATTCCTTTCTTAACAACTACTGAAAGCTAAGCAGGTAAGTTAGTGTTAACATTACTGAGTCGAAAACGTAAACCGGCCACCATAAAGAGTCAAAAGGCTAGCCTGGCCTATTTACGTTTTCAACCCAGTTTTTAACACTAAATTACCTGTTATATTCTCCCAGCGACGCAGCACCACAGTTTCTTGACACAAGGCACACTCTAGGAAAGAACGAGTGGGACTGGGGGGATTGGGTTGATGGCTAAATAGTTACACCGAGGATAGAGTAAGAGATCTGCCTTGTTGATGGGCATGAATTGCAATTTTCCGAGTTGAGCAATGTTTTTTCAGTCAACTAGTGTAATGAGTACATTATTGAAGTATCTAATGCATGTCACATTAAAGCAACTTTAAGTTGTTTCCTTTTTGGCAATTTTCTGTGATTATTGCTGTCAACAAGGTGTGAATAATCAAAAATCCGAAAATGAATGAATTCACTAGTGGCAATTGATTATGATTTGTTGATTGGTATTGAATTTGGTATCGAGAAATTGATAATCAATCAATAATCAAACAAAAGTAGTTGTGAACTTCATCCCTGGCTATCAGTTGGCATCAGAGATAAATTATTTCTCTTGTGAGTGTACACAGAGCAAATCTTATATTTCTCTGTTAATTTTTTTTATTTTTTTTAGTTCCATGTCACAAGTACAACGTAAGACATACACACCATGCTAATAAACAGCAGTTCTCAATGTTCCTGATAACTGAGATTTGCATAATATTTACCTGGGCAAAAGTCATCATTCTAATACTACTTATTTAGCTTACAACATTTTTTTCTTCTTTCCTATTATCTCTGTGAACACACTCAGTAGTGGAACTGATTGAAGTGGAATTTGAACTGGGAAAACATGCTTGATTTGCAATCCAAAAACACTCTGATTAAGGGCAAAATTACACTACATAAAAGTTTTACAGCATGTTTATTGTATGCATTTTTATATACACCATTTGAATGTAAACAAACAGGTTTTTAGTCAGCAGGAATATTTTATTGATCCAGTTGAAAAAGAATGAAAAAGGAGGTAGTGTGATTTTTCTAAAAACTACGCTACTGATACCTTAAATCCGACTGTTATTGTTTGTTCATTTGTTTGTTTATTTGTTTGTTTGTGTTTGTATTGGAGCTCAATCCTCATCTACTGCTCTCATAGTGGATGGGGAAAAGTTGTAATTTAGAGCCAAAGTTAGATTGACTTGAAAAGTTGATCCCCCAAAAAGTTGAAAATCCAGAGGTTAAGGAAAGATCTATTGAGGATTTTCCAAGATTAATGATGACTGCTGTGCTGCACCCACCATTTCAGACTTTACTCCTGTGGTCAACGCATGTGTGAAAATTGTTCAACAGAAAGGGGAAGAATTGGTCAGAACTGGTAAAAATGGAGCTGGCCATCATAATTGCTGCATTCTGTGTAAAATCATTGATCAGCTTCAACCAAATCCATGCACAAGTTTTCACAGTTAATAGGTTTTCCAGGCATGATAAAAAATAATTTCCTTGGAGACAAATTTCCCTTTGTCACCTCTGACTTAGTTTGATATTTCTTTTATCAACAGGACATGTCAAAACAGCTCTTGTAGGACCAAGTGTAACACTTCCAATAACAAATGGAAAATTGAATCTTGGAACATGGCAGGGAATCTGGCTTTGTGAACATCGGAATCATGCAGGGTCAAGAAAGATTGTGGTGACTCTCCAAGGGGTGCAATAAGGAAAAATGTTGAACAGGCCAAGTATATTTTTTACCGTTGAGACACCACAGTAATCATGATGTGCATCTACCAGTGAGGCCTTAAAGAACACATCTTTAAGGTTACAACAAGTGGATTCTATTGTTGTCAATTTCAGCATCATTCATCTCTGTCGATGCAATAGCAAACATTTTTTTTCAAGTCTATTGGTAAAGGGAACATCTAAATTTAAATTAAACATTTTCATATGCTGTAATAAATTTTTTGTAACAATCAGAGTAAGAAAAACAAAGAAACTGCACTCCAGCTTGCTCTCCAAGTAAATAGCTCTCAATTTTTTTTCTTCCTCAGGACACTTACCCTTTTCCACCAGTCCAGTCCAGATACCTACTGACTTAACCTGTTAAAGGGTTCTTTCCCCATAAAACTGGCAAGCAAGGAAAGTTTCATCAATTGAAAAAACTCCCTTTTGAGGTTGACCAAGCAGGTGGAGGTAATTCTGAGCCCTGTTGAGAGTTCAGACATCTTAGAAAAATCATAAAGTTTCCCAGATTCTCCCAAAATTGAACAGATCATAAAATTGCCTGATTATTGAAGTAATACAAAGTGAAATTGTACAGGAATTTCAAGGGAAAGTCAGAGGTCAAAGTATGAAAAGAATTACTTACTAATAGTAGGCTTCATTTGGCAAACAACAAAATTATCTTCCCAATCTTTTTCATGTGTTCTCAAATTGTGGCCTTTCATAGTAAAGAAAAATTTTTTACAAATACCTGAGATATGGAAATGTTGCTAGAATGAATTGGACACTGCTTACATGAGGCTACTCTTAGTAAACAAAAATTTTTTGGGATTTGTTTTTCCTTTACCTGCTCAGTAAAAACATGGCTGGCTTTTATACAGAAATTTACTTACACGGAGCCCAACCAAATTGATTTACCAACACCAGAGGGTTATAGGGCTTGCACTACCATCCTTTCAGATAGCTAGAAACTGATGCATCCCTTAAAACAAGGAAAATTTTGGCCGAACTCTCGTTCCTGTTTTGTACCTGCTATGCCACCACCTCATGTCAACCCCCCCCCTGAAACTTGAATTAAAATAAAGTACTCTCGTGTGCTTAGTTTGGTCAAATCCAAGGGGGGGGGAGGGAGGAAGTTGGCATATTTGCAGCATTTGACTGCTTGAAGGACAATCCCCACCTCAGGACCAAAAAAATTAGCAATATCATATCGCTGATTCTTTCACCTTGAGCAAACGATATCCTTGTTAGCATGGGAGTTGTTTTATCTTTTGTCAGAATAATGGATATAAATTATGGCGATACAGAGAAACCTCTATTACGCGGACAACCTCGAGATCTATCCAAGTGTCCGCTTAAATAGAGGTTTGTAAAAATTATGCAATGTTTGTTAACGATTAGCATTCGACGGTTACTCTGTACTGTGATAAGTTCCATGCTGTTAACGAAGCTATCCTGTGATCAAGTCCAATATCTTTCATTACCTACTTTGTTGGTGATAATGCAAAAACATAACAGCAACGATTGACTCTTTTGGATTGAATACATGTAATCGACTATTTCAAGGACGCGATCCCATACACTTGTCAATTCAGTCCGGTGTCCGCTTAACAAAGGTTTTTAACAATAGAAATCAGCTAAATACAACTGATTTTAGTGTGCGCGTCCGCTTAATAGAGGTGCTCGCTGATTTGGAGTTCATTATAAGGGAAATATAAGACGTTAATTACTGAACCCTGCCTAGTGTCCGCTTGATAGAGGATGTCCGCTTAACTGAAGGCACACTTTATAGGTTTCACTGTATTCTGAAGAGAAGATCAAAAGAAAATCTTCCAATCTCATTATCAAGTGAAATCAGAGATTTAATAAGATATAAGAAACTCAGTTTCCATAGTCCCCCCTCAGCGACAACAGATCCCGCCTTCATTCCCCCCGAAAACCATGTGATCCCCCTAAAATCTGCCGCCTCACCCCCCCCCCCCCCCTTCCGCGACAAATAATGACTGGTCTGTTATTAAAAGACTTTGATGACAAAGTGAATGATCACTTACGTTACGGTATAAAATATATAAAAAGAGAAATGATGATTATTGACAAAAAAATGTCCACGAATAAGTGTTGAAATGACTGAACCGGAAACGCAACCATAAACGTACCTTTACTGAATCACTGAAAGATGTTTAAAAATAGTTGTTAATCGTTGTAGAGGTCAGTTAGCCAGTTCTTTTATTACAAGGTGAACAAAAGATATGCGCGTTCATTAAGTAGTTTCCTTGGAAAAAATCATCAGGTTTTCATTATGTTCGGATATTTAAGGCGATTTTTCACCACGATTATCAACCACCCATAAGTGCTTGATTCACGAGAACCTGCTTTTACATTATTCATAAAAATGTAGGCATGCTGCAAAGGAAATTGTTATATCAAGCGGTCTGTGTCTTAAAGTAGAATTGAAAATCGACTTCGTTACCACTTTAAAACATGAGGAACTTGTCGATTTCTTCACGAAAACTTGCGCAGCATATTAACCAATTTTTCGAACTTAGAATTACCATTAACAATTTACTTTCGCATGAGAACAACTTATTTTCCTCTTGCCGATTTTTTCACTTAATTTGTTCGGTTGCTCATCTCTCGATAATTGATTGAGGATTACGCATAAGTGAAAGAGCGCCGTAAGTTCTGAGTGATCTTAAAGGCAGATATCATGAGTAGAGCATCTATATGAGCGAGCCTAAAAGCTTCATTTACCTTATACCAATATTTGCCACCCGAGATAAAAATGGTAATAACTTTGGATTACATCAGAGCACGTAGGGATGAAAATGATTCCGTACTAATTTTAAAATAATTTCATAGAAAGTTTGATCCCAAAAAGCTCAGTTACTGAAGGTATAATCTCATCACAAAGCCAATCTGCGCGGTAAATCTTCGATACATAAAACAGAAATTCCTTTTATTAGAATTTTTTCCTTTGTAAACATTGGCATCCTCGTCTGAGGATTTTCCTTGAACAATTTGCATGTGAAAAACTTGCACCTGGTGATTTTAACTTTGAAAACAATAAAAACATACATTGAATTTCAAGCTGAAAACATCTCTCGTTGAAAGCGCTTGGGGAGACAGGAATATATTCATGCTCGCTGATGCGGACGTAACATACTTAATTGAAAAACCAACGGCTTTGTAATTTGTAGTTTTGGCGAAACGTATATTTTCCGTCGTTCATTGACACCAAATAACACGTTATTCACAAAGGTAAGGAAATCATTTAGCGATAAAGTGTATTTTTTTCTTTTCATAAAACATGAAATTTTGGACGTTTTTGCCATCACAAATACGACGATAAAACTCGGTTGAATTCATGTTTCTTAAGGTTCCATACCACTTTATCCTCTACGTGTATCAGAAGGTTTCGCGCGAGGAAGGTGGTGTAAGATAATGGTTGAATTATTCACCCGTCCGATATGTTTTACACATTTAGTTTTAATTTTGATCAACTGCCATAAATTTTTCCTTGAAATGCCCCAATCAGAGCTACAAAAAGGGGAAATCCCGGAGACGAAATAATAGCTATGTTATATTTCAGGGATGGATCCATACGAGCATGTAATGAATTGGCACTTTTTCGTCTTACGGGGATTTTTTATTCTTAACAAACGTCAGATCGTAATACATACATATTGTCCCGTCTTTGCATTGTTATGCAAATTCTCTTCAGCCCAGTTTTAACCTATGGTTTAAAGTCTTTGCTAATTAAAAAAGACAATATAGAAAAACTTCAAACCCTATAGCTCAGTAACCAAATTGACCGTCACTTTTTTTTCCTTTCGTCCAATAGGATGTCTTCGGTTCTGTGTACAGAAGAAATATGTCACATAACACAAAAATCTGGATGAATTTTTTTTTTCCATGCGATGTAACACTCATTATTTAGTGAAACGATGAAGGTTATTCATCGAGCGCGTGGTTTTGTAATAGGGCTATAAGTCTTCCGTTTTTAACCGTCGTTTTCTGCAAGTACGCACTTACGAGGGAGTGCGTGCCAAGGAGATAACTTAAAGGATTCTGTTGGCATCGGGCGTCCAAATTAAACCATACGATTCTGTCGCTTCCTTTCGTTTGATCAAGCAGCTGCAGAAACATTGCACTCTCCGAGTTTATCTGCAACTGCGCCGCCTCGATCAACTTAGAATAAAAACCGACGACAAGGATTAGCATAGAAACGGAGTGCACTAATTTACGCAACGAATGGGTTTCTTAACAAACGTGGAAGTTTTCGCTTTCGCGATGTCTTTATTCCTGATGACTCTTGCAGCCTTGGTTATGAATTTCCTGGTTTGTTTGGTGGTTTATAGGAGCAAGGAACTCAGGCGACACATCTCCAGTGTGTTCATCGTGAATCTCGCAATCTGCGATTTTTTTATGGCTCTTTTCGCCATGCCGTATTCTTTTGGAGCAATTGTGGCCGACAAATGGCCATTTGGTAACTTTTGGTGTCAAACCAGTGCGTTTTGGAATATGGTGTTAGGGCTCGCAGCCGTATTAACGCTCGCTACCATTTCCGCAGACCGCTATATTGCAGTTTGCAAGCCTCTGCAGTACAGAGCCAAAATGACAGTTCAATGTGCGTTAGCGATGATATCTTTCGTATGGTTGCAATCCATAATATTCTCTGTCATACCAATAGGGTTTGGTTGGTACGAATTTAATACGCGATATTTCTTCTGTACATTTCCGTCTGATCTTCAGGACATAAACTTCCTGGTGTTCACAGCGGCTACTTATGCAGCCAATGCTGGCGTTTCGCTCTTTGTTATGTTGGTGACTTACTATAAAATTTTCAACGTGGCAAAGCTGCACTCTCGCAGAATCGGACATGCTGTTATTACCGCAATACATCTCGCACCTGTTCGTGGACCCTTATCCACTGAATCAAGTCGTCAGCGAGAATTCAAGGCAGCGAGGAAAATTCTCTTCGTGATTGGTGCGTTTTTGTGTTGTTTGGCACCGTATACAACGCTCCGCATCCTTGAGCTGAGAGAAAACGGCTTGACGCTAAGCCATACTGTAACAATCTCTTTAAGGTGGATTGCCTTTCTAAAGAGTGCTATAGATCCTTTTATTTATGGTCTTCTTCAGAGGCGATTTCGGCGAGCATTGTTGGAATTATTTCTTGGGACACAAAGGGCTCGTTTAGCGAGAGGTTCTTTACCTTGTGGTCATGTTAGAATGAATGTGAGGGCTAAGAGGCAGTCATCGCAAAGCGAAACGGGGACATTTGTAACCGTTGCAACGAAACGAAGTTCCATCGAGTGAAAAGATGTAAATGTTATCAAGATGGTATACATTACTGCGATCCCTTATTTTTTGACATGAGTGCAAATTTGTTGGCTTAATTGTGGTTCGCTTTACTATAAGAGGAAAAACTGCTCGAAAATAGCGAGCACAGGTAATAGAAAAACGCATTTTACTTGTTAATTTTGTGCATGAAAACGATATCTAATTTTTACAGGGGAGCCAAATAGTCATCTTTTTATAATCACGCATTGCTAGCAGTTTGTTTATCTCCATTAAAATTTACATCTCTGGGAATGAAAGCATATGTTTTATCGTTGCGTCGTGAAAATTTTTTGCCATTCATCCAAAAACTGAAAATTTCTTTTCGCTAATGTCGCAAAGCCATAGCTTCGTTGCCCTTTTTTATTTTTTTGTCAAATTAGGGAGACATATGAACAAGCCATTGGAAAGCAAGTGACGCTTTTAAATCTTCTCCGGAAAGGAAAATTTTTAAGTAAACAATCTATGACAAACAAAAACCATTCCTGCTGAAAGTTTTAATTACTAGGCTCTTATTTCGCGATTACTGAAAAGCTCTCTGCAAGAGTGAGGACCGGCGTAATCAAAACAAACTCGAAAATGGGAATAATTCTTTTTAAGACGTGAACGTAACACAATTCTGAGTCAGAGACCTGGCTGGTAATTATTTTACTTAACAGAGAAACCATCCCCGTGAATAAATTGGAAGGGTTTTGATTAAAAGGTATGATATTATTCGTGCTAAGTGTTTCATCTTTGTTCAAAAATGTTTTTAGAGGTATTCTTTTGGAAAGAAAGTGAGTAGATCAGCCTTAACATTTATATTCATATGCATTTCTGTCGCTGCAAGAGGATTAATATTTGTGAAATATAGAATATACTAAAGAATTGCCACGTTTTTGTACCATGATCGCCACGAAGATATTAAATCAAGAACATTGATTGAAATGCAGAATAAATAGGATAACCACGTATTTTTATATATAATCGTTTTCACTGATGGGGAATTTTTCATTCTTTGATGACTTTGATGAAAACTTGAATGACGAACCTCAATAAAAAGGAAATTTTTGGACTTTATTTTGCGCGAGCAACCGAGCTGACCTAGTCGCCTGGAAAAGTGATATGTAAATGTAAATTTAGTAAAGAGATGTTTTGATGCAATGCAAGTTTCATTTTTCTCCTTGTCACTCTCCCTCTGCAAAGAAAAGGAGTTTTCTAACAAAAGTTAATCGATTGCCTCTGTGCCACATGCATACACACGTGTATATATGCTTTCGTCAGCTGGCACTTGAAAGCCTCCTCGCATTCATCATAAGACGTCAATTTAGGAAACGAAATGAATTCTCATCAGGGATTTCAAATCTTGGTCAGGTGTTTCATGATTTTTCAAAATTTTGGCTTCTTTGAACTAATTTCTGGATTTCCAGTGAGAGTGATTCAATCATAGCTTCAGGTCATGTGGCCTGTGCTTGTTGCCTTAACTGAGTTCGAAAGAATTTGATTCCTAACGTTGTGATTCGCCAAAGAGACGAGGTCTTTTACTTCAACGTCATGTTCTGGCGACTTGACGGCGAAGATAAATGTCTCTCGCTGTTCTAGAAAGATAAACAATGTTTTCACTTGCAAATTGGGCTGTGCTCTCACTGATCAATGCACCAGACTAAATAATGATTAACCAATTTACGAATTTATTCGAATACTTTGCAAATGTTTTACAAAAAAGAAAGCCAGAGAAAAATAACAAAAGTGCCTTTGAAAAAAAAAATTTGGAATTCATTTGCCTGAGTATAAAATCAATCATGTCAATAGATGTTGTACAAAATTGCAGCTGCTTTTTGGTGAGACTTAGGATTGATCGTTAAAACTTCTAAATTTGTATGCTTTGTCCTCAAAGTTCAATTTCCTTAACTGTCCGATGTCCAAAATTATAAATGAAAATTTTAATTTACGGATGATCTTATCATTTATTCATATGAATATTCTTTTGATAACGTGCGGCATGACTTCGACAAGACTCCACAAAAATTATTGTGTTTCCTGATAAGTGCATAACTAGAGAGGAACGAATCACATGGCTTTCGGTGGGGGGAGGTCAGTCGTCGCCAACAGAGTATAAAGGATAATTATTAAAAACTGACTGCCAATGAGAGATAATCATGAGAATATTACAAGGCCTTCTGGAAGGATCAGGTATATTTTATCGTGACGCTGACCAAAGTCTCCCGTAATACAAAGCAATGCAAATAAAGACTACAAAATTTGTACGCGCTGTGCAATTTCGATTTCTTCGAAAAAGTTACCCGTACTTTTAAACACCAAATTGCACTCGAAATCATGCTATTACCTATACTAAAATCCAATAAAAGAGAATCTTAAAAGTGTATGAAATCCATACGTAACTGATCGAATTAAAGGAAATTTTAAAAGTGCGCGAAATACTCACGTACCAATAAAATGAAAGAGAGTCCTGAACGTGCGCAATAAACTAACGAAACAATCCAATGAAAGAGAATCCTAAAAGTGCGCCAGACCCTATCGTAACAATCCAACGAAAGAGAGTCCAGACACTATCGTAACAATCTATAAAAGAGAGTCCTGAATGTGTGTGAGATACTAACCAAACAATCCGATGAAAGAGAATCCTAAAAGTGCGTCAGATACTATCGTAACAACCCAACAAAAGAGAGTCCTGAATGTGCGTGAGATACTAACCAAACTATCCGATGAAAGAGAATCCTAAAAGTGCACCAGACATTATCGTAACAATCTAACAAAAGAGAGTCCTAAATGAGCGTGAGATGCCAACGAAACAATCCGATGAAAGAGAATCCTAAAAGTGCGCCAGATATTATCATAACAACCCAACAAAAGAGAGTCCTGAATGTGTGTGAGATACTAACGAAACAATCCGATGAAAGAGAATCCTAAAAGTGCGCCAGACATTATCGTAACAATCCAACAAAAGGGAGTCTTGAGGCCTGGATGCGCGTGAGACACTAACGAAACACTCCAAGGAACAAAATTCCTAAAAGTGCACCAGAAACTAAAGTAACAATCCGATAAAAGAGAATCCTAATTCCTAAAATTGCACGAGATACAGACGTGACAAAGAGAATCCTAAAAGTGCTCGAGATACTTAATTGACCTCGAATGAAAGAGAATCTTAAAAGTGCGTGAGATAATAACGTAGCAACCAAAGAAAGAGTCCTGAATGTGAATCCTAAAAGTGCACCATACATTATCGTAACAATCCAACAAAAGAGAGTCCTGAGTGAGATGTGTGTGAGATACTAAAAAAACAATCCGATGAAAGCGAATCCTAACAGTGCAGGCATTGCGTACATCATAATCGAATGAAAGAGAATTCTAAACGAGTGCGCGAGATACTAGGGTAACAATCGCATGAAAGAGAACCCCAAAAGAGCACCAGATACTTACGCAACAATCAAATAAAAGAGAACCCTAAAATTACTAAGATACTTTCGTAACGATCGAAGAACGGAGAGCGTATATCAGGCGAAAGCTAGTGGACAATCGCACTGTATGATAACTCCCTAAAGATGTCGGTTGTCGCATTTATTCTACAAGGGCGCGCCGAATACGAGATGACAAATAGCTAACAAAGTCAACAAGGTGCGTGGTGCCGAGTTAGAATAATTATTTTTAATAAAAGAGGCCCTAAAATAATTCTACCGATGAACTTTTATTTGGTTTGAAAGGTCAGTGAAACAATGACCTTTCGTTGGTGTCAACTGTCATCATAACATGCTCAAAGCAATTTTTTCCCCTCTTCGCTGACAAATTCATTCACCATATTGTTGGAGCTAGGTTTATAATCTCCGGCTTGGTTATAAGCTCGGAGCTGGGCTACAGTTCATAAAATGGCTTCGTTCAGCCAGTCAGACGGCTAGAAATTCATTAATCGTGCCCCAGTCTTTACTAAAGTGTAATAACACTTATCCTCGTAAGAAAAAAACAAAAGCCAGCACGGTTATTTTTCCCTTTATTAATAACAACAGGTGTTTCTGGGTGTTTTGTAACATTAGGAACAAAGTGTTTTGTAACATTAGGAACACAGTTAATTGTTCTCTTAAAAATATACTTCACTTCGAGATAAATGTTTCTTGAACAGACCACCAAAGATTGGTAATCTCTTTCAAAATACTTCTTCATTTAGATTTATAGATCTTCACAGAGTCTACTTTTTTCTTCCTTTTCACTAGAGTTTGGCAAGTGTAATGAAAAATATACCTGTGCAAACCGCACACCACACTAGGCAGATAAAAATGTTAGTTTAAGTAAGATCCAATTTAGACAAAAGCTACCTAAATAGTTTCAGATCATAAAGATTAATCATATTCATAAAAAGAAACTAAAATCTATTCATAAAATTAGGCATAGCCTTTACGGGAAGGGCAAGGTTTTGATTCCCCACCTCCGGGCACGGACGACAGTCAAATGCCCGGGTAGGGGGAGGGATTTTTGGAGTTTCGAATTGGTCGGCGCATTATCAGCTCACGAATCTGTATCCTCCGGGGTTATGAATGATTTTATTGAGTTTCTTCTCCTCCACGACACATTTTTAAAAGAAGCATTTATTATAAAGATGGTAAATTTGCCACTCGTGTCCGAAAATCAAACGAACGGGTAATCACTAAACTGTAGGTTACCATCAGCAGAAAACTTGTCTAGACAACCGGAATGACCCGGTTGCGCACACGTTGAAAAGGGACCGGGATTGTAAAAAGCCCATCCAGTTCCGTGTCCAATATCCATCCAGTGTTCCTGGTGACGGTATATACCGGGTCCGTAACGATTACGGGCAAAAAGTCCCGGATTGCGCATTACAGTCACCCATTGTCCAGAAAATTGTACTTTTGTCGGCCGCTGACCGTTTGCTACAAGAGTCTCAGATTCCATAATGTGTTGACCATACAGTTCTAGAGTCCAGCGGGTTGTGCCTATTCTAAACTTGCCCCCAGCTTGCCGACCGTCTGCGCAGCACCACAAGGAGCCGTCATCGTCACTAAGACTGTAGCCAGCTGCTTGAAACTTTGAACGGAGCTTCTTAAACGCCGAGTAGTTCCCAGTAAGGAAAGTTATATCAGCGTCGCGTTCCCATGGTAAAACTTTGTTGAATTTGACTGCACCTGCACAGGAGATAAGAAAAACGAGAGTTGAGAGTACTTTAACTCAAGGTGATTATATTCTTGCAAAATATATCTCTTTTACTCTATTATAACATTGGTTCAGTCATGATGATATTCATGCCATACTTTAGTTAAGGTGCTTTTCAATCGAGAGTCGTAGAACCGAAACCAAAGTAATCACAACAGCCAATGAAAAGAATGGAAAACATTTTCAATAGCCAATGAGATCTCAAAGTACCACGTCGTTGTTGAATTTAGTTTTGGATCTGATTGGTTGAGAGAGAGGTGCGAGTTTTTTAGCCAATCACAGAGCAAAGAAGAGTAAAACCAAAGCGATCTCGGATTTTTTCGGAGACTCAATTAAAAATTACTCTATTGGTAATTATTCTTCGGTTTGCAGGTTTCAGAGGATTGTTTTGGGCCAGTATGTTTCAAAGCTACGAGAGACTAGTTCACCTCACGTATGTCCTCATAGTTTCTGTTTCATGATAGTTTGTGTTTTGGAACGCGAACAAGCAATCTAAAGTACAATTGTCAGGCCAGGAAACAACATGATGGAGAAGCAAGCGAGGACAGAATCAACATTTGCAGTGGTATAGACGGATTTTGAATTGGGTTGAAGCGCTATGCATCCTGGTCGGATATCATGATAAACCCGAGCCGCAGAATAGCTTGGGGCGTGATCATTCCAATCATGAAAATAATTAATTGGAGAATTCTTCTGTCTTCTAGTTAGAATCGACAAGGACCTAAATTTTTATGAAACGAGAGACAATCTGCAACTTCTTTGATTAACTACACTGTATCTGCAATAAGTCTAATTTAGACATAACTCAGCTCAGCTGAGCCAATTCTACTAAGAATAAAACCTTTGTTAAGCCAAAAAGGACTGAAAAAAATAACAGCACCAGCTATACTGCGTTTATGGAAAAAAAAAACTGTCTTGTGTAAAAAGTCGTTTACCTAGTAACGTTCCTTCTTGAAGTTCGCAAAACAAGCCAGCGTCTTCACACTCCTTCATTACAAACTTGATAGCATCAGCAAGGTTTTCCAGATCACATGGTGGAACGCCAAGCCCCCTGTGAAAACTACACGAGGATGTGCCCGTATAAGAATGCCCGCGCCTGCAACCATACCAGCGGACTTTACCACTTGAATCCACCCATTTTTTCACTTCCCACTTCCTAGCCAGGGCGGCGTATTTATCGTCTGTGATGTCCCGATCGTAGATGTTAAACATGACATCGGGGCAACTAATCACGATTTTACCAGGGTGTTTCATCTTCAAACGCCAGAATAAATCCTGGAAGACGCCGAAAGGTAGCCTAGAAGATAAAGCACAGATGAGTGTCAAAAGTCAGCGATCCTAAAAAAGTCGTCTAGATTCTCACGGGTGGCGAATCTATGAATTTTCAACTATAACAAGAAGAATGCATTGGAAATAAAGAGACAATTAAAATTGTGCACAGTAAGAAATGTTAAGAGTGTCCCGAAATGAGACTCCGCGCTGGAAAAAAAGTCTTCTTTCAACTTCTCCGCGCAAGCTTTTCAGCAGAGGTTTCAATCACTTTTTCTATGAACGGCTGCCAAACGTGTAATGTGCGGCTGACCCTAAAAAAGCGCCGTAAGACCAAACACAAGAGCCTGAGACAGCGATAAGAGGGCTTTTAAGTGGTGGGAGAGCGCTAATAACCAAAGCGTAAACCTTTTACCGCTAGTAAAAAAAATACCCATCGTTTAAATTTTATTATAAAGTACACCACCTGCTTTAGCTCTTTTCACACCTCAAGTTGCAAAAACTACTTTTGTCCAAATAATTTCAAAGTTTAAAGTTTTTTTCCCACTTAAATCACTAATATCTGTCTTTACTTCCTTGGGCAAACTGTCTCGAATTTCATTTCTTTTTTTTCTTTTGTTCCCAAACTTAAGGGAAGTTCTTGATTTTGCACTGATAATTTTCTTTCCTCATCGTCATTCATGCGTTATTGTTAAAAAATACGGAGAAGTATACTATAATTTCTCACGCACGAATAACAGATTAATCAGGCCTTTGTCAAAAAATACCGACATTTTCTAAGTTCCACCACCTAACTTAACCAAATTTTCCCTTTGATATATTTAGAAAAAAAAAAAGAGTAATCAGCTCTTACTCACTTGCCATCGAATGAAACTTGCTTGAGTTGCTCGGTTTTTGCTACGAACGGACCAGAGAGTACATCACACACCACGCACTCCGTGAACGAGTGGTAATATCCACCCCTAAAGTAAGCTGTCCAATTTCTGAACGTCAGTTGAAGACAGCCGATGTCCCATTCTCCCATAAGGTTACGATGGCTCCCCCCGGCGATAATCGCCTCCTTGTTATCACTAAGTACTCTGATAAGCCGCTCAAAATCAATGTCATCCGTAAAGTGTGTTATCTCCGGGGCAAAAAGAACATAGGGCGTGTTCACCTCGTCTAGTAACTTAGACCATGTCTCCCCATGGTTCAAATTGGTAGAGACGTGATGCTTTAAATTCAATTTCAGCTTTGTCATGGTGTCCTTGGCGAGTTGACCTTGTGATGCATAGACAACCTGTACGTCTGAATAGTGTTTTGCGATGCCTTCAAAAACTTTATATTTATCTTTAGCCGGTAGCTCCTCTGGTAACGTAACAAGAATTGTCACAAGTCTATTCATAGGAACAAATTCTGTACAGTTTATTCTACCGAAACCTTTTCGAAAATAAGGGTATCCATAAGCTAGATTTCTGCCTAGGAACTTCTCGGGGCAAACTTCCTTCTTTGGTGCGTCAGCCTTTTTATCTCCAATAGAATGTTCTTTATCGTCCACGGCTTGACCACCCAAAGATTGAATGACGCTGTTTAAAGATTGAAGGCTCTTCCCGACTCGATGATAATGCACCGCAGAATTCGCTAATCCGCGATGTGTTTCTGAAAGTTCCACCGCTATACGCTTTAAATCACTAATAAGTTTCTCTCTATCCATATTTCTTTGTTCATTCTTAATATCGTTTTTCAAATCTTGTTTAGTGACAGGTTTTTCAATGATTGGATCGTCCTTCTGTATGGCTATAACCTGCTCATTGCCAGGATTTGCTTGTACACTTAGCCTTTCTTTGAAAACTTTCATTTGCTCGCAGTTCGGGGGACGCGCATTCAGCAATCCTAGCTGGCTAAAAAACTGCACAGCTAATATAATGCACATGATAAGTGCAACGCGAACGAGGGCCCAACGCAACTTTAAACGACTCATAACGGCGGAAAGTACTCGCTGTACAACACATCCAGACAAGGAGCGAAAGTTTCAACAGTCTGCCTCGAACTCGAACGTCTGCAAAACGAAATACACTAAACGTCACGCATTAAGCCATAACGTGCAGAAAATTAAATTTCATTTCATATTTCTACACGTTGAACTAAAAAATTACTTGAAAAATCGCCTGAATCTTAGGCGATCCCATAACAGATTCAAGCAATCCTATGAGATTAAAAATTCAAGCAGTTGTCCATCATTATTTATCTCCTTAGTTAATTGAATGGCCGACAAATAGACGAGTAAATTTTTTAGTTTCCCAAGTCGCATGACTGTAATTTCAACCCATCACTGGAATCAGCTATTTTCAGTGTAAGCTAACAAATTATCCGGTCAAAACCCTTGCTGCATTCGATACTTTGCGATGGACTATAACAAGTCTTCGAAAGCAGAGCAGCAATGCTTCAATTAGACAGCCAGGCTTTCTGAAAAAGCCGCTCTTTGATAACAAAACCGCAAGGGTTGGAAACAGAGCTTTTTGAATTGCACTGTTATTACTATCACTTATCACCACAGCGGTTAGCACGTTGAAAGCCAATTCGAAACGATCGGCAGAAAGACAAAACATGAAAAACAAGAACAAGAGCGCTAATTAAAGAAAACATAGGAAAGCTGATTTATTCTGTTAATCCCATTCATCAATGGATAACCACTGCCATTGAAACGAAACCAGAAATTCATTTAAAGCTAAAAATAAGATGGCGCACCATTCTTCCTTTTTTAATCTATCACAATTAAGTACCAAATGAAAACTTTGTTTAATGAGTGGAAAACTTCAGAAGCTTGTCAACATTGGCTTTCATCAAATGTGCAGTTCTTCCTTTTGAAAAGAAGTGAAAGCAAAAGGATGCTTATTAAAATTCTTTCCTACAGAGCAAGTATTACGTATACAGCACTTAAGAACCACCGATGGCTTTGTTAAAATCGCATGCTCTCACACTGTTTATTTTGGCTGTACTTTATGAAAAAGTCGTTAAATGGTTCAACACATATCTCTTGCATTGCCATAATATTCACTCACATTATATATTCAAGAACAAGAAGGTGATATGAAAATTCGAGACGAGATAAGTCTCAATTGTTCTCCTACTTTGAGGGGGGTAGGGAGGGCAGTGTGTGGCACAAGTTTCACCCATATCAAAAAGTACAAATAACACATAACGAAAATCAAAACCACTAAATCCTGCATCACGCAAAATCTTCTTTCACCCTCTCTAATTATGTACTAGTATTGTCAAAAATTAGGCACTTGGATCTATCTTATCCTGAATATCATTTAAATCAAGCAATGACAATTGGAGTTTTAAAAAGAAATTACTGTTTCTTGGAGTATTATTCCTCTCCTTAAGAAATAAATTTAAGTTAAAGACTTGAGACTTTGTTAAAGTCGGGATCACCGATATATAAAAACGTTAATTTATCAGACAAAATTTATCCTTTACAAAAAACATTCCCTTTAACATTAACCGAGCTAATGCAAATTAAAGGCTTCAAAATATATTACAAAAGACGTAACAAAGCGAGTGTTGAAAAAGAAAAGGTCTGCAAAACGTACATTTTGAAATTCCGACTGCGTACGAGAGATAACGATATTATTTTGGTGTGTGGGATTTAAGTGTTAAAACGAGAAGAAGCACTTGAGTGGTATCGTGATTAACACCAATGATGAATCCTTTTAGTAAAACATTCCTGTTCCTTTTCCTTTCTACAAAATCAAATTTAATTTGGCTGTTAACACTTTTATATATTATTCGTTTCTTATATCAAAGTTATTCACTCGCACTCTTACGCAGAGTTTTGCATCAAAGTTAAGTAAAATATACAAAACCTCTTTCGAGGTGCCACTCTTCCAGAAGAAAATCTTTTCATGGCGATATATCGGGCCCCTACATGTGAATTATCGGTTTTATTTTAATTGGTTGTACCACGAGATTAGGAAAAATAGCATGAAAGCATTCCTTCCAAAGCACAGTGTGGCTTGAACACTACTTACACATAACGACGCGCTGGTACTGCGGCCAATTTACTTCTCTTTTGTCAAATAAACCCTGGTAAACTTGATATTATAGAAAAAAATATTTAAACGGATAGAATTTTTCTAGCCTTACGCTTGTCTTTTCTCATTTGCACTAATAAATTATTTCTGAAAAATCCAGAAAACGGCAAGCAAACTTAGGAAAACAAACAACGAAAAACAAAACTAACGCAATGCCAGTGATCCGCTCGACAGTAATCGCAGTGAAGTGTGAGTAAAAGTTCAAATTTATTTTAAACCGTAATATTCTGTGTCGTTTTGTGTTCACAAAATTTGGAAGGATCTACATTACTCTCGAAATAAAAAAAAAAGAATTCAAAATCCATCTCTCAAATGATTAACCTCGTTCCAAACAAGTAAAGAGTAATTAATTCTGGCCATCGGATTCACAATAACATTCTACCTGTTTGGAGATTCAGTCGCCATATAACACCGTCTGACTTAAATATTTAATAAATTCAAAAGCGCCACATTCGATGTAATCTTCTTTGAAACAATAAATGTTGAAAGCGAATTGTAGCGAAATCTTTTTCTTGTGGTTACAAGCGTTACGAAACCAATAAACTCTACTAGAATTAACCCACTCGGACCTTGATCCATAATTAATACGAATTAGTAGGCAGAATTTTACAATTTTGTCTTACCCGTGTCGTGTAATAATTACGGCCGGCTTCGTTACACAAATGGAACACAACTGGGTTCCTTTTCCTTTTTTTTACACTGAATTTTTTTTAGTTGTTGAATAATTTTTCCAGAGACAACTGGAAATTTTTTGTTGCGAGATGAATTCAAAAGCCATCCTTTCCGATCTCCAAATCTTGGTTTAATTCTTTACAAGGATCACAATAGGCCGCCCTTGGTGGTTGTTCTTCCATTTCAAAGAAATATTGTTTTCTGATTTAAATATAATGCATTCAAACACAATTTTTTCACGTATGAACAGCGAGCTAAATTTCTCCGTGACAGAATTAAAGAATACCGAACAAAATTTTCATAGATACTAACAGAATATGCATATGCCTGAAGCGAAAATTTTAATTCTTTGCAAGAGATGTAACGAAAGATTGAGATAATTCCTGTGAGGTGGGCAATTCTCGGTCAGCCTGGTTTAGAAATGTATATATAGCAAATGTCTTAAATGTAAAATATAGTTACTTCACCTGCTTGCATGCACAAAAACGACTAAAAACGTGACCGCATGATCGAGTTCTGTTTAGTCAACCTCAAACATTCGCTTTTACCCACCGCTAAAGGAGCGCTTCACCTTTTCTGGTTTCAGTTTGACGTATTTCCAAGAAAATTCTCATGATCAGCATATTCAGTAACCTCAGAATTTCTGGTGTGCATCGAACTGATCTTCGTTTCGTGCCGAAGACAGCAGAAGATTCGTAGAAAATTTCAGCCTGATATACCGCTGTGTTGAAACAATTAAAATTCAGTTGAACAGAACACCTGTTTGGATCATTTCTAACGACGCCTTTCAAACGATTGGTCCGTGAGACAATTTGTCCTTTCCCTCGGAAGTTTGTTATATATTTAGACTACGTACTCAGTAAGATTCCTACCTAGATTCCTTCTTTTCACTAAGAGGAATTGCTTTGGTGTTCTTCTTTTGTTTAAAAAATATTAAGTTCGACTTGCTGAAGCGCAGCCAATTTGTGGTAATTTTTTTGTTTCTTTCGACAAGTGCAGTTTTCATCAAAGAAGTATTCTATTATCTCTTGAGAGTTCTTTTAGCAAGGTCAAGCCAAAAAATCAACAATTTTATGATAAAAAGCTCTTTTAGGATTTTCTTCAGCTTGATTAGTGTATAGCTAGGAGAGAGTACGTAGGTTCGAGTTGAAAAAAAAAAAAGGATTAATAACCGCTTAGGAGGAAACCGAGTTTAAAGGCAGTACCTCCCCACACAAATCCCTCATAATTGACCTCAATAACCACCCAATCTACTGAACAAAAACTAAACGAAAATGGGTAAAAAAATCACTGCATTTAACTCTAGTTCAGCTCGTCAACGAGCGACCATCGGCATTAGTTGTACATCTTTCGGTGATTGTTTCTCGCATAGAATATATACAAATGTTTATATTTCCCGTAATGTCCGTTCTGGCAGCCCCTCAAATAACACACCAACCGACAAAGGCGAACTGTGCATTGTTCATTTTCTTCTTGGAGAAGCCGCACGGTAATTTTACATGCTAATTGAGTCTCCCTTCAGAACTAATCATTTAATGTCTCGACAATAAAGAGCGTTTATCTCATTACGATTTGAAATCATTTGAGTCTTTGTTGGTATCTCACGTTTAGAGGGTTGTTTGGTTTGAAAGGAATAAATAAAGAGTTTGTGATGAAAACTTTGTAATTCTTGGATCAAAACGTTTTATAACAATTAATCAATGTTTTGGGTTGAACCAACATTGAATTGAGATATCAATCAGCTAAAAAAGTATTCACAGACAGCGCCGTGAGATAAGGATGTGGTTAACGCTTCTCACTAAATGTTTCCATGGCTTCAGTTTAAATTGAATCGACTTTGGGTGGCAGCTAAACGGCAGATCAAGGGAGCTGCATGTGCAATGTAACGTTGCAAGAAATTGATATAGCAGAAGCTACGTCGGTTAACCATCACGAATCGCGCTGATCAATCAAAAATTAAAAAAAACATATGGCGATTTTCACATGATTTCCGCAAAATGATAGCTCAAACATGTTCGTATCGCAAAATGGGGTGAGGTTTGGAGTTTCGCATGCGAATGTGTCACATACTTCTCAGTTTTTTACCTCAGAGAGTGTTAAAAAAAGATTAAAATATTATCGTTGTCTAAGGAACATTAGAGAGGAGAGTTAACGAATCGAAAAATCGCCATCTCAATTAGAGTTGTAAACCAGGTAGAACTTTTCTGTCTTTGCAACAAGTAGAGCAAACCAAAGAGCTGTGTAATGCTTAAGTTTACCTTGTTTTCGATTTGACTGCAGCAATTCCCTTGAGTTTGAGATGACTAGTAACGGGTATGAACTTGTTCACTCAAAAACCCTCGCTGATGGCTATCAAACCGTCAGACAGAGCACTGCCACTCTCCTTAAACGTTTTCGGATCAAGGGTTAGCTCAAAAGCACCATCTCCTGTGTTGAGCGTCTGAAAAGTGAAAAAAACCACGATAAAATGAGGTTGAATGTGCAAATAAATCTGTGTTTGCCACTGAAATCCAAACGACGTGTTAATGACAGCTGTTACATGGCTACTGAATTAGTTATTTAAACCAAGATTTCAATCTCGTTTTATTTCAGTTCTACTCTGTCGTAGAATTTTGTCTTCTGACTGAATGCGAATGTTAAGTCATTAACTTGCTTTTTGTTTTTTGTTTTCAAAGTTTTTTCTTTTTTTGCCAGGAAAAATAACAAAGTAAAAATACAATACGTAATCGTAAGACTGACAGTTACGTTAACTCCTTGGAGACTGTTGGGGCAAGGAACTACGCAAGGATTAATTTTCAACTAGAAAATGCATATCGAAAAACCTTTAAAAGAGGTAAATGTTACAGAATTTTAAAAGCATAAAAGCTTTCATAAAACGAGCAATTTTTCTAAGGCCAGACCTGAAAGGAGGCCTTTTACTTCGTGATATATTTCATTATTCACACCTTTAGATAGTTATGTGTGTGATTCGCACCTGCAGCTTATGAAATCAGTGAAAAACGGTTACCTTTTTTTAAAAAAATGAGAAAAAAATAAATTTTTGCTCTTAGTACAATGTCAAGCTAAACAAAGAGACAGATAACTGTGTGAAGAGTCATCAAGTTTCATCTTTGGTTCACGTACTTGGTAAAAAAAAAAAGAAAAAGCAAAGTTAAATATGAAAAATTAAAAAGCAAAATCTTGAAGGTTGTTTCTTCGGATAAATGCTTCGATGTGCGAAAATTCCAAGTCGTTTTTGCAAATCATCCTAAGTACAATTGGTATATCACGCAATCGTCAAACTTCAAGGCCCGACAAACGTGACAAGTCTCCAGAGGGCTTAAGCTAAACTTTCAACACAAAGGAAGCACGTGTTTTTCCCTCACTGGATTACTCAACTTAGTTAAAAAGTTTATGCCGCAACACCAAATGTTCCTCGGAAATCATCTCTCCAGCAAACAGAAGTTTTGTCCTAACGCTAGGGATAAACATCTGAACAAGGCAAGTTGCCAAGTAGTGCTCAGGAATCAAGAGAACAGCTTCAGATTTGATTCAGAATCTGTAAATAAAAACAGCGGAAAAAAAAACACAAGAAACCTACCCGAAGAGTTTCCTTACAGCTCTCAAAAGCTTTCTTAAACAGCAAACTACCAAAGGGGTAAGTTTCTGAAGAAACAGTAGCGATAGAGTGCGAGCCATTAAGCTCATTCCCTGTGGTGAACAAGCCTAATTTTGAAAGCTTTTCATTCATAAGTATATGTCACTTTTGAAACAATCCTCAAAACTATTGACATTGACACATTGCAGGTCGCAAAATTCTTATGAAAAATATCTGAAAGAAAATCAAACGTTTCATACCATGATGAGAAGTCTTAAAGAGAAGCCTAAGATTACACACTTGAACTAATAGAAACTGTGATTGTCTTTCGAACCTCGAATAAATCTCACAGTTCATCGTACAGCTTGATCAATATTATTAGCGTTTTTTCACAGCAAATTTAGAAAAATTAGAACCTTAGAACAACGAAAGTTGACTTACTTATTTAGGGAATAAGGAAGGCAGCTGAAGCGAGATGTGCCATACTTTCACAAGATTAAATAAACCGAAATTGGGACAACGCGTCACCCAGGTCGAAAATGGTCTGAAACCGAAATAAAAAAAAGGCCGAAAATAATCTCATACCGAAATAAAAGCGCCTGCTTATAAAACCGATTGTAGTTTTTGTCGGTGAAAGGATGGGCTTAATTTACAGAATTTGTAAGTTGTAAAGTCTCAACTCAATTTCTTAATCATTAGAATCGACAAATATGCAAGATTCATATGCTATATATCATTACCGAAAACGTTGTGGCAAGAAGATTTTATTTACTGACTACTAAGGAAAGCGATAAAAGGATGAGCAGGCGTCAAGGACACTCAATGTCACAGGTAATCATGTCATGTATGACTGCGGTGCATGATTTTTAAGGGTAATCATGTCAAGTTCGCGCGCTTTGTGTTGCTTGTTGATTTGCATACTGTTATTCGTTTAGTAATAAATGATCAGTTCGACTTATTGTCGTGACCATTCTTTTTTTCTTTCAATGTATAATACAACAATTATTAGATTCGGTTTTTGTGATAGTCAGAATAATCAAGGTCGATGAAGGTAGGGGTTGTCAGCTGAAGCCTTTGGCCCTACCTCAACCTTAATTATTTTGGATATCACAAAAACCTAATCCAACAATTGTTTAAAAGGTGACTTCGGAAAACAGTGCATCATGAAAATCGTTAAATCACGTTAAACCAATTGTCATATCGCCTTCGACCAAAAACTATATATTCCTACTGAATTGTGTCAACACTTTTGGCTATTTCAGGCGAGACATTTTCAGAAAAGTTCAAGCAAATGCTAGTTTGTTTGGTGTTAGTTAATCACGCGTCTTCTGAGGTACAAAACAATTAGGTTGCGCATATTTACTAGATCTATCGGTTTCTGTATATGATTAATTTCAAAAATCATTCTAAATCAAATGAATAACACAAATATTTTAAGTTGAAGTTATGGTGTCCACTGTATTTGTCATCATTAACACGACAATTTTGTGACTTAAAATTGTTTTGGATTTAATGCGAGTGAAGTCAGTATCTATTTTATAAGTAACTTCGCACAAAGACGTGGACGATGAACTTCCATCTGTCAAAATAAAACTTTTTTCAAGTCCTATGATGCGTCGATACGTAAAAGACGAATAAAACTCGTTGGTGAAGCGAACGTGAGGAACTCATTTGTAATCGTCATTGTACTTTGGTCTGGTTTCGGTTACATTAGATAATTTTCTTCTTTTAAGCGGCTGCAAAACGAAACTTGAAATCAGCCGGAATCCCTGTGTTACACCTCAGCGAATATTTTAGACCGACTACGTTGTTGTCCGACGGTGCACATTTCAGACGGACGGATAAGCGAGACCTTAGTAACAAGCCAGTGAATTTCGAACACTCAAATGTAAACATACCACCAAAATATTGACATAAAATTACCTTTCAACCAATACGAATTACCCATGTCTGATAAAATGGTTTAGTTTACAGGAGGATATGTTACGTCAAGAAATAAAAAGCCAAAAAAGCTGTTAGTTGTAAATTAAAACCAAAAGACGGAGCCTTGGTCCGCATTAAAACATATGAGTTAGACATTCAACTTACCTGCAGTTTTCAACACGCGAGAGAGAAAATCTGTATCTTCTTTACCTGTAAAAATCAACCGTACATTAGCTGCTGAAATTTGTTGATTTAACGAAAATAACCGTTTGAAACTTGATGGCGCCGTCGATACCTCTAAATATGTTATAAAACAGCGTACCCGCTCGACACATCTTAAGCTGTTTAACATGTTGAATATTTGAATATCAAAAAGCTGGATTATCATGGACAATGAGATTGGAACCGCAAGAATTATCGTCAAAGTTTGAATTATTTAGATCGAGATCATGAATGAAATTATGCGGAGCTTTAGCGGGGGCTGACAGGAGGTAAATTGATCTTGGACTCCTACTAGGACAAACAAAGGGAAAATTCAAAGACACGAGATAATTCATGAAAAATTATACTACAAGCTGTCCCTCCCTTTTAGCGAAGTCTAAGAATTGGAATGGAGAATCGAGAATGGAAAATCAGGAATGGAGAATCGGGAATAAATAATCGGGAACGGGGAATGCGAACTGGAGAACGGAAAACGAAAAACGGGGATTGGGGAAAAGGAAAATGAAATGAAAAATTGAAGATGGGTGTTTATTATGCAGAATGGATATTTGTCAGATATCCACGCTTTCTTTTAAAAAGGTTCAAAGGCAAAATCTGAGGAATGAAATAAATAAATTGATGACCGGCAACGAAAGAAGTGATACATGACACTTGAGGTATGTATTTGTTTATCACATCGCACACAGAAAACAGTAAGCTGTTCGTAACCATTTTTTCACACGCATTGCAAAATATTTGAACTACATGAAACACAATAGCCTCTATTTTACGTGAACATATTCTCGTATATTTGTCCTTGAACATTGTCTGTTCATCCAAGCTCACTTTTTTCCTTATAATTAACTTATTTCGTTCCTTGAATTTTGCCCGTAAATGTTTGAGAAAGAGAACGTGGATATGAATGAAAAACATTTGTTCCTCACTATTAACAATAAATCTAAGGGAAAAAATTTTTTAAAAAATCAATTTCCTATTTTCAATTTCCCATTTCATTATCCCATTCCCCATTTCCCATTCACCATTCCTCATTCTCCATTTGCCATATCCTAATTTTAGTTTACTTTCGACACACTTAACTAATGTTTTTTTCTTTTCAGTCTTGTTGAGCATAATCAATGCTGTGACATGCCTCAACATCACGTCACCAAGAGGTGGTAAATTCAGAACTGAATGCCTACAACATCCGAATAGAACCATCTAGATACGAGTGGCGAGACATTGTTGTACAGGCCTAGACAACTTACCACTGCGGACTTGCGAACATTTATTCAGAATTTATCTAAACAGACTTTTTAATGTTTCTAATGCTCAGGGAACAAAATGTCACACGATGAAATTACATTTTACATTCAGATCAGCTTTCCAGGCCGCTATTTCAATGTCAAGTGAAGAAAAATTACGAAATTAGACCTGATGCATCTATTTCCAAAATGGAGAACCTCACGAGGGTATAACCTTACCAAAAGGTGAATGTTTACGGGGTCTTTTGTCTTCCGGAGGTAAAACTGTTGTATAGCCCTTGTTATTTTGGATTTTGGATTTTTATGACGTAAAGTGCAAACCAAGGATAACTACATATGTAATGCAGAGGTGCTATGAAAAAAAATCAGACCTGTACACCGAATAAATTGATCACTGAACCGCATATCATTTAGAGATGCTAGAGCAACTTTCCGGGTTGCTCTTCACCCTGCTTGTCTCCCTCCTCTCTCCTCACCCCTGCCCCAAGACAACAATGGAGTAATACCATCCCTTTCCCCAAGACAACGGCGAAGAAGTACCATCCCCTTCGCTCAGACAACAGTGAAGTAGTGCCATCCCCTCCCCTCAGACAAAAGTGAAGTAGTACCATCCCCCTCCTTGCGATTTTACATCATACCAGCATGATTTTTCACCATAGCGGTGAAAATAAAACAACCATAATCTCCGGTTCCACACTCATTTCATGGAAATTTCGTATAAAACCACACGTAGAGTTTGTTTTCGTTTTTGTCATTTCTCAAATGTAACAGTGTTTACATATATTTTACTATTGATTTTCTTTGTTGAATAACGAAACTGTTCAAACAAAACCGAAAGACGCATAGAATGTTTGGTCGAATTCGCTTAGGAATACTGTTTGGCGAGATCTCATATGTATTTTTGCAGGATACAGCCCTGTTGGAAAATGTACGATACATTCAGTTCTTCTTAATTTGATGGACATTTATGGGTGATTTCGTTTAGCTATACATAACCAAACAAACATATCTGCGGCACGGGTTTTATCGCCCCATATATGACACTGTTCCACGTGCTCACAACGGGTCGTTTAACTTGCGTTCCTTTTGGATAAGCCGAGAGTTTTGAGTGGGAGTTAACCGAAGCGTTGTAGTAAAATCGTTACGTCAAATGAATAAACCGTAACTTAATAAGAAAGTACAGGTACAGGCTTTTCACGTTTTCGACAAGGAAGAAATTTTTCGCGGGCTCTCGCTGAGCATGCTTCGTCTGTTTGATTGATTGGTTGTTATGTTTTGATTTTTTGTTTTGTCTCGTAAGCTTCACTCAATGAACCAATGGTCCATAAGTTACCACGTTCGTTGTGTGACATGTCGTAGACATGAAAAAAAAAACAAAAAACAAAAAAAAAATCAAATGAAACACGAATCCAGGGCACAAATAAGATGATTGTAACTACAGAAGACGATCAGCTTCCAAACTTGTGATGTCGATATAAGGTTTTTCCGTTGATCTTTGACAGCACGATATAAAAAGTATGCTATCGAAAGACATTCTCCTAGATATCGTCGCTTCATCTGTCGCAACTTTCGCAGTTTGGCTCGAATGCGGAACGGACCCTTTCCGAGCATTGTTTTTAAACTTAAGGTTCTCGATCAGTTTATGAACTACTTACTCCTTCAATTCGTTCCATTTGTAACAAATCCAAGAACTCGTGCACTGATTACCGATATCCTGCGTAGATTTTTGCAGCAGGTGCCCAGCTAAGCATGATCAGTGAATGCTTTGGACGGCAGGAGCTTAACTGTAAGATATCGAAACCAAATTAACTTATACGCTTCCTTGGTGCGCGATATTTTGTTAATTGGATCACGTATCATGGCGGGCGATCTCCATAAGTACTTGAAGAGGCAAAAGTTTAGACTTCGAACGAAAGATCGAGCTTCGAAAACGCTGGAATGATTCGTTTCGAAATTGAAAGCGCTCGAGTTAAAGCCTATTCACTATCACTATGTAAGGTGCGTATCGCAAATACATAATGAAGCTGTTTATGATATAACTCTAGGTATGTTTATGATTTATGAAACACAACAGCTTCTGTTACCTCAAACGATATTCAGCTGGTGCTTCCCTCCTCCCTTTGCCAATAAAAACTAACAAAAGATCCTTCTAACAACGAACTCCTTGATCAAGAAACTATTTATGCTAATTATGCTGCTTTTGGAGCGATTGACTCGTGGTGACGTGCGCAGCCAGCCTGGAAGTGAGTGGAACACGAAATTAAGACGTTTTAGGCCAACTGCAGGTCACGAATGGATTGATGCGTTGACCTGAACCTGGGTGTGTTTAAAACGGTAGAGAAAGTTGTGCCAAAAAAATAAATGAAGCGAGCAGTCAACACAGAGGCAAGGTTTCAAACAAGCCAAAAATGTTGCAGAGCTGGTTGTCACCATGATTGGAGGCGAACAATACGTAGCGCACCTATCGATCAAGGCACGTACGAAATGCACTTTTGAACGGATCATACAACACTGTAACATCCGCTCTCTCGATGTAATGCAATCGCACACCGCTGTTATGACATTTGCTATTGTAATCAACTTAAAAGACATGGACGCATCAAATAAGAGAAAGAGAGAGGATTACGAGGTCAACTGCCTATCGTTCAGCGCGTAAGCCGTTTGTCTAAATCAGAGAAACTGGGTAAACCTTAACACAATTAATGGCTGACAATGACACAACGATCATCATCGACTCACAAACTACACTTTTGACTATTGGACTCTACATAATGTTTAAAGTCCAGTACAAACTGCTCTCGTCGACTGACTATAGATAGCTCAGTGGTGTTTCCATTTAGAATAGACCTCTCTCAAAAGATAACAACTATCGGCTCCTTACAAACATTTCACTCATGACAGCCGAACCGAAAAGAACCACCAATTTCACCGACTGATAGAATCCGTCCAATGACTCGGACTGGGGAAATTTTTGCGGTATAGGATGTTAATCCGTCAAATGGCTGAAAAACTATCATCACGACTCTTGCAAGGTAAAAAAAAAAATTGCACGATTTTTACTATCAATCGTCCATAAGGCCAACCAATTTTAGACGTCAAAATATTCTTACATTAAATTGAACTGGGGCAAGGGAATTAAGCCTATGAGGAGCCATAATTGGGTATTGTAGCACCTGGCTGTGTGTGACCAATCCACTTAGATAGTAATGAATATTCCTAAAGCACAATTTTATACAGGTTCTTTTTCCAACAACATCTACGGCTGTAGAAGAATAGTACCGTGACCCACAACTGTCACGGCAAAACCAAAAAACTCTCGGCAAAACCAAAAGGCTCACGGAATAATTATTTCATGTTCAGAGAGATTATGCAAATTTTCTTCAATGTTATTGTAATTTTTTTACAACATAAGTACAATGATTGTGGAGGGAGAGGGAGGGTTGGAACTCTGTAGGGAGGGGAGTGTGATTGATTGTTAATACATGAAAATTTTACTCTCCTCAACTATCAAAATTCACCCTGCCATGGTTACGTCGAGAACAAGGTGAGGGGGATAAGTGAGTTTTTCCGTGGGTTTTTTTATTTTGTTTTGAGTCTTTTGGTTTTGTCGTGAGGTGTTTGTTATTCCCGTGACAGTTGTGGGGCCATCTCAGGAACTGCAGACCTCCTCATGAAAACTTATTTCGTCAAACCTTGGTCGTGTTTGTGGTATTACTAAGACTACTGAGTTCATTGGCCATCGCTTCTTATCAAGAAACGAACGATAATGATAATTACAATGATCATTATCTTATTCTGTAAAAGGTTTTTTTCGAACCTGAATGCGCTGCAACCTTGTAGTGTGACAAAAGTCAATAGATTCCAGCGCGTTTCGGAAGTCCTTACTGAGTACAAAACGTGGAATTCCTGATTTCCCGTAAAACAACACGAACTTTGCACCACAAATATCTGTGTACACTGGAAACATAAGAGGTTGGCCCTCGCATATTAATTTTTGGTCTAAATTAATAAAAAATAATGGTTTATTCGGGCGTTGTCAAAGTTGTGTCTTTCTTTGAAGAACAAAACCTGAATTTTACAACTTCATTTCTGGTGATAAATTGTCGTTGCGAAACATTTAATCGTCGATTGCCATGAGTTTTTCCGTTTACTGTTCGGGGGGGGGGGGGTTTGAACCCTGACAAGACCTCTTAATTTCCCGCGGGCGTAGAAACGCTTTTGCCGTAGCGCAAATAACGAGGGCCTGGGCTTGCTGGCAGGCTACGACACGAGAAATAGGAACACAAAACTGAATGAAAGAAGCTAATTTTGTAGATAATTCCTGGGCTTGTGCTGCTTTCTAAATACAACTATTATTAGAGGCTTCAGTTTTCATTCAGCATTATTTCACGCATAATTTACATGATGGTTAAAAAAAAATAGAAATTGATCTGTAATACTATTGAGACAAACTTCAACTTGAGTGACAAAGTAATGTTGGATTGCAATGGTTTGCCCTGCCACCTCACGTACTGACATGAAAAACTTACATCATCCTCTCAACCAATCAGATGCAACACTGAGACCAAAAGCTAAAATGTGACTAATATTTTCCCCGCACTTTTTGTCAGTCGCATTAATTCACTTAATAGTTCCTTATCTTTTGTACGCTTTATCTGACTAGCCGCTGCAAGAGCGTTTCAAACCAGCGGGAAAAAAAAGCTTTGTACCGCTACTTTCATCAGTCAATTCTACGATAAGAAAGATCACTAGATTAACAGCTTCTGCATTAAATAAGAGCTTTATTAATTTAATCATTAAAATACATAAGAAATTTAGACAGGACAAAGCCGCCTGGATTCCATTTAAACTCTTTCACAAATTGCAAACTTATGTACATCGTATCATACATGGCATCCTTCTATTCATCCAAAACCCGGTCACGTCAGGCGGGCATGCGCAGCTCCTATTTCCAGCTATGATGACGATGTCCTCGTGTTCTGTGGCACAAACACTTTGGCATTTGGGTTCAGCGTGCTCTTCGCCTAAAAGAAATCAAGAGTAAGACATTAAAAAGAAAATTTACCCCTTAGAGTAACTGCCATTTAATTTCTCTTGACAGTATTACTTCTGAGTCAAGCATCAAGGTTATTTGAATATAGGAAATGATTGCTAACTACTCTGTAAAGAAGCCCTTCATTGTTTGACAAATTCACCTTGTTAATACAACAGGGAATGTGCCGAGAAAAGTGTGGAGAATATGCATACTGGTGTTAGGATGTGGAGGGTTGGAGGAAAAAAAAAAAAAAAAAAAAGGGTTGGGTGGTATGAAAGGATATGAGCTTGGAGATCCAAGATAGGTAAATAAATATATCCATAACACCAGTAGGAGGGCATGGATGTGCTCAATTAGAACAGAAATACATACAGTGCAGCTTCTCCTAACATTTTAAAAAGAATCTGTGACATGATCAAAAGAAATGTAAAATATATTCCCAACTATGCATTTCAGCTTAAACGTTATTGAAAAATTCAGTAAGTGCACACATATGAGACACAACTTTAAGTCTACACATCCTTGTCAGTAGTATGAACAACAACTTCACTGTTATCCATCATGTTTCAATGTTTAAGGGCCGTGATATTGTCAAGTCAAACCTTGATTCTACTCTGTGCTATTTGCTTCTTGTTCTGCCAAATAGAACCTTACATTTTAAGCAATCTATAAAGTCCCTTTGAAGGTGCAGGGATTATGTTGCACATTAACTGATTCTGACTACACTCAGACGAGTTATTCAATGTGAAAAGTTTATAAAGTCAGCCAGTCTTGTAGTGTATGTGTCCTAATATAATCTTCTAAGGGTTCTACAAAAAGAACCTGTGCTATGCCAGATACGAAAAACCAATAAAAAATCACTCTTTAGAAGTGGCCAAAAAAATATGTGGAAACGTATTCCTCATCTAATGCAGCAGTACAATACCCTTAGAAAAGGGTAAACTAACCTGGTTACACTGCTTATTACAAAGAAAAATCAATGAATGTAATAATATTTCACAGGGATTTGGAAACAAAAATTACATCAATGAAAAAAAAAGAGAGGGAGAGAGAGTGACCAAACATAAGACTGACCAACCTAGAATGACTTAATTTCCCAGCAAAATGCTTAAATAATCTGAAACTTCCATGATGCCATGCAAACATCTTCAACATGCCATTAGAATATCAATTTCTAACTAATTCATTCCCATGTCACTCAAACTTCAGAAATTACATTTTCAGGGACAGTGTATACGATAGGGAGTAATAACCCTTCACAATGATGAGCATCGAATTTCACATTACTGTATCACTACTGAATCAAACATTAAGGTCATGAAAATAAAGGAAATGATCACCAACTGATCCTTCCCAATGCCATAAAAAATGTAGAGAGAACTGTCCACAGTATATGCAGAGTAATGTTAAAGTGTGCATGTTAGAGGTAAAGGACACTAATTGTCAAATGCCAAATGGTACAAACTGTACTAACCTTCACCATTTGAATTTTACATTGAAATTAAAATCTTTTCAACACCATGAAAACCAAAACCTCACAGTCATACCACAAGCGAGATATATGACTTACATTTGTGACGTAATATAAAGCACATTGAAAACATAAGCACTGTATGTGTTATTAATTTAAAAGCTTAACAGTTCTGCTATTATATCCATCATAAATATGTAATATAATTAAGAAATACAAAAAAAATGTGTAAGAGTAGAAAACAAGTAATAAATAAAAGGTAGCCAGGCTATCATGGACAACATATTCTTTTGTCAGATTACATAAAAGACTGGGAAATGTTCAGAAAAAATGTCTCTAGTGTCCCACAAAGTTAACACAAACCTTCACCCAAATTCTATAAATGAAATCAATTCACATATCACATGAGGTGAAAGTGATCGGCTTAGGATGGCAGACTAGACATAAGTTAACACAAACCCTCACATAAATTCTGTACATGACAATCAATTCACACATCACATGAGGTGAAAGTGATCGGCTCAGGATGACAGACTAGACATAAGTTTACACAAACCCTCACATAAATTCTGTACACGAAAATCAATTCACACATCACGAGGTGAAGGTGATCGGGTTAGGGTGGCAGACTAGACATAAGTTTCGGCCCCCTACCAACTATCACCAACAGCTATGAATCTTTGTAAATGATTGCCTGCCATACTATCATGTAGAATTCCACATTGTATCTTTCTTCTCAAGCATCAAAAGATTTGTGGTCACCAATTGCCATGTTTTAGCATGGCAAGCTTTGAGTACTCATTATGTGTGCATATTTTCTTCAAGGCCAAGACAAGACAAGTTGAAACAATCTTCTTGGAAACATATTTCAAACAACAAGACACTGCTAAATTGATCCATCATACAGTTTCAAGAGTCATGAAAATAACCCTTACTTTCATTGTATAACCTTTGCCAACACAACACAATAAACCTGCTTTAAGTATGATAAAAGTAAGGAGGGGCTATCAAATACAAATAGGCTACTGGAACTCAATCAAAAGGCCATTGTGATTGCTTAATAGAGGTAACTACTTAATAAAGGTGAAAATCAGAGTAATTAAGAGGAAACAAATCTGGGACTTTGACAACCGACCACTTAACCCTGTAACTCCCAAGATCTGATTGTTAATTCTACTCTAGCTGCTACACATTTCTATGCAAATAAGTAACAAGAATTTGGTGTTAGATCAAGATAACTTTCACCTGATAAGTTTAAATATTCTCATGACCTGTTTGCTTGATAATGTTTAGATTCCATAGGGAGAAGTTATATGTTAACAACTTCTGGGAGTTAAAGGGTTAATCAAGGGTGACTGCTTGATACAATGCCACTTCAGAGAAGTTTTACAGGGTGACCGCTTGATACGGTGCCACTTCAGAGAAGTTTTACAGGGTGACCGCTTGATACGGTGCCACTTCAGACAAGTTTTACAGGGTGACCGCTTGATACGGTGCCACTTCAGACAAGTTTTACAGGGTGACCGCTTGATACGGTGCCACTTCAGACAAGTTTTACAAGGTGATTGCCTGATATGGTGCCACTTCAGACAAGTTTGACTTTATACAAGCGGTACTTTAAGTAAAGGCTTAACGTGATCTCAACCAATGTAATGTTTAAAATTTGTCTCATGAAGAACACATAAAAACAATAGATGTGAATACCGGAATTCTTGCCATAAAAAGAGAAAAAATCCATTTCCCACAGTGAACTGATGCATAACCACAGGTCAGTGCACACTACGTCAAGGTTCACAAAATTGCTGATATTTCTGAATGCGTGACTAATCCTGGTTGTTTTGATGCTAAATTTGTTTTGCACTTCACAGAATATACACACGTAACTACATTTGTAGAAAAATGTTCCCATTCTGAGGAATTTCCAAATATTTCAAATCAAGAATTTGAAATAGAAATTTAAAATCCTTGCACACTTTAATCAAGAAAGCTCGAAAGTGTGAATGATTCTCTTCTTGAAATGGTGTATCTTTTATACAGCCTGTTAGCACTTTGTTTAAGAGTTGTTTTGCCCCAGTTAAAGCAGAACATAAATTCACAATGTGCTCAAGGCATCAGCTTCTAAAAACACTACTACCATTTTCAACTTTGAATGACCCTACATCTTTATTGAAGGTGTCTTCCAGGAATATAGCATTTACAGACTTGAGGAATTGTTTTATTCCCTTGTTCTTTCAAATAAAACTACTGGCATTTGGAACTATTCGAAATTATACATTTTAAAGGCAGTTAAGGCAACCTCAAATTGTTTCATACACATCTTATGGCAAAGATATTTCATGTTTGTACACAGATAAGAAATTCACCAGTTTTACCAAGCATTGGAGTAACATCGCTAGAAGAGCCGACAAATAAAAGTTAATGATAAATCCATTAGGTTTAGAGAAGCAAGGAGAGGAAAAATAAAAATGAAAAACGAAAAAAAAAACAATTTAATGAGAGAGCGGACGAAATCTCCGAACCATCTTCACCGAAAGCTACTTAATACAGAAACAAAGGAGCTACTGTAACTGCCCTTGGTTCAAATCCTTTCACGCCCCAATACAAATTTCGGTGTGGATCTCTCGTGGCACGAAAAACACCACTGAGAAGTGAGCTGAATTTGTAGAATCTAAAATTTTCCAGAAGTCCAGTTTTTGATTAAATAAAGAAGCGTTTCCATATAGAGAAATCACTGAGTTTAATAACGAAGAGGGGAAGGTAACTAATTCACCAAAGTCCCTTGCACAAATTTAGCATTTTCAGACAACTTCTTGAGTATTTTTGGAAGAGAATCTCCCACCATATTTATTCGCAAAGCACTCAACTTGGAGAGAGAACCATCGTTTGAAAACCGAAACGTCGTTAACCGTTAAGCGATTTCAGTATGACGATTGCGCTGCTTAACGTGTACATTGAGTCAAATATACTTCAAAGGGCAGGGATATCTCGAACACTACATTCATTTGCTATAATTCGATAATACCGTAGTAGAATCAGACCAAAAATAAGGAAATACGAAATTTAATCACCATAAAACATTAATAGGTTTGCCTTTGCTGCATAATAAGAAAAAGAAAACGTAAAAGAAACGCGCAATAGATTTTCAACAGAGACTGCGCCTCTATGGCGGTTTTCCCTACACCCTCGCCATCGCTTTTCTCTGGACCTTCGTTGATTTCGACACCACACAACATAAAATTTGAATTTTTGCCATTTCATCCGCCGTAAACACACACAACAAACCTCAGATATGCATTCTGTATGGAAATTGTACGACAATGAATCACTCAACAAAGCTATTCGAGAATCAAACTTACCACGACGTTGTAGTCGTGATTGCCGTAGCCATTCGTGTATCCATTCGAGCAAACGTTACGTCCCTGGAAGTTACTTCTATAAGAACTTTGTGATGTTCCTTGCTGTACTGAATCTTTGCTCTGTAAGCTCTGTAATTGCTGTTGGGCTATTATTTCGGCCGCTGTCATTGTTTCGCGTTCGTCTTCTTCATCAAGCAGTTGTTCAATACATGCACGAATGAACTCCTCTTCGTTGAGTTGATCGTTCACTTCGCGATCAAAATCGTCCATATTCTCCATCCACAAGTACTCAGCAAACGGATCCTGCTTGCTCGGGTGGTTATTTTCCATATCCAGGAATGAGAGGAACACAGGTACTTTTTGTCAAGCACGAAAAATACAACGTCCGAGATACACCGACGTAACGAAGTTCGGTCACCTGCGTCAGAGCCAATCATAAGGCTCCTCGCTGACAGGCCGGCATAACATAACACGTAAATATGGCGCTTGGCTTATGTTATGATGCAAGCTTCAGAGAGAGAGGAAGAAACGACAACACAATAGATCAATCCTGCCACCTCTGCAAAAAAAAAAAATTAAAATTGTGGCAATTCTTCCAGCTTACAAGTTAAGAACATGTTTGGGTTATTCATGAACAGTCTCTCAAAATTTGTGTATGTGGGTGAAAGCGCACGGGCTGTGTGTTGTTTCGACCGGAAGTTAATAATCTGCATTTTTCATGATGTGATTTCCGCTGGCCTGACCACACCTTTCAGGTTACGGAATCACTTAAAATATCAATAGTCTAAAATTAGTATGGTTGAAAAGATCAGTCAGAGTTAGACATCACTTACTCAGACCTCAGTTGTCTGGACTTGAAGCCAATTTTACAGCTTTCACAACTTTTTCAGCATCTGAATTTTGACCGACTGTTGGCACTGCTTTAACCGTGATAAAGAAAAAAAAATGAGAAACGGCAATCATATATTGAGCTTCCCTGATAGGGTAATCGGCTGTTCCGCTGGATCAATTGGCTGTACAGGCGCGCACGCGGGGGTTTGTCGTAAAAAAAATGAAGAGCCAAGTGCGATAAAAACCCACAGGGAGAAAGGAAAACCTAATTAAGGTAAATTAGTACTCGAGAAGAAGCAACGCCGCCAGGGTGAAACGATTCCATGCATGACAGCGTAACTTCGGTGAACCGTGGAAAACTTAATTCGATGCAAAACCGCATCATTGGAAACCCAAATGGCAGTAACTGATGATGGGTCAGAGGAAATAAGTTCGACGCGAAAGTTTCCTCAACAGACAAGAAAGGGCGTAGGATCGCAGATGAATTTTCCTGTCGCCTGTTCATCTGCCCTCGCATTTCTGGGAATTGGAAGATCGCACCGAGAAACGATTTATCGGACAAGCCTTTGGATTATTGCCCCCGCAGGGTTTTTGGCCCCAGAGGGCCAAAAACCCGAGGAGGCACCTTAGGACTTGTCCCGCGTAACCCGGTAATTGTGTAGGCGTAATTGGCCCCAGAGGGCCAAAACCCCAGAGGAGCCAATAACCAGATATCAAGGGTTTTTGCCCCCCAGAGGGCCAAAACCCGAGGAGGCACCTTAGGACTCCCCGCGTAATATAGAGGAAGACTGGAAAAGAGGGAATGTGGGTATTTTCGGTAGATCGTAACCAGAAAAATCTCGATTTGATCGCTTGCACGGCCGCAAGGTATCAACGTTTTTCCCGCAAATGGTCATGGGCTGCCAGTAAAAACACGCGCGCGAGGACTTTTAGGATCGGCGTCTTTGACAGGAGATTTGTCCTAGTATAGAGGAAGACTGGAGAAGAGAGAATGTAGGTGTTTTCGGTTGATCGTAACCAAAAAAATCTCGATTTGATCGCTTGCACGGCCGCAAGGTATCAACGTTTTTCCCGCAAATGGTCATAACTACACAACTGTAAACAACAAGCCCAACTCAAAAAAAAAAAAAGAAAATGGTACTGTAGGGCGGGGGCAGCTCTAGTGAGAACTATAACTAGTTACATAACAGGAAGTGCCCGTAGGCAATAAAGACGCCAACCCTGTATTCTGATCAATTACCCGAGAGGGCACTGGGTTCGTGTATGTTGGGCCAATCAAGTGATTCTTAATAATTATTTTGATATTAATTAATAATCTCGCAATCACGTAAAAACACTTGGCCTACTAACGAATCAGCAATATTAACTTCCACCTGATAAGTTTGAGTATTCTCATCACCTCTTTGCTGGATAACATATGGATGTTATGGGAAGAAGGAACATGTTAATCACCTCTCAGAGTTAAAGGCCCTGGGTTAATTGGCAAATGCAAACAAAGAATGGATCCATGGAGGTAAAATCAAAGTTGCAAAGCTAGTTGAACTTAGGCATTCAGTCAGTTTGATTTCCTTACATCAAATGCATGTGCCTCTGAAACTGCCATAACCTTCAAAATGACAGTTTTATGCAATAAAACTTGCAACAAGATTGGGAACGCAACAAATGAAGGCAATTAATTATATATTTAATCCTAAAGATTGACAAGCATTTAATTTTACCTCGTAATATCACTCCTGAATCACACACTAGGTGTATAAAGGAATCAAAGATATGACCAACATCTTAAGAAGCTCTTGATTGTTAAACTAAGTCTCCTTCCTTATCAGCACAAAATATATGGGGAACAGTGTGGAGAATATGCATTCTGATGTTGGGGTGCAAAGTGTTAGGATGTGAAGAATTCAACCCTTCCACTCCAAGATCCAAAAACAGTTATCCACAATCAAAAATACTCTGATGAGTATTTCATAACATCCAAAGAATATCCCCCTTTGATAATTGTCTCCCTTCTCAACAATTCCTGCTTAAAAATGTATTAACATTTTATAGTGAAATTTTCTTTTTTAGTTATTCCTGCTTGAAAAGGTTAAAATTAATCAAATTATATAGTTATTATGATCCTTAATTTCCCTTAAATGATAATTAAAATAAATGCTTAGTATTGGCAGTATATACCAAACAGGCAAAACGTCCTTCTTGGACACACTGATGGGCTACTTCAGAAGTCATTGGCAAGTAACACACACCTACAAGCCATCAAAGAGATAAATTGCTCGTTTAGAGTTCAATTTTCTGCTAATTTCTCAGTATTTTAACAGAAATGAACAAATTCTTTGGTTTCTGTGTGGTCTTTACTAAAAAAAAAATATTCAGCTCAAAAAGTGGTTCACCTAGTAAATAAATAATTTATACCACACAGATTAATTGCTCTGTTTGTGTCCAGTAATTGGCTGGTTTGTTTCAGAAATGATTAGTGAGTTCCATTCACCTCTGGGCAGCCAAAGAGACAAAATCATGAGTCAACAATTTAATTTCCTACCATTTTTTGGTATATTGTTGGAAATAATCTAATATTTTTGGGTTCTGTGTGGTATATACATGTACTAACACAATTATTCACCCAGTGTTGGTGAAGGTAGAACATCTATATAATTATCTACCTCGCCGCTTGCAGCTCAGCAAATATCCACCAAGCTATTCAACTCCACTTCTGTGAATAATTGCTAATTTATTCTTGATCTGCACTTTAAAACTTCTTCTGTCTAGTCAAATAGTTCTACAATGGCCTTTGAAGGAGATATACACTTCAGACAAACACAATATCTGCAACCACTCAAATACAATAAAAGGATAAAAAAGGAATACACTTACAACAGAAACTTCACTTGATGTTGAATCCTTAAAATTCTCCCCTCTAGCTGCTACACATTTCCAAGAATTTAGTGTAAGATCAAAACAACAACTTCTACCTGATTTGTTTGAGTATTCTCATTGCCTGTTTGCTGGATAATGTATGGTTAATATTAGGAGAAGTTACATGTCAATAATCACTTATTGGGGTTAACCCTTTAACTCCCAGAAGTGATCAACATGAAACTTCTCCCTATAACATCCATACATTTTTCAGCAAACAGCTAATGAGAATACTCGGTAGAGGCTGCTATCTTGATTTAGCACCAAGTTCTCATAACTAATTTACAAAGAAATGGGCAGCGGCTAGAGGGGAGAATTAACAATCAGATATTGGGAATTAAAGGGATATGCCAGAGTAGACTGATGTCATTCAGTTGAAATAATATTCCACATTTGTGCAAACATAAGCTGCAGGCTCAGACAAGAAGTCCATAAATAGTTATCAAAAGATTAACACAATGATTTAGTTGTGTCAAAAAAATTAAGTCAGTCTAATAATTTAGGAAAAGTTAATGAAAAGGTATCACCAGTTATTAAGAAAACTGCCACTCATATTTAGCTGCTGAAAGCCTCTCATAGTTTTAAAAGGAAAAATTGATGTTCTGCAAATCTAATAGCTACAGGTAAATAACAACATACAAATTGGAGATGTTAAATTTGCAAGCAGAAAACAAAATTTCTGATACTCTTTAGAAATGTTTCATGCACAATCAGATCCCTCCAGAAAAGTGTTTCATAGTTTATTTGAATTAAAATCATTTCAAATTAGTTCGATTTCTGATTTTCCCTTTCTCTTTGACTTGCATTTGAGAAATATCAGAAACCCAAGGAATCTGAATTATAGCTGGTCCAAAACATGCCAAAACCAATGAATGTTTTAACTTCAACACAATTATACTGTTTACCAACTGTTTCCTCTCTATCCACAGGTAACATTTCAACAACATTATATAGATTAATCGGGGAACAAAATACCATGATTTGAAAACACATTTGGTAAAAGTACCATAGAAACATAGTTTAATCACAGGGACCTAAAAGACTTCAATATACACTGTAATAATACATCATTTTTCTCACACATGTCCACCATAATCTTCTCTCAGCTCTTAATATGTTTTTGTCCTTGTTGGTAGATAACCCTCCGTTTTCTTCGACAAAAAATTAAAAAATGCAAGGATTCCATGTCTGCGACTTGATCTCTGGCCAGCATAAGAATAGCTTGGTTCTGGGTAGACAAAGATATGAAAAGAGAAAAAAAGTTAAACTTGTCAACTTCACATTATAATTATCATTGTAAATAACAGCAGAAAATTGTTTTCAAGATGTAGAGAGATCCAATATGTTCTTTAACATTATGCTTACATGTATGTTTTCAGACATTAAGACTACTAAATAAATACATTGCAATCTCAATCTCAAAATGCAAACAACCTCACAACTTTCAAAGTTAAATTGCAAATTTGTTCAAAAAAGACACAACTGAATAACAGAACATTTACCAAATGAATGAAACTGAACTTAATGCCAATACTTGCAAACTTGGTCTGAAATGCTGCATAGGTATTTTCCTTTTTTTTTTTTTTTTCTTTTTAATTTTTGCAGCCTTTTAGCAGCCTATGTACTGTTTGGACCCAATGGGTAAAAATAAAATGGTTATCATGCTTAAAAATTTTTTCTAGGGTTTCCATTAAGGAAAGTACTAAAATGAGAAGAGTTTTAAGTAACAATGAAAATATTTCCCGAAGTAAACAATAAACAGCCAAGGCCATCCAAATTTTATCCCAGAATTCTGCCAGGTACAGGTAAATCTATGTAGTTGCAAAATTTTGTTATCTCTGATGGTTAATAAAAACCCTGATGTACATGTAATGAACAAACTGCTACATCCCCAGTTGTACCTGTTGTATCCTCTGGAACTGTGGATGCTGTTGGTAATACATTTTCACTTGCGGATAAGGAAACAAAGAATGCAAATGGTAGAACCCATAAACAGATTGTGAAGTAAGCTAGAATCTGCAAAAAACAAAGTCACATACTAAATATTTGTTCATGACCATGCACGAGGTCAACAGGACTAGATAATGGGCATGTTCTTTTCTTGTGAAGACCATGTCCATTAAAATGCAAAAAATGGCCAATACATGATAAAACTGAGTGAACAAGCTTGGTCAATAAAGGATTTACTAAATGGTTTAAAGATTACACCAAAAATTGCAACACAAAGTCAAGAAATTCTTTCTGCTTTTCTTCATTTTGACTGTCTTCAGGATAAACTAATATTCATGACATGAGCTGAGTTTATGTTTTGTGATGCTAATGTTGTTGAAACTGTGAGAACAATTACTACAGGGAGAAAAAAATGCTTCTCAGAGTTACAAACAATGTTTGTTGGTTACAAGCAATTTTAGGGGCAAAGTATGTAATCCCAAGCAGGCAAAATAGACCCATTTCACCCATTCTGTTAGCCACACAATTTATAGGATTCATTTCACCATGTCCTTGGCAGGAACAATGCACAGTTTCTCAAAACCTGAGTATTAGAGGGCTGGAAATCCTCTGTTAAGAAATTTGACAGGTTTTGCCAGTCCATCTTTGATTTATTTAATGTTTTTCACGCCAGAATAACTTAAGTTCAGCAGTAAGGTGCTATACAAAAAAACAACTTTAAAAAGAAAAGTATATCTCATCAATTTCTTTAATTTGCTACAGTAACCGTAGATGTTCAAAAGAAATCTTTCTCTTATGTTTAAACTCAGCATCCCTAAATTTTTCTGATAGATAGTACAAACAAGCACATTACCTCAGAAAATGGATACCATACAGAGGAGAAGTGGTCAAATGCCAAGTAGTGATTGACAAAAACCATCGCTGAAAAACAATTAAAAGTAATTTTCACTATTTAGGTGAAAAATTCATTTCAATAACAATTTATTCATCTCATAATCTACATTAACCTGAGACACAATGACCTAGAAATGTTTCAATTTCAAAATTCAGTAGCAAAAGGGAAGTGCAAAGAGAACACAGCTTGGGGCATGTGATCTACTGTCTCCAGAGTTGGCCAATTAGACTAAGCACAGGTTTTGGCAGTGATAAATGATTGGTACAAATTTTGAACCTTTCTATAGCATAACTTACCCACTCCCCCTAAAAACACTGGAGATGTCAGCTGAATAAATGGAAAATCTTTAAGAAGCAGGAAATAAAGTCCATTGGTAAAGAGTCCTGCAATTATTATTAAGAGAGGAAAACTTTCTAGCACAAGAAGTCCTAGGAAAACCAGAGTTGTCCCCTGTAAAAAACAAAGACAAGGAAGTAAATTGTTAATTTTGATAAATATAATTTCTATCTTTGATGCCTAAGAAAGCTTTCAGCCAAGCTGTGTCAGGTAAAAATGCTTCTCTGATTCAGAGATTGCACACAGAATGACAAACACACAGACATATTTCACTAACATGGAGGTGTCTTACGTAAAATTCCACCCATTGCAGCAATGTGGAAATTTGCAGCAACAATAAACCATTAATTCTTGTTAAATATAATTTCTGTCTTTGATGCCTACAAAAGCTTTCAGCCTAGCTGTATCAGGTAAAAAATGCTTCTCTGATTCAGAGATTGAACACAGAATGACAAACTGACAAACGCACAGACATATTTCACTAATACAGAGGTGTCTTGTGTGAAATTCCATCCATTACAGCAGTGTGAAAATTTGCAGCAACAACAAACCTTTTTTTTAATAATAAAAGATATCAAATAGACATATGTTTTATCAAAAGACTAAGAGTTTCACCAACATGCATACCTAAGTGCAAAGAAAAGGAGAGACACGTCTTAAGAAATCAATACATTTCTTTCAAGAAATGTCTCAGACTGACAAGGCATCTTATTGCCCTGCAATGTGTCACATCATGATATTTTACTAAAGCTTCATCACAGAGGGATTTATTCTTGAAGGTAGACATGTCAGTCACAGCTAACTGATAAATCTTTTATAACTTTCAATCCCAGGTGTTAATAATAATTTCTCTTGGAATTAACACTCCCCTGTAAATCAAAGTGCCATGTTGTGTAGAGAAGAACATCAACTAAGGTGTATTGCTTGATTTATCAAACACGAAATTCCCAGAGCTGTAGTTGTTAGAAATGTGTGGTAGACTATAAGGAGAGTATTAAGATCTCGGGTGGAGAGGAAAGGTTTTTGTCAACACCTATACACTGAAAAATGAACTACACATGTAGTTTTTTCATTAAGATTCAGCAAGTGAATCATTCTATTGTCACAACGAAACTGGAAAATAAGGAGAATTTCCCAAAAGCCTATGGAAAATGCAAAATAATCTGCAGACGGTCGAAACTACAACATCTAAACTCCACCTGTCTTTCTAAATTCCCATGTTGTTTCACGACGTAAATGAAGAACAACTGCCAGGCTAAAATTGCATTTTACAATCGGACCAAATTCACACTCCATAAAAAGTAATTTTGAGCTCAATTACTTGTGCAACTCTTGTAATTTCCACCTGATATCATTCATTTCAATATCTCTTAATTAATTTGCACGGAAACTGTATGCACCTCAGCTGTCTACATTTTACGACTTACCGCGACCATACCCTTAATAACTTTAGCTGTTAGTACTGTGTATTCCTCCACAAGTTCCGCAAGGTAAAAAAGAGCAGCAGCTGTGGCAAGATTGTAAAAAAAAAAAAGACAAGCGTGTGAGCACCCAACGAAATGTACAAGCTCAAACCACTGCCAAAGATTCTATCTAGGAAACGCCAGAATCGGTTTTGAAGTACCTAATGCAAGAGTCAAGAAGAGAACGTGGAAGATCATGGAAATCCAGCTTAAAATGTAAAGAAACATCTTGAATTACTAAACACTCAAGCAATTCTCCGCCAGATATCAACAACAAATTAAATTCTCTGCAAACGTGCCAACTTTACCACTTTGTAGCCACTCCTTTTACTTTACCGCTTTGTAGCCACTCCTTTAAATTTCAAAGCGGTTCCTCATCCAATTTATAGGTTCGCAGTGCATGCATACAGTGCAAAGACACTACCTGGAATGTTTTTCCTCTGAATATATGCTCCTTTGCCTGATATTTCCAACAGAAAACAATCGTATTCACAAGTTTGAGCGTGTATTTAGAATGTTAAACTAATCAACAACTTTCCTTTTTATTTATATTTTCCACTTTTAACTATTTATATATATATATTTTTTCAAATTATTAACACGGTTACTTTGGGTTATTGACCAAGCGTGAAGTCAAGATGGCTAGAAATCGCCTAGTTCTCTTTTTACGTTGTTATGGACCGACATGAAGTCGGGTTCCATAAAACGCAAAAGAGAAACGAGGCTAATATCCGGCCAGCCTCATCGAACAAGCATGATCAGTAAAGGATTTCATTGCATAGCAAGAATCAAGAATAACTTTTTGTTTCGAGAGCCGGGAAAGAAGGCCAGCTGTGTTTGTAGCACAATAATCCCACGAAAGTCTTTTATGCTTTCTCTGTTTTGACTGTCTTCTGCCGCCTGTTGCGACTTTATCGCCGACATTGTCCAAAAGTTGCGAACTTTATGAGTCCGGTCCCTCGCACGCACCGGGCGGGCAAGATGGGCTCAGTGAGTGCTTCCAGCTATTGAATAAAACTCTTTATGGCAATCCAAAGAGTAATCTGAACAAATCAATCACAATCTTATTAACATCTTGACAAGTTTCGTAATCTTCTTAAATTCTTAGTTGGAAGTTTCTTTTTTTATTATTACATTTTTTTCTGTGTTTCTATATTTAATCTTCACTTGTTTTCAAACAAATCTTAGTTTTCACGAAAACTGCAATTTAACCAACGCGAAAATGAACTTGAAAAAGGAAACAATAAATAAGTCCCAACTGCATGAAATCAGCCAAAAAAAGTAATTCAGAAAAAAACCGAAAATGAAATTTCAATTGTGACTATGACATGGAGTTTCTTAAATAAATTTCTAATCCAGCGCCGTTAAGAGTTCATCCGTAAAAAAATTCGACATAAAACGATTTCACTTTCAAAAGACTCAAATGAGATGATCCAATGATTTTGAATCAGTTATTTATTTTTTCATTATCTTGGCCTGGACTCCTGTAAACAAAAATGAATACGAAATAATTCAGAGAGAATTCTCTAGTAACCGGCGAAATTCTCCAAAATTTACTTGATTAGATATTCTTTTCCTTTCTTAGACAGAGACTGCAACAATCAGGCATCAGTAGGAAGCACACCGTTCTAATCTGTATGGAAAACAACTGATTAAGAAGAAAAACTTGAAACAATTCAAATTTCCCGTTCATCAGAATATCTTTGTAAAACATTAATTATTAGCCTTTGAAATGTACGCGTCATACATGGAATAAGTGGCCAAAGAACCCAAGGGGTATGTTCAGGTTAATTTCCGATTCAAACGGGTGACACAATTAGGCTTGATATGACCCTCTGGGCATCACTTGCCTTGCATCACGCAATGAAATATTTTAGCATCGCAAAGAGGGTTAAATATATTTTCTTGGTCACCAATCGGTTTTACGAGAATTGTTTTCACTTTGTCGAGCATTATGACTCATTTTGCGGGCTAAAATGGAGATTTTGATGAGCTAAAATATATTTAGCCCACTCGCAAGCTCGCGTGATTGTTCAGACTGTTTTGTTGTTAGTTTTTCAGTTTACTTTTCCATGCCCTCCAAAGTGGTAATTATAGTAGTACAGTTGATGATGCTATGATCTTAGTAACAATAATTGTACAGTTTATGATCTTATGATCTTATGATCTTACGATCCTAGTAATAATAATTGTACAGTTTATGACCTTAGACATAGATATATTTTGGGCTCTCCTCATGCAGAGCTTTTTTTAACCCTTGGCTAGCTGGTCGAGCTAAAAGAGACTCTGAGTCAGGCCCAAAACATATTCCTACCCACCAACATAAAATATTTGGTTTTAACAATCGTTACCTGGATAAAAGATTCGAATCAATCCTGTAATTATCCCTTTTAGATTGATTCCAAGACCTCTGTGTGTTTTATTTCATCTGAAAAGTTGAAGTCACGTTTGTGGTTTATATATAGCCATTAGTTGGATTGCGGCGATTGTAGTGAATGTACCGAATAACGAAAATCCCTGTGATCGGTCACGAATGCTTGATTTTTTTGCAAGAAGTTTCAGATATGTGATTCGAAAAGACACGCGCTTTTGCAATCACAATGAGAGTTTGGTATATTATTTTTTAAAATGATACTTCAAAAAACCTAGACTTAAAAAAACTAAAAGCGATATGATTAGCATAAAACTCATCTGAAATCACGATTCCCCTTCCATTTACTAAAACACGTACACTTTTTTTTTTTAATTTTTTTTTTTTATCATTCATATTTTCCTAATCCAAGATTACAGCCACAACAGTTGCAATGTTTGCGCACGATGTAGGTTTATATGTTGCCTGCATGGGGTCTTGTTTCTAACTAACTAACCCTAAACATTAACAGAATAATTATGCCTTAAAAATGAATGTTATTAAGATCAGAATGTGATGGGAAACTAATCCCGTATAACATGTTAATATGATATCTTTGAAGTTCTCCTGCAGTTGACGCGGAACCACGAGAATGCTTAAGATCTTTAATAGACTGATTTCTTTTTTCCTTCCTTCCAAACAAATGGTTTGAATATAATTTTATCATTATTGAGGCAAAATTTCAAATTTCACGGACGATAGACGTTTTAGTAGAAGAAATAAACTTTCATTAGTTTTTCCTCCTGATTCGAATCTATCCTTGTCAAATCTAGTTTAGGAAACTCCTCCTTTTTCTTCTGATTCAGCCAAAGTCATTTATTTGCAATAAAATCGACAAATTGGCAATGTTTACCTCTGTTTTTCACTAAAAGAATAAAACAGAAAGACTAAAGTTGATGCGACGCTTAATTGACTTCAGTTACACTAATTGCTACACTTTAAATGATAACATTGCAAATGTAACAAAAAGGAACGGAGTTTGACATCACAGCGCACTTTCAACGCTATAACTGATCTCAATTTTATTATCACCGAATTTTTCCTTCAACTAAAAACGTAAATTTCAGTTGAATATTTTTCTGTGTCCAACTGATTTGCGAACGGATCGGAGCCAAATAAATAAACGCCTCTACATTTCCTGGCCATTTCTTCCAGTCGCTCTTTGCTTAATTAAATCGAAGAGTTTTTCAATTAGCTTTCACTCTCGCCCTTTATGATAAATGCATTTAGGCACCGGAGAGGATCTCATCGAATGTCACTTGCAGCAAATACGAATACTGAAAGCGTGACGTCAATCCAATGCGCCGTCAAAAGACTCTTTATCTCTGGGACCCGGTTCTTTTGCCGAGGATGAATGATGTGTTTGTGAAATCTTGACATCTTCGGTATAAAACAGCGGAGGTAAAACACAGAAAGAAAGAAATATCAAATCTACAATTTAAAGATGGCCATCTAATTACGAGAAGGAATTTTACCATTCCCACGGTGAAAATAAGCGGCTCCCGGTCCAGTTGATCCGCGAAAAACGTATATTTTGGGCTTGTATCAATTTGACGCAAACTCGATTTCAAAATCGCCGATCGTAGAATTTTTTTTATCTATATCGTCTGGAAAGCGATATTTTAGCCTTTTCTTGTGGATGAAACAATGTTTAAGGTTTTTTTCATGTTCGTTTTCGCAAATTGTCATTTATTTTGTTGCCCATATGAAGACGAAAAGTTCAACAAAACAGTCCAGGAAGGACATTTCAACATGAAATGCGAGAAAATGGTATGTAGAGACTGTGATCATTTATTTCCTAAATCGAGTTTTGATAATATTTCTCATAACTATGTACAATACTCTAGTTTATTTAATCGTTCCCTAATCATCAACAGTTTCTTGAACGCGAGATTTTTACAATTTATGATTTGAATTTTATCTTTACATGTGTCTTTCTCAAAAGTACGGTCACCCGTTACTGATGAATGTGAGTAGCATGAATTTTTGTTGTTTTATTTAAACCTATTTTAGACTAAATTTCAACTGACACAGAGAGCAGAACAGAAACGTCACTGAATAAACGACCACAGCGAGCGAAGATATCATTCTATCGAATATTTGATCATGAATAGTCGACTTAATCTCTTGTGTTATCATTGCACCATTTTATTGTGTTTGAATCATAACACGCCTAAGACATGCCGCAGTCTGGACCCTTTCGGTTGCTGCTCTTTTAAATACGTCGCTTTGTGAGCAGGATTTTCCTCCTTTGTCTCTGCATGAAGTAAGCAAGATGTATGAATTTATAATCGCAATGGTGAACGAGTGTTTTTTTTATCTTTTACTTGCAATTGCTGTATTTTCTCTTTCTTGCTCAGAAAATTTAAACTATCTTTACCCTTGGAATACTTTCCGTCAGTACGCTAAAATCAACAATTATTTCACGAGCTGGGAACTGTTTTAAACGCCATAATGCTGATTGTAAGCTTTGCAGTTACTTGTTCGCGAATTCTTTTTTCCGAACCTTGCCGTTATGAACTCACTTTTCACCAAAGCTTGCCTTGAAATAAATACTAGCCTTATAGAAAAATTACCTAGGAAAACGTTGCACCTCGGAAACTAAGACTTTCTCTCGTAATTTTCTTTCAACCCAAACCTGTGAAAAATAATTTGACAGTGCTGTAAATTATGGCGATATAGGCCTGTAATTAAGGGAGATGAATATGAAAATTACAAGAAAACAGGAAATAAGCATTGACACAGAAATTTGCAACAATGTACCAGCAATCATAAAGACCCTCATGTTTTCCAAATTAAGATAATTTTAAATTTGTCTGTGAAAACTTCCTTTTGCCTTACGTTTTCCGCTTCGAAACATTTCGTTTTTATGAAATTTCCACTCAAAAAAGTCTGTTTCTATTTAGTGCGGATTTTTAGTAGTATTCAAAATTTCTGAACATTCTTTGGTAATGAGAGTGTTTTGTTATCGTCAGAAAAACATCTTACGCTATAATGTGAAATTTTGTTTTCTTAAACCTTGTATTTTGCTGGTTTGAAAATATTTTTCTAGCCTCAAGTCATAGAAAGTCGCATGGTTCTTTTGATCAGCTCGCTCTGAGAGAGCCGCATCACAAAAATGCTAAATGTGCCACTAACATCTAGATACAGTTTGTATTTCGCCTATTTCACTCTCAGATAGACAAGGCACTCTCCTTAAACGACATTAGGAGTAAGGAGGTTGCATGTAAAGTTATCAGTAATGCGCGCGATGCAATTTCGAAGGAAGAAAGCCGAGATGATTTCAGTTCCATTCGGGCAAATAAAGAAAGACCGCCTTGAGACTCTCTTATTATTGTTGTAAACATTAAAAGGAATCTTTCCCAAAAAATCTCTCGGTTCAGTTAGACTTTTTGTGCCAGATCTATCAAATTCCTAAACTAGGACAGGTCATATGATCAGTGAGAATCTACCGCACGCTTTTCTCTGGCGGCAATCAATGTTATTGCCAGATTTTCTCTCTCAACTTCAATATCTTTTGACTTCAACCAACGTCTAAAGCTTTAGCCAGGAGCATTTCAAGAATTACGTCGGGTTTATAGGGTACTTTAGATTAAGCATTTGCTTGAGAGCGACGGAAATAATTGCAAGTGGGATGTGTTTTTGACGTGTTCCGTGCATGCTTTCCAATAACACCTCATACTTAGCGGCTATATGTAGGCTGGGAAAATTATGATAGCAAATGAAACTTTTACTATATTCGGACTTAGATTACAGTTTGAAGACATCGATATTTGTGATTACCTGTTGTAAAGGACGACTCTCAAAAACTGAAAGAACATTCGCTCTGCTTTTTCAGTTTCACCTGTCCTGGAACACATGAAGGGAAAGGATTACTGTATCTTCTTTGCATGCAAGTGAACATTAGCTTGATACAAAACTTTAAGTTCATCTTTTTATTAGATATTTATGTGTCCCTTCACTTCAACGGATAAATAGAACGGTTTGCGTTAAATGTAGGCCAAGCTGCCGTTCTGAAGGGAGTCAGCTTGGACTATTAGGATGTTGTGTTGCATATTTGATTGTACTGAGGTTTATAACGACAAATTGAGCCGACCGAATCTCATTTGCCCGTCAGGAAGCATTGGTTTCCAGTACTGGGAAATCCTATAGAAAACCGGTTAAAACTCTAATAAAGGGTAGGAACTTCAAAAACTTACGTAGCTGATACAGACATTATTAATTTGGAGTATGATTTTGGGTAAGGGTACGGTTATGATGAGATAATATCGAACTGAAAGTTAATTCAAAAAGAAAGTTTGAACTCAGTCTTAGCTCCTTAGGCCTGTGTTACTACTTATGTGTTCTATTTTTAAAAATCGCTGTCAGCAGCTGAATCCTTCATGTAAAGAAACAGATGTAGCGGAAAAGAAGAGGGCAGTCAAGTATCCACTGAATGTATGTTCACCTTGAAATCGGATATGATTCCAAAAGTGATATGTGAAAGTTACTAGCAGTTAGGCCTAAGATTTTCAGTTATTGAGGTATCGAATGACCTTTTTGACTACTGAATTGTGAGCATCTAAGTACTTTTTCTAATTTTCCTTGCACGAAAGGATCAACTGATTTATGTTGCATGTAGCTCTATTTTTTTCTTGCAGCCTCCATATCCAACATCTCGTTCTTTAATGTTGTTATTTTCCTCACTACCTATTGTGATATCGAAGTAATGTCGCTTTGGTATATTGGGATCACGGTTTGTTTTTTGAGCTCTTCGGTACATGAAAAACTATCGAGCTTTTTTTATGTGTCAAAAAGAGACTTTCTCAGGCCGTAAAATCCATATAATGTAACTTTAGAGAAATTATGAACAATCTTGAATAAAAAAAGCAATTGGGAATGGCAAATTTTTTGAGAAAATTTAGCAAAAGTCGGATTTATGAGGACTAATGCTAAAATTTAATGGAAGTATTTGAAATCTCTCTATGCAGGAGAGGAAATTAGATGAAGAAATCCACTGAAAACTACCATTGCATGCTTACATTTTTTTTTTACTTTTATAATTGATGGATGTGCTTCTCCAATTTTCCAGGGTTGCATGACCAAAGGGTTTTGGCAATCAGCCTCTCGGAATGGCAAATGTAAACAGAGAACAGAAACCGGAAATTACCAACATATCGCATCGCTAACAAAAGAATTGTAGCCCAGAGGCGTATACGTTCCTTTTGTTAATAGCTCAGAAATATCTCCACTTTGTTCCCATGCAGTAGGAAGAAATTAAAATGAAACTCTTTGCAAAGCATGCTAATGACTTGGGTGTCCAATTTAAACTCTCTAGTTGAAAAGTGGCAGTAATTAATCGCTGTAATGGGATTAATCAGTGATGTCCCTTCAATAATAGCTGTATATCTGATAGGTGCATAGGACCCACTTAAACCATGAAAATTATTTTGATATTAATTTAACGATAACAAAATCACGCTACATAACTGATACCCTTCTTTTGTAAAATATAAGCCTCTTAGTTTCCCTACAGGTTTCCTAGCCACATGTTAAATTTTCAATATATTATATAGTATCATATCAATTCCTTTTTAATTCTATTGATGAATTACAATCATAAACAAACAAACAATAAGCAGTTGGAGACATCTTGAAAGACAGCGCTAAAATTTATCGGCTCAGTTTTTTTTCGCCATTTTGTGAATTCAATTTGCCATTAATTTTCTTTTCAGACAGTGCAGTTTTCGAGTGCAGAAGTTCAGTGGTCTATCGCTCGTTACATAGAGCCCTTCGTCGGAGCGATCGACGAAGGGCAAACGCTCGAATCGTCAGCTTTGCAACTCATTACGGTAGCCAATTTACATTATCAACTCAGTTGATAAAACCAAAATTATCTTGTGATACTCCTCCACTGACGCAGCACCACAGTTTCATTAGAAACTTACTCTCTTTGTATTTTTTTTGGTTCTAGATTTTTATACTTTGTCGGTAATTTTACAGGTCACTGGTATAAAAGGAAGTCTTCGTCCCTTCAGCTGTGGGCACCAGTGTAAAGAGGTAAGTCACTAAGGATAACCCTTTAACTCCCAGATCAAATTTGTAATTCTCCTTACTGTCAACCATACAATGCTTACAATGTTAGTTCGGAGAATTTATTATTGGATCAACTCATTATCCCCAATTTGATATTTTTCTTTATTCTTATCACTTATCTGGTTGATATTGTATTGATATTGTAAGGATAAATTCTGTCTTGGTCACTCATGGGAGTTAAAGAGTTCAATAAATAAACCATTTGCCGAAACAACAACCTTAAGTCGAAGTCATGTACAGATCAAAACAGATGGTTTGTTTTTCTCCTTTCCAAGACCACTGATTTTGCTCTGATGGTTTCGGCCAAAACAAAAATTTCAATCAGGAACAGATAGAAGTTTAAATAATGTCGATGTAAGGCAATGTATAAACCAATTACAATCATTGTGCAGCAATTGTCAATTGAGCGTTATTTTGTGATTTGTCTAAAATGTTACACCACTTTGTCCGGCTAATCAGATATATAAACAGGTAGTTCTTTGCAATTTAGTCTCTTCGGTTTTTCCGCACTTTGAAGTTCACATTTTTAGTCAATGTACTTATACAGGATGTTTTCCAAGTTCTCATTTTCTCTTTCTCTCTCTCTCTCTCTCTCTTGTGAACCATATTGCTTATTATCTTTTTCTAGACGACAATAACTTATCATTGAATCGTAAGAGAAACATTGCCAACCGAGTATCGAAACTGATCTGGGATTGCACTAGTTTCGCTTTTCTTCGCTCCGTAATTGGTCCAGAAACTCGTGCCACTCTCTCCACCAATCAGATGCAAAACTAAACCCAAGCAAGAGTTGGTCGCCAGCGTTTTCCAGCGCAATAGGCCATTTTGAGTTTTCACCTTCTCTTACAAGTATTTTGTGGCCATTGGCCATTGTGATTACTTTGGTTTCGGTTTTACGTTACTCAATCTAAAAGCGCTCCATTGTTAATTAAAGCGCTGTTTTGGCTGAATTTGAAGTTCCGTAGTCACCACTGACACCACTCCCCTCTCGTTATAGTGCAAGAAGCCATTCAAGTTTTCCAAGTTTAATGCAATAACTGTGAAAGATTGTAAAGCTAAATGCAACCAAGTAAGTAATTCAATAACCAATTGATATAGAAGTTGATATGAGGATTCCTTACGTAAAACGTTAAGTACGTTCATTGATGCGGTGACAAAGCTGCACGGACTTGTTTCTTAAAAGTCACGATAGTAAACGGTCCCAAAATCTGAGTAGTAATACCAGTAGCTTCATGCTTTAGATCTATTCCGGTTGAAGAGGTCACTTGGCTCGTGTACAGACTTCTCTTACTTACGTTGAGTCTGGAAGCATTTAATAATACCGCGGTTTTTGAAACCTGTTCCTGTTTCAGACTGACCCGTGTGAAAAAGGATGCGAGTTTCTTCAAAGCGTTATTAATTCAGGTATTTATCATTTAAAACACTCTTTTTAAATAGATATAATAGAGAGAAACACATTTGATTTAAAAGGGAAGCCAGCATTAAGCCTTAGTATGCAAGAGTGTAAAAAAAACTTCGGTTGAGAACCAAAACCAGGAAATTATGACGGCACTATTTCTTAGGTTGATTTTCGCAGCATAAAAGCAATTCCATGATTGAGCTTCAGTTCATGCTTTTCTCTTTAGGGACTCGTCATTTCCTTTTTGGCAGATGATGAAGGGGGGGGGGGTAGAGGATTTTGGAGGGACATCCCATGGTTTTCAGGCATTGGGAACAGGGAGAATCAAACGTCACGACAGAGTATAATAGGGGACTATAGAAAGAAAATGACAGATCACTAGCAATGACAGGATCATAAGAATATTGAAGAGCTTTTTGGGGGGATTTTATAGTGAAAATCAAAATACACATTCCTATCCCGCTCTCTATTGACTTATATATATATATATCAAGATACAATAAACGCTACGTAACCCCACAAAAAGGGAAGAAATCCCAACAAGAATGACCCTTGCGTTAGCAGATGATCACCCGAGGCAAATTTGAACTGAATCTCACGGGAGATGAGCACTGACCAGTTGGCTTGGTTGGTATAGCCCTGTACTACCATACCGACCAGTCCAACATGCAGGGTTTTATTTCAGCTATGTGGAGAATGTGCTGTGTGGAGAATAACTTCTGAGACTCTCTATTCTTTTCCGATTAAAACGATGAACCGCAGGCCTCTTTTGGTTTTCGCGCTCCTGCAATCGCGCGAGACTTATTTTTTGTGTTCACCTTGCGTCTGCCTGATCCGCTGGCCAGAACAACGCAAAAATAACTACGCACGGCTACGCAAAATGAACTCCGTAGGCCATGTAAATACCCATATCCTTGTTTCCTTCCTTTCTTTGTAAATTGTCGGATGCAATGCGGTCGCAATCTTCTGCAAAGGGATCTAAAGCGCACCCAGAAAGAAAAGAAAAGTGTTGTATAAATGCAATATCATCATTGTTATAAAAATAAATCTATTGTGGGAAATAGTAGTAAATGCTGTTGGAAAGTGCTCAATACACATGAGTGTAGAGCGAAATACAGTTCAAAATGACTAAAATGAAACACGCACGATTCCCTGTTACTCTGAGTTTCGTGCTTACGCACTGATATACATCAAGTTGCTTGGATCATCCTCTCCCATCAACTCCTTTGTAACGCAGATGATAGATCGGGTGGCATCTGGTATGACACAAGGAAAATCACCTCCAGAGGACCGTACCTTTTCTGTCGTACGTCAACAGAGTTATTGGTTAACTTTGAGTTTCGTCTTGTCGCCGAGAGCGCAGCTGGATTTGAGCCCGTTACCTTCATTATCTTTGTAAAGACGACGACGCAAGATTGGTATATACTAACACTGGTAAGTAATCATTCTTTTTACGCATATGTTGATCAATAACAAAACTAAGCAGATTGTTTGGCTTGATTCTCATCAAAAAGTTATTAAGAAGTTGACTCCTCGCTTAAATTCTTACTAAGAATTTTTTGATCGTCCTTCATTTATATCTGTTACTGTGCCTTATCTTCCTTTAAAGATAACGAACATTCCAACATCATCATAATTTTTATTGGGCAATTCACTCACGTGATTAGGGACCTCCGCTCCTCTGATTGGCCGAGATTTTGTCCTATGTACCTTGCCTTAAGCAGCCTGCATGAGTTGTTTTTAATACAGAAGCTCTAGTTGAAAAATAGCATTAGCATTATTTTTTATTTTTCGGAAGAAAACAACCAGACCAATAGGTCGAAAGAACAGCAAAACAAGAAAAAAAAAAGAAAAGCCAATTTTACTGACTGAATTGAAATCATGTATTAAGTTATTCTCCTCCTGCCTAATTTGTTAAAAAAAATCGCTCTCATTAATTCCTTTGCATTAATTGCTTAACGATGTTTAGCTCACCTTCGGCAAATATTGAAAATGATACTTATTCATAATTTTTATCATCATAACATCATTGTAATAATTATTACCCTTATTATCATACTCATGGCAATTATCATCATTGTCATTATTATTTTTATCATCCGTTTTTTTTTTCAAGTTAGAACACGCATCAACGATATAAGAGCATTTAAGTTTTTTTTTTGGACTTCTAATCACAGCCAATACACAGTCTCACACTGTTATCAATTCACTCTTTTTTGCAATGCTCTTCGAAGCAGAGTGGCGCTGGTCACAGACAGAGCGCCTAGTGCAGGCTAAATATATTCATATATCATTTCAATTCAGTCTTCAGAGCTTCCATTCTATGCAAATGATCTTCATAAAGGCTTTAAAATGCAAGTAGCTTTTGCCATGGTAACATCAAAGGGACTACACTCTGCACAAGATTTTAAAAGATTCCGCAATATTAGCAAATGGATGTCGACGTTGAGTGGTAAGTCTTTTTTTGCGAGAAGATTAAAACTGAAACAAAAAATTAATCTGGTAACAAAAATTATCAAGAAGTCCTCAGATTTAATCATTTTGACAATTGTTTTCTGTTCATCAGTTGATAACATTAAATGCATTTTAGTTGATATCGAGTAAGTCACGACTTGCCGCCGTCAAAAACCGCATGAAGCATTGAAATTTTAAAAAATTTGCTCTCACAACAGCATATCCATGTGAACAATAAGTAACAGTCTATTTTTCACAGAAAGAATCGAAGAATAAGCCTCGTTTCATAGACTCTTACATCCTTAAGAGTGATCAGCATCTAATCTCTCCTGACAGCAATACTCCTCGATCATTAATTAAGATCACGAGTAAAAAGGAATTGATCGCCAACCAAAGAATCTTTGATTATTAAATAAATTCTCCTTGTCAGTACTAAAGGAAATCATATTGAGAAGAGTATGGAGAAAGTAGATACTGATGTTAGGGTGTAAATGTTTTATATTAACGTCAGGTTTCCCAACATAAAGTTATCCTAGCTTCTAGTTGTTTTTCCGAAAAGTACTGCACGACAACGCTGAACAGTCAATCGTAGGGGTGGTGCGGTGATACTGAATTAAATAAAGCCGATATAACAATTTTAGATGTGTTTTTTAAGAATGTCATATTTTCTCTGTAGTTTTTAAAATATTCGTAATCTCGTCTCATTTCTCATACAACCCTTCTTGATCTACTGCATTTTAATTCAGATGAAGATCCTATAGACCCTCCAAAGGACGTGAACGTTGATTTGAAACCAGCAGGCAACAAATTTGAGGCCCATGTGACTTGGGGTTTGGCGCCGCACAGTAAGTGAATTTTTGCGCGAAACTCAGATTTGACTGAATTATAATGGCACACATCAAGAAAACTGAGAAACTTTGGATCACCACTCTTTTCTATAAAACAATAGAAAAATCTGCATGAAACGAAAACAACATTTTTTTAAAATTCTGTCGTTTTTGATGTTACTCATATGAATGCACCCAATCTTAAATACGAAACTTTTGAAGCTGGGGAGAGGTTTAGCCTGAATTTCAACGTTTTCAGAGTTGTTTGCCTGAGAGTTTGACGTGGGTGTCTAAGATAATAATAATAATTTATGGACTTATATCGCCCGGTTATCGATATAAAAGTTTTAGTTGCGCATTGCAATGTTAACAACTTAAACTACACCAAAACGTTAAAGTTGAAGGTCGACTTCAAGGTTGAAAATAAAATATATATTCAAATTACAAGAAAATTAGCTCATAGTAAGGAGAAAAAAAAACAAATTCTTAACAAAAAAATCTCAATCGATCTTATCTCTCCTTGCCAAAGGCAGAAACTGTTTCATCGATTTTTTGGTTGACTCTTGTTGAAAATTTTATAGGCAAAACATGTGACTACATGATTGACTGGCGAGCTAATGAGGAAGATCACTGGAATATTGAAAGATATGAACTTGATCGACATAAGGTAGGCTGCGCTCTTACTAAAGTCATTTGAACTTTTATCGATCTAATAAGTTTTTCATTTCTGTTTTAATTCTATCAGCATCATGTAGGTACAAAGATGTATTATGTGCTGCAAGATTTATTGCCAAACGAGAATTACACTATAGATGTAAGTTTTTAATTAATTCATTTATTTTTGACACGCATTTGATAACGTTAGCTGTCATATCAAATATTTTCACTTGTTTGTTGATAAAGCTGTACTACCAAAAAAAGACTTAAAAAGTCCTACGCAATATAACGTTTTTTTAGGTTTTCAAACAACATCCTCTGCTTTGAATGCACGTTTGTCTTTCAACTTCTGAAGAAAATTCGTCTCTGTAAAATTTCTGTGATTTTCATCATTGTTTTTCACGAAAGGATTAGTAGATATTGGTATGAGAAATTTAAAAGTGGAACTTCATTATCGCAAAGATAAGTCCTTTATGACACAATTTCCCTGGCAAATTGCGTCAAGAGAAATGTGCCTCTCAATCTCACGCAATATGAAGTGACCGTGAAAAAGAATGAAATAATATTTAGTTCCTATGCAATAAATTATGCCATTGTTTAGATTGCGCGTTGCACAGATCAGGAATAATCAAGTCTTTTTTCTCGCATTTTAGATCATATCCACCACTTCTGATGACAAAGAAAATAAAAGCACCGTCTATATTGTTACTCCATCCTTGAGTAAATATCACTTTTTTGATCATAATCACATATATGTAGTGATTGTTTATTCTTCTGTTCTATCAGGAGTCCATTGAGTAATGAGCTAATGGTTCTATACCAGTCCTTTTGCCGTGATATGATGTAGATAGTGCACTCCGACAGTTATTTGGTGCGGAAATATTTTTCTTTGATTAGCCATTGCATAAAATTCATCAGCGTTGACAAGTTCTACAGATTTAAAAGGCTTATATATCGATCAGAAAATGTGACATGATTCTTTAAACGAAATTTAAAATTTTTCATCTTATCAATATTCGTACAACTGATCTAGCTTTAGAATAAATTAGGTCATGATCATCAATTGCCCTTACACCTTGATTTTCTCTCAGATTGCTCCAATAAAACTGGCTTTAATTACACCTGCAGTGAGTATAAAACCTGCAAGGCGTTTTTTTTTTATGTCATTGGCAAGTGACAACATTATTTCATTAGTCTCGAGTTTTAAGTTTGAAGTTTTCAATTTTATTGCCAGTTATTTTTCATGAATGATAACGCTAAACAAAGAATCATAAAGATACAATCATGTTAAACTAACGTACTTTTTAAGAGCAATTAAAAGTTTAGTCTGTTCCAGGCATTTAGTGGGTAAAACGGAGTGAAATAATAAATGGCGCGAAAATTGCAGGAGAGAGAAAAAGCGAGCGAAGCCTGGATCGGATAAAGCTCGATCCAGAACTCCCTCGTTTTTTCACTCCTCCAACATTATAGCGCTGTTTACTATCGTTTCATCAACGGAACGCCTGGAACAGACCATTCAAAATTGATAGTCGAAAGCTGGACATCCGGGGTTTCATAGGTTTTGGTTCCTTTGCTATGTGATTGTCATATAGGAATCTCGCGCCGCCCTCTCAAGCAATCAGATCAACAAATAAATCCGTTAGCAACTTGATCAGATTTTGCAGCGGGATGCATGACCATCTCAGAGAGCTGGTTCTTTTGCAAAGCCATGAGAGACAAGGACTCTTGAGACTGGATTTAAAATCAACCATCTTTCACACGGACCCTATCCTTCTCTCTTTCCCAGTCCTTGGTCCACCAGAGAACCTAACCTTGGTCAACGTCAAACACCTGTCACGCAATACGTCAAAAGCTGTGGTCACGTGGTGGCCGCCACATAATATATTCTCTACAGATCATATACAAGAATACAGATTAACGTGGAGAAAGATTCCCATCCTAGTAGGACAAATGTCCGAACCTCATAGTGATTCTACAAAATTACCACCAGTAAGTAAGAATCCTGTTAGGAAGATCTCTCTGAAATTTGAGGGAAACCTCGAAATGACCAGCTGTTCTGGCAGAAAACTCACGAAGGGGGTATCACCAAGTAAAATTTTGAATCGGCTCTCGAGAGCCACAAGATCAAGTAACATCCTCTGTTAAAGTCTCCTTCAGTCGATTGATTTCGTTTCGCAAAGCAGCGAATTGTTACGAAGGAGACCGGCTTTTTCAAGAATTTTTCTGTCGTAAGTTCGCGCACACTATGCCAGCCAATTGAAACCAATACTTTGAAGTAGCGCTCAGCATTCTTAGACGGTCAGGTTTCGTCGTGATAAACATAAAGGTTAATTAATCAAATGGCTGGCTGAGAGCGCGGACACGATGAAGGGAATCTCAACTGGCTACGTACCTCAAGTGCGCTGAACATTGCCATCTTTGTTACCGCAATAGAGAATAGTTTTGGTATAATACTTTGGAATAATAGTAAATGCCTCATCGACCAAAACTGTTCCGTCAACATGGCTGGATATTTGCCCGCTCACTTTTGCGTTTCAATGAACTTTAACTTTGTTTCTGCCCAAGGGGAGCGCAAAAAGGTACTTGAGAAAAATCCATCAGATCTAATATCCTCGTTTATTGTTGTTCTCTTACAGGAAAACACCAGTTTTCAATTGGTTGGTCTTCACAATGGTTTCCCTTACATCTTTACGGTAGACTCGTAATTCACTTTGCACTTAAATGGCATATAATTGATTCAGTTTTAACCTCGGTGCCCCCTTCAAGGGGCTGATACACTTTGTTTGTTTTAAAGATCTCTGATAACACCTGATCGATCCTTACCTCACTGTTTGGGTCGTCCATTGTTTACACCTTCACGTGCTCAGTACATTTGATATTTCATTTTGATAACATCAGGTAGCAGCAGTATCACCAATGACAGGGAAAGGAGAGGAAGCGAAACTCTTTTTTAACACCTCAGGTGCGTCCGTGAATCGTATCAAATTGGTTGAACCGTTCGAATCAAATAAAAGATAAGCACAGTCAACTCTCCGCTAATGAACACTTTCCCGTTTTGCCTCCCAGTCAGACTCTGTATTTACACATTTCCGTTAGTGGACACTCTCTTGTAAGCGAGACGCGCACACTTTTGAAAATGAAAATTGGGCTTTTCGTTTGTGTACACTCTATCGTAAGTGGACACCCCATGCATAGTAATTGACTCTTAGCAATGAAATTTTTCTTAACTTGCAAATCAACAAAAATATGACCTGACGCAGGAACAGAACAAAGGGTGTTTGGTTTTTTCCGTTCGTTTTACATGAATAAGACCCCTACATGACATTAGTGGTCGTTGGTCATGGTCTACGTTAAATTCTCAAGTAAGCGGACATCCGCCCCATTTTTCTTACGTGATCGCTCATGGGATTAATTCTCGTAGGTGGACAGTTCCACTAACGGACACTTTTTCCAATTCCCGAGGGTGTCTGCTTCGAAAGAGTCGTCTGTATTATGGGCTTCAGAACTCACCGTGAAATCGATATCATGGATTACTGCAGAGTATTGCTGCTCCTCCAATGTTAAGTACTAATCCGTCCCTGTCTATTCACCTACCCCCCACAACCCCTCACCCCACGGTCACCCTCAGTATTTTATCTTACTTCTCTGATGATCATCTACACTGTTGTGTGGAGAGAGAAGGGCTGTTCAATCGAAGAAATATGTTTTATCTAAGGACATGATCTAAATGACTCATCGATTCGGAATGCATTGTGCTAACTTCTAGCCTGGCTTACTTCCCTTCAAATGATATGAAATATTGATATTTCTACCGCATGCTCTTTTTTCACAGGTCCTCCTGTTCGCGGTATCAAATACGCCCAATCTTCACCTACCCATAAGGCGGGCACGCCCTTCCCATATCTGGTGACAGCACTCGTGCTGATAACTGTACTTGCCTGCTTCTTCGGTGCCACCTATTTATACATCAAGAAGAAATACGGAAGTATATCCTCAGCTGTGCAGCAGATGCAAGTTCAGTATATCAACAGCAGAGCTATGTAAGTTGAAGCTTAAAGTTACAGGCTTAAATCAAATTTGTGTTCGAGCAGATAATAAAGGCAAAGCCTCTAACCATCGGCTGCATGTGGTAAGCATACAAAGGAAGCTTATGGGAAACCCGAAGAAGATTGTGCTAAAGAAGTTGGAACTAAAACCAAGAATCGAAAATAGTGAAATATGGCTTACTTCATGCGTCGAAACTTGTAATGGGCACAAAAAGAACCCTGTAGGAGACTGAAGCATTTTGAAAACTAGAAGTGACCGCTATTCCTGAAACTTAAATATTTAGTTTTTACTGGTAAAATGTTTTCAGGTTGTTATTTAACGGAGGCACGTTTTCGTCGGATCTCCCTACCATTGAGCCTGATGAATGGGAAGTGGAATACAGCAGTGTTGCCTTCGGACAGCAGATCGGCGAAGGAGCTTTTGGAACTGTTTCCCAAGCCACCGTAATCGGCTTGATGGGTTTTCCAGCACTTAAGGAAGTTGTTGTTGCTGTCAAGAAATTAAAAGGTAAAGCAGTCGATAGTTGAGAATTGTTTTATGCTCGATCAACGTACGTGTACCGAGGTATGGATGCACACGAGAAGTTCGGAGAGCACAAGGGAAGCTTACTTGTTGTTTGAGCGGCGCTCAAGAGCAACTCAAGTCTATTAAGCCCTCTTTGCACTAAACTTTCCGAGTGCATTTACACCCCAGTCGCTTAAGCAAATCCAAAAGTATTAAACGACTCTTTTCTAATAAGGTGGAAACAATTTGAGCGCGATAAATAGGATTTGGATGTTAATATTGTCGTGACACTATAATGATGTCACTTGGAGTAATGTTAACTTTAATGACGTCATCAGGAGAGATGCGACATAATGATGATGTCATTTAGGGTGATGCACCATCATAATGACGCAAAGTGATGTAATTTTATTTAATGCAATTTTCAATAACATGACATCATCATAGACTATTGATCCCTCGGAGCTACTTGACTTTTTTATGACGTTAATGCTTTAACTGATAACATAAAAGTTACTTGAAGGAGCTACTTTTTCAATCTGTGAAGCACCAACCGAGGACTATAAAAATTTCCTTCTATTTGTCTGGTTTTTAGCAAACGCAAACGTGGAAGACCGGCGGAACTTCCTCACAGAGATATCACTGATGAAAAGCATCGGCAAACATCTGAATATTGTCAGCATGCTGGGATGTGTGACGAGTAGCGGCCCGCTATGTCTTATCACCGAGTACTGTCCTCATGGAGATCTCAGGAACTACCTCAGACTCATTCGGGATAAGGTGGGAGATTGTGTAACTTTGAACTGAGTGTTACTATGACTACTTTGGTATTGCTTTCGGCGTTCCGTGATTGGTCTAGGAGACTCGAACCACACTTTATTTCGATCAGAAACAAAATGTAGACCAATCCTAACCTGGTCACTTATGTTTCCTGCGCTTGACGTAGCTTATTTATTTATGCGTTTTCATTGGTTATTTCTAAAGATATGCCTTTGCTCTGATTGGCCAACGTGGCTGCTTTGCTTTTATGGCGACACTCAATTCAAACGCGATCTGATGATCTTGTCACGTGCAGGCAGAACAGAAACAAACTCTTTTTAAAAAAGTTTGTTACATTTACAGAATTTTAACGAATGCAAACTTAGAAGGAAACTGTAGTTTTTTCCAACTTGCTATCCATGTAAAGCTCTACAAGGCCTTAGGAACTAACACGATGACTCACCATCATGAGCTGCCTTGTGGCCGCGGTCCTGACGTTACTGGAAAAGGAAAATAAATTCCGTCATATTGCCGGGCAATTGTTTAAAAAGTTATTACCACAGTTCCGTTTGGAACGTGATAAAATTTATCAAAAATTGATGTCTTGGAGATCACTAAAATCTTTCAAAGAAGTCACACGACAGATAAAAGTGTACAAAGTTGTCAGGTGCATGCAGCCATTGATTCACGTCTTCCATCTTCTTAATCAGAAAAAGAATCCGCACTTTGTTCTGCCCAGTGACTTTGTAAGCCCCGTCTTCAAAAGGAAAGCACTGCACAGTAATAAGGGATCAAAGAGTCCAAGTCCGGTGAAAAAACTTAAGGTAATAGCACTACACCCGGAGGAGATATGGTTTATCCTCTCCTGACCACAAATGTTGACGAAATATTGTATAAATGTTGGTGAATGGATTACACTTAACACAGGTCCATATTTAAATGATTTATGGCTTGCATTGCGCCTGGGGAAAATTGTTTTGGTATTCAAATAAGTGTGGCCACTCTCTTATCAACGTCCTTGCATGTACTCTTTTTCAATATTTCATGGTTGAAAGTTATTGCAACGGTCCCCGTTTTGTGTGCCATGGGATGATTCATACATTTACTCTTCTTTGATCGAACTACGACGACAACGGCCATTCTAGTGCCTGCCCACTGCAACAGCCAAAATAACAGCCAGCTAGTCACTGACTGATGAACAACGTGACAAAATGCGTGACAATTCTCTCAGGCAAACGAACCCTGGTGGCCAAAGTATATTTCGTGAGAGAGGAATTAATTACTTTTCAGCATTAAGAGCGGACGTTTAGCAATCTAATGTTATCCTAGTACTTAACGCCAACTGTTTTGTTGACAATCTAATTATGATAACTTATTTTTGGTTTCTTCTTCATTTACTATTTTGATCATTTCATGTATCTAGGTGCTGCAGTGAGCATTTTCAAGTTTAATTTTCCTCTTACCTTCCTATAGTGGCTCCTCTCTTAAACAGGAATTTCCCCTCTGTTCTCAAAGTGGACGTTGTAGATGGTTCAGATTCAAATGTAAACAAATTCTTCAAAAAGGTTCATTTTGCCACATCGCGCACCACCTCGACTGCCAAGAAAGCTTATCTTTTGCAAAAACACAAAGCTGAGGATTGCCATTATCGCAAGGTTTTTTATTTTAAATTTTTTTGTCGACAGCAAGCTTTCTCTGCAAGCTGCCTTCAGGTTCAAAATAGTGACGATGAGAATCAGCCTGAAAACACTGAGGGAACATTCAGTAAGTACAGAACTGCCTATTATTTCCCTCTTATCGGCCTTTTTTTAGCCAGGTGAGTAAAGCGTTTACTGGGCGGATTTCTGCGAAGGCATACGAAGACCTCTCTCCGCTGGTACTGCATTTTTCTGTTGCTCAGTTTTTCCCAAAAACCACATGCGATTCCCACTTAAAAGGAAAAGGAAATTCAATTTATACATAATAGAAAAGAACAATTAGCGACTTCCTCCCTTGTGCTTTCATGATGGTCTCTCCAGGGCCTGAAGTTACGATGATTATCGATGAGTCATCGATAACTCATTGTAAACACACCGTTCGGTTATTATCAATTTCTTGATGATGTGATTCCGTTTCAGTGTCAAGCTACGATTTAAAACCTCGTGAGACGGACAGCAATCACAGCCTGTTGTCTTCAGTCAGGTAGAAATGATATACCGCGATAGAATTAGACATATGATGCTCGTTTATCGTAAATCACCTCAAACCTCTCCTGTCCAGGCAGGAATGTACAGCAGAACTGTGGCCTCATGGTCAGTGCGCTGGACGAGAGGTCTTGGTTCGAGTCTGAGACCGAGACCTGGCCGGGTGAATAAGTTTTCTTGGAAAAAATATTCACCCTTACAGCGACTCTCTCCACTCCGGAGTAAATGGATACCCGCGAATTGCCAGATAAATGCTGCGGGGGAGGGGGCTAACCTTACGATAGACTAGCATCCCATCCAGGAAAGAGTTGTGAAACTTCAACCTGCTTCATGCTAAGGAGCCGGGAGTACGCTCCACCTGGTTGGGCCAGGTTCGAGTACAGTTTTTACCTTTACCTTTTCAGCTGAGTGGTCATAATCTGGGGTCTTACTAGTTTTTTTCGAGGCTTGACAGGTACCTCTGTCAGTTCTCTTCCTTTACAGAGGGGTTCATGTTTTCCTTTACCTTTGCTACACACTAGTGTGTATGCTTTAGCTGACAAGCAATGTACGCCCTCTGATGCAGAAAGTGTTCTTTTCACAGAGGCAACACTAAGGCGTCGACAAGTCTGGACCCCACAATTATACACATTAATTATAAATCTTCCGTCGATCTTTCCCTAAAATCTTACCACTTAGCTTGCAGCCATCTTCATTGGCCACTTGCTTTGTAATAGAATCTCGAGGCCCGTTGCCACGCACGATGTTCTCCGCACCGCAGTAAGGTGACGCAAAAACCTGAGCGAGATTGGACCTTAGTTTAAGCTCCACACCCAACCTTTTAGGTCTCCTACTGCAAAATCTTTCCATTTGATTTTCGTATCAACTTCTCTCCTGATATAGCTGTCTGTGCAACGATGCATGCAATTGTTCTGTCCAGCCGGTGCATGGAAATGACTACGTGAACCGCCAACGCAGTTGGAGCCATGAATCATGTTCTTCCGCACCTATGAAAAATCTAAGAATTCCTCTAAAGATCGGAACGTCAGTTCCTTCAACCCCCCTAAATCTCTCCCCCAGTGCCACGCCAATTCTCTCGGGAAGTACAAGCAAAGGCAGCTCAGTTCAGGTGGGTGGTTTCATGCTTGAAGAGAAGAGAGATGACATCTGCATCGTGGTGACAGACGCTGATCCAAATCTAAACCCCTGGGGTAATACAAGAAAAGTTTCCGCTGGGGAAAAGTGGATGGCGAATTTTGTATCAGTAACCGAGCAAGAGAAGAATGAACAAAACTTCCCGAAGAAAAGATCGTCTACTCTGAGTAAGTATTTTGATTATTCATTGTTGTAGGGTTATATGTAAGAGGAAGGAGTAAATTTTTTTTGTGGAAAATTTTGTGGTTGAAAGGATTGGTATTAGGGATACTCACTTCCATGCCATCCAACTGTCCATCGGTTCTTTTTCTTCTTCTTTCTTTGTTTCCCCTCGTCTTTCTATATTGGAAAAACTTACGGAGGAAGTTTAAAATGTTGAAACGATAACAAGGCCAGACCAAAACACGGGGGCTACGTTCCCTATCCTCTGTCTCCTACTTGTGTGGGTTCTTTGGTCCTGCTAACCAGTACAGAGAAAAGACGCAGGAGACGGAGCCCACAGTTCATCATCCTCATCCGAGAACATTTGACCATTTAGCCATTTGAAGATGCCATAACGAAGGAAGCACACTCTCCTCAGTTACTTTACGACCCTGAGTGTTTGTCTTGTCTGAGGCTTGAAACCTCGATCGCCCGCACGTCAGTCCGGCGCTCTAAAACACCAATCGAAGGGCTAACGCTCGAAACGTCAGCCTTTTAACTCTTTACGATGGTCAGTTAACGTTATCAACTCAATTGATACTACTAAATCATCCTGTTGCACTCTCCCACCGACGCACTTTCTTTAGAAACTTAATCCCTTTATTGCTCTAAAACACCTACTCACCAAGCCAAGGTAATCTGAATGATACCCAGGCCAACTGTCGATGAAATCTCATTTTGAGAACATGGTCAGAGAGGTAAATAGCACGAGTAAAAAGTACAAAATCTTAATCTCCACTTAAGGGGCGGCTGGATGGGGTGTATCAAGTGAACGAGATCTGATAAAGATCAGTTGGGATTCATCAGCCGCTTTACGATCCTAGGTCCATCTAAGAGTGAGGAGCGACTGCGGAATGAAAACAGAAGGAGAAGCCTTGAAGAAGACATGAGGGAAGAACTAACACAGAAAGTCCTCCTGTCATTTGCAAGACAGATAGCCGTGGGCATGGTAACTTAGAAGTGTGCTGCATTTTAGCAAAATCGTACCATCAACCCTTTGCGTTCTGCATGATATATTAGGTCACGACATGAGATGAAACTGTCTTAGATCAGAGGTTTCAATAACTTTTCACTCGCAGGCTGAACAGACAGCAGTGAGAGGTTTTATAGGCAGTGGCAGACCCCTCGTAGACTGCTTTTATTGAAACTCCTGTCAAATGTTTCCTTTCATCATCATTTGAAAGGTGTACTTAAAAGAAATATTGTTGAAAGGTTTGGTACTTTCAAACACGCTTTACTTCGTCGATTATTTTAGGCGCAACCGATTAAATTTGTGTTTCAATGCGTCTGATGTGCTGTACAGTTTTTTTCTTTGCCAAAGTATTTTTTTACTTTCACAACTTTCTTCGTCCTCTCAGGAATACTTGTCACAGAAGAAGTTCATTCACCGCGATCTCGCAGCGCGTAATATTCTTGTCTGTGATGATAATCTTGTCAAGATATCTGACTTTGGCCTGACCAGAGATGTTTACGAGAGTTGTGAATACCAAAAGGCCCAGAGTGCAGGAAAACTTCCCATCAAGTGGATGGCGATTGAATCTCTCTTCGACAATATTTATACCACGCAAAGCGATGTGTAAGCAGCTCAGTTTTTTTTCTCTTTCTTGTTAGAGTAATTTTATTGAGCGTAGAAAGCAATTCGAGACTGCTGGCTCTTACAACAAACAATAGAGAACAAAACGGTCGTTTGCAAGCTTTTCCTTGAGTTGTCATTGGCTCCCTGTGATGTCATCTCTTTTCTGATTGGGTGGTGTATCTACTCTAGTTTTTTTATCTTCGACGTTCATCGAAAATCGCCCTAATTGACATATGACCAAGTCGTGATTTTAATCAATTCAGAACTAAAGGGCTTAGTTAGGTAATGAAGGTACATTATTTTTTCAATTCGAATATGATGCTTAGGCAAACATAGTGACTGCGTAAATTACCATTCACACGACACAGATAACGTTAGGGTCGCATTAAAACTGAATTTTTCAAGTTTAAAACAAATTCCGGGAGGCATACACTTATACAATTGCTCTTTGGATAAAGGCGTCTTTTTTGATCGAATGAACTGATCAAAACCATTTCTTTGGTCAGTTTTACCTCTCATCACTGGAAAGATTGTGTACGTTTTCACCAGCTATGCCATTCCCATGCTCTTAATGAACAGTTTAATATGGATGTATATTATCATATGCAACGCGTGGGTCTGTACTTACATCTCGAATTGCACCGGGAGTGAACAGCCGCTTCCTCCATCTCACCGAAATAATCGATGCAATCCAGCAGATGGCTGAAACACGAAAGTTTTTATCGTAACTTAAACAAGGGGGAGGGGGAATGTGAATTAAAAAAGGAATAAATGGCCAGGGCATCGTGACCCTTTGCAAAAATGGAAAATGGCTAAGGAACTAACTTTATCACTTTTTTATTTGTATTTTAGGTGGTCGTACGGCATTGTGCTCTGGGAAATCATTACTCTGGGTAAGCACATTCCTTTTATCCATGCTTTGAAGCAACAGTTTTCTAAATGATGTATTCTGAAGGAAGAGTTTGATCTTACATAGGCCTCAACAATCATCTTTCTATTTCACATCGCAAGAGTTGCCATGATAACACGTCACAAGTACATGTTTCTGCCTCATCGTTGTGGTCCAGAACTTATCAGCCCTTTTTACATTTCTGTGGCATTTTTCATGGCGACAGCTACAACCAGGATCGCAAAAGATCCTGTCAGGGATTCATGAGACCTTTTTTCCAAACTAGCACTTTATTCAGCGCCATTTTGCCATAGAAAAACAGTTTGTAGGTTTTGACCAACCTACAAAACTTACAAAAACTAAATTATAAAGGATTATCTGACTTTCTAATATTCACCATTAATGGTACATTTTAAGTGCGGATCTGACTGATGAACATTTCATTCAATCAGGTGGTTCTCCCTATCCTGGTATATCAGGTCGAGATATTCATAAGCTAATCAAGAATGGATACAGAATGGAGAGACCGGAAACGTGCAGTCAGCAGATGTGAGTTGGATGAGAAACAAAAAGCATCCTTCTGAACTTTTATCCTTATTACTAGGAATCTACCACTTACATAAGATCAGCAATTTTCAAACAGCCCAGCCCTGTATATCATTTTAGGTGCGCTGAAGGTCTGTCGTCAGGCCTCATAAGCGATTGTTATCTGGCAACCAACCCCGGTTGACCGAGTTTCTTTGTAACAATTTATTACAAAAACATTGAGTTTAACATTTTTGCGTACGTAATTTCCGTGCTGAACGTGTCAAGTTGAGTTGTCATTTTGAAAGTGTTTCAACTTTATGAGTTGGCCGACTTTTGTTCTTACTTTCGATGATCATATTTTTTTTTCTGTCATTTCTTCAGCTACCAAATCATGTTATCCTGTTGGAGAGCTAATCCAGAAGAAAGACCAAGCTTCACAGATCTGAGAAACGAGCTCGAGAAACTGCTAGAAGAACAGGGGGACGAACAATATATAAGTGTCAACTGCGCTGATTTTGATGATTACTGTGCTCTGGTTGGAAACCAGAGCAGCTCAAGTGAAAACGAAGAACTTGCCTTGCTCACGAGTGATCAAAGTACAGCGATATAGACATACGCGCACAAATGCCCAGGATTTATAAAATGAAGCAATCTCAGCAAAACACTACTATCGATATAAGTGAGACAAAGCATGTACTTGGAAATAGTTTTTAAAAATCAGTTAGTCAGCCTTTGCTTCCTCTACGAACCTAGTGGTGCATTAAAGGTCTTTTCCTAAGGTTGGGATAATCTGGGGTTTAGTGATTAAATCTGCGGTAAATGTCACCAGAAATTCCAATCAGAATTAGAGCGGAGGAGCCAATAAGATCTCAAAATAATTCGAAGAGAAACTCGCTTCAAACGCGAGAAATGACAGTGATCAAGTTGCCAATGATCTACTCTTGTATCTGATTGGGTGAAAGGGTGGCGTGAGTTTGTTCGACCAATCACAGAGTGAAAGAACGAAAACCGGTGCACCCTCTGTCACCCCTTGTTCAATTAATACAGAAAAGTGGCGCCTCTTAGAGTAGCCTTTGTTATATCATGTAAATCATTTTATGATAACTTAAAGTTGAATTGAAATCGATATTTTCGAATAATAATTTCCTTCTCTCTTTCATCTACTATGCACCCTGTGAACGTACAACTTAGCGGGAAAGATTTAACTGTCCGGCCCGCTAAAATTATATGGTTGTCACTGATGCAGAAGTCTTCTTAAATTTGGCGGGCTATAAAAAGTTTGAGCCATCGTTTTTCTGTAAATCGTGTTTAATTTTTGCAGATGACTGAGCAATGATTACGAGTTTTCAATCATTTGAAACTTTTTGACTCTTAGGTTTAAATAGGGTGATGGATTTTACAGGTAACGGTTAAGATTTTTGCCATTGTACGAGTTACAATTAATTCTTTCGGTCACGGTCAAAAGAAAAACCTTTTACGGTTAACTTTTCACTTTGACGATCGGTTAAAATTTGCAAATTTCACGCCTAACTGTTTTTTTTCCTCTTTTGCCTTTATATGGTAAACGGTTAACCTCATTAAAACCCTCATAATATACAGCAGTGATAAAATTAATGTAAATAGATACAATGTAAATATTATTCCACAATAAAGATGTAGTAAATATGTTCCTGACCTCGTTTTCTTAGCTTGTAAAATAGGTCGAAGCTATATACACCATAAATCGAAGGGTGAAAATTCAGTTCGGTCCGTAACTTGTGGCACGACCTCCGACTCAGCTGGCCCGAAGTTTTTGTGGATGTGTTAACCCGACCGTAATTAATCATAATGTAACAGCTACAAACGCGTAGCTTCAAAACAGCATAAAATTCTGGCGGATTCTTCGCAGACTGTATGTTGAAAATTATGTTTTTGTTTTCTGTAAGTAAACAAACTAGCAAAGAAATATATAATTATGAAAAGGTGGGGAATTCTTACCCAAAGCCAAGATTCAATGAAGTAACACGTTTAATTTCTATTTTTAGTAAGGGATTCCCAGGTTTTCCTCACTTTGCTGCGATGATCGGGCGTAAAATGATCCAACTGCCTTGATCAACGATCGGCTCATGGTATTAATACTCGCCTAAGAAAGCGAAGGGAACGATTGGCTCATAAAAAAAACTACAATTCATCTTCTCCGTGTCAAGTCTACGTTTTCATGCAGCTATTTTGTTTCAAGCTTCATTGTTTCATTCACTGTTGCTTTTCACGCGTGCTACGCAAATTTGGTTTCACTGCCTAATATTTCACATATTAAACAGACATCGTCTTGTCAAAGAAACGGTTGATTTTAATGATATGGAGGTTTTAAAAGATAAATATTCTATTGAATTTCTCAGTAGAGTCAAACAGTGGGCCTTTACGCAGGCAGTCTCACCCTATTGGCGAGGTCCTTCCCGCAAGTCAAAAAAAAAAAAGAAAACTTGAAAAAAATTAATCAGCACGCGCGCGGAATTCTGGGAGTGAGGCGCACGAAAAGTGGGCTCTACGTAGGGCAATACCTTTTTATCTTGTGCTTAACTGAGCGCGTCATTTGATTGACTTCAACTCAGTTTTTCCATTTGACTATAGAGTGAAAAAGAAGTTCTCAGTATACATGAAAGAAACCAAAGGAAATGTTTAGGGACAGGCTGCAGTTGACAAACTTCATTTAGGCCCAGGAGAATGTTTAAAAATTTGAGCCAACACTATTAAAATTGTTTTAGAGAGAAAACATTGGCGGCAAATGTCAGTCCTTGGCGATAAAGCTGGCTGTTACATGCGTCTCATATGTATTTAAATTATAAAATCAGTACGCCAGATATGTCATCGATTTGAAGCGCACGTCTTTTAATTTTGTTGGTCATTAGTTAGGGTGATACTGTGTTCCCGAGATTACTTTGACGTGAAAAGCGTGCAGCACGAAACAGTTTGGACATATTCGACTCATTCAATAACTTCGATCTCTATGCATTTCACGAGAAACTTTTTTTGCAACACAACTGAATGAGTAGCGAGGGTAAAACAGGCAGAGCCTTTCACATTGTCTTTATTTATTTTACACTCATTGTGCTTTATTTTAATTAGATAAGATTGATTGTTGTGTCTCTTTCGCGACGGCACCGCGCACGAAATTGTTCCACAGCTGACGATAAACTTCCGTACTTCTTTTTCACAAAAGCGTAAGTAAGTCGAACAAAACTTGCGCAAACAATCACCACAAGGATTCCTGTTATGAACATCCACGGCAACGCTTTGCTCTCTAAAACGGGAACATGTTGATCTTCATGGCTTGAAACTTTTGTTGTTTCTGTAGATTATGAACCCAAAACACAACACTCAATATTTTCCATCTTGGAAGTTTTTATGCTTAGTAACCTATTTGGTCTTTCCACTGAAATAGAACCTCCACTAAGATTTTTATCAAAATTTACCTATCGGTTGTTTATCCTCAAGAAACGTAAATCTTGAAATGAAAAAGGGGGTTGCCTTGCTCGTTTTGGAGCAGCATGCTTATTTCATATTCACCTGTCGTGTTAAATAAAATTACGGCCTCTGTTCCCACTCCCGTTACTGATGACACTGCAGCAACCTGCAATCAAAAAAATATTCCTGTGACGTTGAAAGAGACAGTAGTTAGGTAAGTTTGCTACCCAAGAATTCAATGCAAGAAATGAACCAATGTGCCGAGAGGAAAAGCATGGGGTATCTGAAAAGAAGTTTTAACAGAACAGTCAATTTATGATTTTAGCGTGCAGTACACACTAGTTACCTTGAACATGTAGGCGAATCCGTTATGAAGGCCAAACACCCGAAAACTTGTATTTTCCTACAAAAGTTGAATTCAAATTAACATTAAGTTTAATTCTTTGATGGGTTTTCCTCGACTTGATGTGTTTCCTCGACATCGGTATGCATAATCAGCCCCTTTAGAAGTCTCTCTTTGGTCTAAGAGGGTACATTTTAAAAGCAGCATTAAAATGAATCTTCCACTGATAATTTAAATGTAAGCTAAATATTTTGATCTGCTCTTCACCTTTGTAGCTCCTTGTCGCCTTGCCTGATTCCGTCGCAATCTTGAAAAGCACAATGTTACCTTCGATCATATCTCCAATTTGTAAATAACTTCGGAGAATTGATGTGGCCCTAGATATTCGACTTACCGCTGGTAACCACGTGGAATCAAAATGTGGTTCTGTAAAAACTCCGTTCAAAACAAGAATCTTATTCCATTCTAATCTGTATTCCTGTACATGGTCTACAATCGGTATATTATGTGGCGGCCACCACGTGACCGTAGCCGTTGACGTATTGCGTGACAGGTGGGTGAGATGGACCAGTGTCAGGTTTTCCGGCGGTCCAAGCACTGGGGAATATTATGAAAGGATGAAACAAAGATATCAGTGACCGCTTTTGAAGACAATGGGCAAAGAAAAGATCTGCGTCGATCAATACACGTTAAGTGAGCGCATCATCATGATGATATTTACCCAGGGAAGGCGTGACAATACATATAGTACTTTTATTTTGTTTTTCATCAGAGGCTACGGAGATAACCTAAAAGAGATAACAAAGAAATATTTCTAAAAAAATTTCAATCTAAAAGAAAACAGTCTGTGGAAAATTTAAAGGTTTGCTTTGGGCAGGTTCATGTAAAATTTGCGGGAACAAATTTTCATGTGCATGTCCGCGCGGGAAATGTTAATTGTGTTAGTGTGCTGATGGAGCTTATTTCATGATATAAAATTCTTCAAAAGAAGTGCTGGAAATGGTAATAATCTTGCATATGATACAGAGAGACGTTTTGACCAACCATATGATTTATATCTTTTTCTTTTGTCGCATATCTTATATTGTAATGCTGTCTTATTCATGATCAGGACTGTGACAAATGAGTAACTTACCTCTATAGTGTAATTTTCCATCGGCAGCAAACCTTCTACAATATAGTACATCCGTGTGCTTGCGACGTGCTGATGGCATTGAAAATAAAGGAAAATTGAAGAGCCGAGGAAAAACTTTACATGGATTCTTGGCACCCAAGCCATCTTATTGGCAGATTTTCTTTGGGTGCACGACAAAGATCGAGGGGGCTGTGAGCTGGTTTAGGAAACGACTAACGCACAAAGTAGTGTTAGACTTCGAAGATAAGCTCTAAAACGATTTAATGGAAAATCAGAGACATGAACAATTTTAAAAATTTTTATAATTTTAACATGATGGACTAAGGACTATCGGACCAACGGACCACCGGATCAACAGACTAACGGACCGACGGACTAATGGACTCACGGACTCACGGACTGACGAAATGGTTAAATGATGGACTAACGGACTGACGGACTGACAGATTAAAGGAACGACGGACTGACGGACTGACAGACTAACGGACTTGCTAACAAACGGACTAACGGAGTAATAGATTAACAACTAATGACTAATGAAGGAGTGAAGAAGATGCGTTTGGAAGCGCTAAACTTTTTCAGACCTGTCATTTTCATAAACTTCCTAGAATATATATAACAAGGTTTACCTTGCTATGACTGACTTCAAATGCTTTACTTTTCCAATGATCCGAGTAAGTTGCTCTCCACTCGATTCTGTAGTCACAGATTTTGCCTATGAAATTATAAATGTTTAATGATAACTCGTTTACGCTAATCAATTGCAAGGACACTTATATAATGGGACAATTAAACTAACCTTTCCGCCGTGGAAGGAAAGCAAACGTAAAATAGCATTCTTTATCAATTTTGAAATAGCTAGACGAAACAAGACCAGTGTATTCACAACTCCTTATTCGTGACCGTTAGTAATTTCCCTGTTTTCGAAAGGAATGAGGAAATCTAATGTACCTATGGCTTTGCACTACCTCTAACTCAGTATTACTCACTACGCGGTGCCAAATACCAGGTAAGATGTCCTTCAAATCTGTCACCAGCTTTGCTCACATGGGCCTGGAGGCCCTTGGGAGGATCCAAATGAACTTCATCTATTAATGTAGAAAACGGTCGATGAGCGAAAAAGGTTTCACAAGATAAGCTTGGTGTCGCAGTTTCTACGAGTTTGAGTAAGAGACCGGGACTGGTTTTTGGGACTGCGAAAGGTTTTAAGGCGATACCTGCTAGCTTTTTTAACCAAAAACAAAATTGAATGGGGGAGGTTGAAGATGAATTTGATGCGCTTGTGCCAGATCCCATCATGAGTGTCTGAATGTTTTGTTGTTAATCTGAAAGGCTAAAAAGTCTCCCAACACCACCTTAGGAAGGCACGTTTCGGTCCATTAGTCAGGAACTAAAATATTTGAGAGACCCTAAGCGATTATGTAACGCTTTGGAAATGATTGAGATTTGCTGTGCGCTTTGGTTGTAATTTCCTTGTTTCCTTTTTTCCTCCGTTAAAGTCTCTTCCAAGAAATGGTACATAATGAAAAAAAGATCACTAGCAGCCCTTTTTTAATTGTGTTCAGGATGATCTATACATACATAAGTATAGCATTATCCATTGTTAAGGAATCTTGGAATCTTCTGTTTCCTCTCCAAAAATAACTCACCGCTTAACGTTACCATCCATTCTCCAACATGGCGGAACTCTCTAAAGGGCAGTTTAACCTGTAGCCCCTTGGCTGTCACTATGGCAATAGAGATCTGTATAGTAAATCCTTTAAACAGGTCTGGGAAATAGAATGGCAACTCTGAGGACTAAAATGGTGGAATATGAGAATGATATGAACTTACATAGATAAATATGAATTAGATTACAACGAATGACACGAGAAAGTCTGGAAAAACTGTAATACTGTACAAGAGAATTCGGTCTCAGTTTGAATCCTGTAAGCAAATTCAAAAAGTTTCGGTCACGCATTACAGAAGACTCCAAAAGTATTTTTCATGCTTGTCTCCAAAAGGGCTCAGGTCACTCAAGCGAAAAAGGTCATAAAAATATCTCATCAATTATTAAAAACCAAATTAAATATGAAACGAAACTCGAAAAAGATAGAATGGAGATGAATTCACGAAAGTAGAGAACATGGAAGGCAGATGGAAAACGTTGACTTGAAAACGTGATTTTCACGAGGACGGGTTTTTTACTCAGTTTCAGCGTGAAGGTGGTGGTTTTTTTTTTTTTCAACTCGAAATAGGGCTGTCCCTTAATCACTACATATTCACATCGTATTAATTTTCATTAATAAAATTCAACAATGAATATTATATTATCTCTTCACTTACTACAGATGAAAGCATGGTCCATGGGTCTTTTTCGTTAAGCCTGTAAAAACTGATGAAGGTGGTGGGCTCAACTTTAGCTGTATTATCCGAAAAGAGACGAAAATCAAAGTTCACCACCAACTCTGTATATGTGCGACAGAACAGGTAGGGTCCTTTGGCAGTGACGTTTCTTGTGTCGTACCAGATTCCACTCGGTCCATTACCTAAATTGAAAACAAACCCAGTCAGCCCAGTACCTTCGCGTTCCCGTCGAAGTCTGGATTTCAAGACGGACTTCTTTTTCTGCAGTTTCTTCTATTGAACTTAAAAGGAGATGATTCTTTACGTATTTGCCGAGTCGCTCGAAGGAGGCCTGAGATTAACGTTCGGGTCGGTCAGAATCAAACACAAATCACATTCAAAGCCCTGAAGAGCATCCTTGAGTCTGAATATTTCCCAAGGAGGCTACAGGAACGAGTGGAAAAACATGTGAAAACACTCTTTGAAAGAAATGAAATTTCTCACTTGCTTTTCAGATGCTTTTCACATGCCTCTTACAGGGCAAATGTTACGTGTTTACGAAATTTTCTATCGAAATAAGTCTAAACGTAGTCTTCCATTGCGAGTACCCGAGTACACGCAGGTATGCATTGGGTTCGTCGAACAGCCCTGTACCAAAATCACCATTACGTATATTAAGAAAGATCCATTTCTGTTCTACCTGAGTTTACAAAGCGGTGAAGGAAATAACATCCCTGTTTGCATGCGTCTCCGAGGCCATTCTAAAAAAGATTTTTCACGACAAAATATGATTAGATTTGACACGAGAATATCAGGATGGGTCACTTAGAAATTGCTCCAGATGTAACTCGCTGTTTTAAAATAGGAACTTAAAGATAAAAAACCTTACTTCTTACCTTATCGCACTCAGCTTTACATTCATTGTATGTTCTGTGTTTCGTACTTTCGAACCTAAGAGGTCGCAGGCACTGAAGAGTGAACAAGACAGAATGGAAACGATGTTGGAGTAAATTACGAATGATGAAATGGTTTGCAATATCCTAATAACAGGCATAATAAAGGAAGTTATACTTCTCATCTCAGTTATCAAAAAGATTACAAGAACTTTGGATGCTGAATGCGTTCTGAGAATCCAAAAAGTAACTACTGAAAATTTTCTTCAAGTACGCTTAAAATTTTGACTAGCGACGTCACCATTTTTAGATCCCTAGGTAACCCGGCCGAACACGCAAAACCATAAAGCGTGGTTTAAAAACTAGCAAGTGCAACTGGTTAATGCAAACTTTGCGGCAACCAGTAGCACCTAAAAAAAAATACAAACAAACGAGAAAAACTAAACAAAAGCACACACACAAACACAAAATTAAACACAAAGTAAAAAAATTGCCTGAAAATTGCTTTTTTTGTGTGTAGTTTCTTATCACTCAAACGGATCGTAACTGGCTAGTAGACGGGTTTCAGATTTACAATGGCGACGTCCACGAGTGAATTGTAGCTCATTTGAAGATGGTTTTCGAAAGGTTTAGTTATTCTTTGGAATTCTAGAACGAGTCGATATATTTTTTAGTTTCCCAAGGATGTCTCTTCCCTAGGATTAAAGATACTGAAATACCACGTCAAAAAATCTAGTGAATGCAAAGTATGCGCATCATCCCCAACTGAAGGGCTCAGGACCTTCCCTAAAGCCGATGTTCAGATTGCTATTTTACTTTGTTCGTCCCAATCATGTCAGGATCATTACCTTCGCGTTCTCTGCTGAGTCTGTCGCCCGCCTCATCCAAGATTTGGCACAGATAATAAAGAATAAAGAAACCCAAGAAACCCAAGGGTACTGTGGTCCGAAACTACCGCGAAGTCGAGACGATCAGAGGGTTCCACTAACGAAGTGGAATCTCGATCATTCCATAGTGACTTCATGTTATTATTTGCAAGTATTGCTATAGTTTCTGACCTTCCAATAGTTTCAGGAGATTGATAACGAATGCCTTAATCTACCATGTAATTATCTGAATTTTTTGCCGTAGATTTCACCTGATATTTCTCATTTGCCGCTTTCAAAACAGTAAACACCCAATTGGGTCATTACGTTCTTCACAATGTTCGCGGATGAGATTCGCTGATCTCTAACTTACAAGTTTATTTTCCAATTTAAAGATCAGTTAATTTGAGGACATACCTCTTCACAGTCTTCGTCGCAGTTATAAGAGTTGAAGATTTCAGGGTTTTCTGTCTCCTGTGTTTAAAGAAGAAATCAGTAAAACATGTGTAAGTGTTGATTTATCGAAAGAGTTACAATTGTTATTGACCAAGAGAGTATACTGAAACTGATGTGTTCTCGTGTATTTGACCCGCAGGTGAAAATCCAGCAAAGGAATAATTCTCGTTGGTGGATGAGTAATTGCAGAAAAAAAAGCGCGTAAAAAATTCAAGTTTTTACGGGATTCAAACTCAGTGATCATCGAGAAGCGTCACACTCCTGAATGATGACTCATTTTGGACGAAGGTTAAATATTTTCTCGTGACTTAGTATTGCAACAAGGCTAAAAAAACATTCCTTTCCAAAAAACCTTTTCCGAACTTTTGTTCCATGCGAAAAAGAAGTTATGTTACTGATTGTCTAATATATAGATTTAGCCAAGCCTAAAAGCGGAGCTCGCATTTTTTTTCCCGCACGTCTCAAGGGCACAACGCCTTACCCCGGCCAGGACTAGAACCCGGGTCGTCCGAATCGGAGCCCAGTGCACTGACCACTGGACTACTGAACAAAGCCGTGGCGTTGGCGTGCCCGCGGTACACTTGACCACGCATGTTAAAAGTAGCGCCTTGTACGGTCGTACGGTCTTACGGTCGTACATCCAAATTTTTTCGGCTTGATGGGTCACTACTATTTTGTATAATTGTGGGGCTACGCTCTGCGAGCCTCGCTATTAGCAACTGGGGTATTGATTGTAACATTCATACATCTATTTATGTAGAAAGTTTTAAAATTCAAGGTGGTACTCACATTGATTCTTACTGGTTCACCGTACTTCACACCAAATCACGTGCACATGAAAAGACAATTTAAATTATGAGTGGTTAGTTTTCACGCAGAGTTTAAATAGTATATGTAACTGGTTTATACTTAGGGTCAATGAAGTAAAGCAATGTGGGGCAAACCAGACATGAGAATTTAAAGATAACTTCAAAGGTACACAACACAAGTACATTGTGTTTCAGGTAACTTCTCCGTAGAAATTCTAATCTTTTCCATCACTTCAGTCCCACTTTCAATCCACTACACAGACTAGTGGTTTAGTCCGATCACAAAAAAAATAAAACTGAATGAAAATTTGGAACTGAAAAAGAACGTTCATTCTTTTTCAATTTTATTTTTCCAATACCACATTCGACATTGTAGTCACAGGAAAACCATCCAAAACGTTCTATGGAGACTTTGTCTGCCTAAGTTACTCAAAAGGTTATTATGTTAAAATTAAAGGAAATAGCCGTCATGTGATGAGACAATTTCACAGATCGAAAGCCTTCCTGCATATTTTTAAAAAACCTAGACAAATATCAAAAATCGTCAGCTACTCGAAATCTTTCTGTAACTAAATTCCTTCACTCAGACCATTCACGATGAAAGTTCTGCGCTCCCAGATGGGCGGAAATTGATATCATAAAACCAGTTGAATCGCACAGCTCGCGCAGTGAAACACTACCTTTAACAGTGTAGGTAGTTTAATTCTACGAAGAGTTTTTCGCTCCAAACGGTTATAAAGTACTTGCTACACTACAGTAACTTTTTCACTGTTAAGATCGATAACGTAAACAATGTGACAAATGGAAAACAAAACAACTTGAACAAATAAAATTTTCTAATGTCAAACTGAGAAGATTCCATCTCCTAAAGGTTAATGAAGTTTGAATTTCGTAATTTTAAATTTTCTCTGAAAAGCCGTGGATTCACTTACCATACGTGCTACTTCAATCAGATCAAAGTACTGATAATTCAATTTACGAGTTTATCTGCCCCAAAACAGTTAAATGATCTAAAAAAAAAACAAAAAAAACAAAAACAAAAAAAAAAAGAAAGAAATCGCTCTCGATCTTGTCATTCCTGAGGAAAGAGAAAATAGTTCACATAATTCCTTCTTGTAAACAATTGTTATTATTCTCCTTTTCCAGATAATTTTCACTCATTTGTCGCCGTTTTATCGAGAGTTTCCCTTGTATTTCATCGTTATTGAACCATATCAACGCCCGCGTGGAATTTGAACAAGACCAAAGTACGTGACTCCAGCACAAATCACTTTCAATAACAAAATGTACTTGACTTGTCACTTCACAGCAGGAATTTTTTTCCTCTCCCAACTGAAGGCTCTCTGTTGACGCAAATCGCACGGAATTGAACCGAAAAAATTGGAGTCTGTGACCCTTATTTGAATGCATTTACCCTAAGCAACGTATGAAACTTCGAATCTCACCAAAATTTTTCGAGAATATTTAGTAAATGATATAAAAAAGGCGCGCATTGAAAATATCCAATTAAAAAAATTCATAATTAAATTAAAATTCGCAACGTAGCTCGTAATTCTTCAAGACTCCTGAGAATTTACATCGATTTAGGAAAGCAATACATGTGAGTAATTAAATTAGCTTATAATGTTCTCCAGCCCTACATTTCATGAATTTAACTGCATATTCATCCAAAAAGAGACAAATTGTATACATTTGTCTCATATTTGAATGAGTTCGCCAGTGCTCCAAACCGGCTTTGTAAGAGTAAAAATAACAATAACCACAATTGAACATTTGAAGTGGTAGACAAGTGGAATTGAATATGCAATTTTCTACAAAAAAGATTGCGTTAGTTCCCAACTGTTTATATGACAGTCTTCTTTCTGCATTCGCTTACCATTTCCTCGCATTTCATGGTGAATTGTCCTTCCTTCACAAGGTTATAAAACTTTAAGTCTTCCTCTGATTTACTTGCACGCACTACGCCTTCCGACAGCACGCTTATACAAATGGAAACAAGAAACAGCATCGACATACTTAAAACAGCGCAGGTTTCAAAGTCAGGCAATATTTTCAAAATCTTTTTTTTTGGAACTTGCAATCAAAAACTTTCCGTACGCGCTTCAGTCAACATTCCGCTTTTCACAAAATGAACACGCAGCTTGCTGCGGAAGCTCATTTACGTGATTACGAATCGATAGATTTTAGTTACTAGTTCCTTTTCATACCGCCTGCGGTTCATTTCAAAAATAGATTTGCCTAAACAAGTAGTTAATATTTTTAATCTGATGGTATTTATTCTCGGTAACACCAGACCTTTGCGGTCGCACCTCTGTCTCGTAATTCTCATCAGTATCTGATCAATGACTTTGAGTCCACGACTTAAGTTTTTCCTTCATGATCAGTGGTAAATGATGAAATAATTTCAATAAAAAATCCGATTGAAGATGCTAAAGTTGACCGATGCGGTAAACACCAGGATTATTTAGAGACAGTTCAATATTTATCACATGGAAAAGAGGGGGGGGGGGTGAGAGAATTTTGGTAATGTCTCGATAAAATTTATCGATCCCCCCATAAGGCTCTGTAATATTCTTATGACTCCCCCCCCCTAGACAGCAGTTAGTTGGCAGTCAATTTTCACTTCAAACCCTGTTGGCGACGACTGATCCCCCCTCCATTCCCCCACAAAACCATGAAACCCCCCCCCTTCAACATCCTTCACCTCTTCCCTGGGGAAAAAGTTTTGACTAGTCCTTTGCAACCCAATTTTACTGGTGATATTGTGCTTTGGCGAAGAGGCCTAGTCAACGAAGTTGTGAAAGGCTTCACTTTCAATTGCTAGACCGTGAGGCTGATACAAAATGTTATCATCTATCTGCACCAACGACCCGTGAATCGAGTACAAATATCCTGCGATATTGTACGGTTATTTCGACAGTTGGTTATTTTGTACTGTAAAAAAAAGCACTTGAGCGAGCTGCTTCGAAGGAATGCTTATAAAAGAAAGCAGTTGGATGATAATTAACGCATTAAACGTTGTAGTGTGCAGTATCGCCAAGCATGCTCGTCAACAACGAGTACAACACAAATTGTATAAAAAACTTAGTGACTCTACACATTAAAACGTTTCAAAGATATATCGAATGGCGTCTCTCCAATGACGACTACAAGGGGAACTAAAATGATAAATGAAATCTGCGCACCGCAAAATTCTGCGAGACAGTATTCGTTGACTGCCCTAAATAGCCTCCCGCCGAGAGGTACGTAAACGTTATATCAAAAGGCGTCTCTCCGATGATGACTACAGGGAGAACTAAATGATAAACGAAATCTACGTACTACGAAATTCCTGCCTAGAACAGCTAAAAGGTACACACTATGTTAGGTTTTTCTACCAAAGTGATGACTGGGGTCTACCATGCCCCAAAGGACCCTAAGGACGCTAAACATTCCAGAGGGGACTGTTTAACCTATTTAAATGATTGGCACCTTTCAACAAGTGAGCAGCACGATGATGGATTCTGGATCCTAGACAACTGGCAGACAGACGTAATTATTCTTCATCATCGGCTGAAGACAAAGGTCAATTTGTTGTTATTTCAGCCTCACCTAAAAAAATAAATTGTAAACAAACTGGATGTGGAATATCAAAGAGGCAAGAACAGATGTGCTGTAACTTGTAAAAAGTTCTTATTTGCGAAATACAGGTCGTATTGCATGTCACAAGAGGGAGAGAAATATTCAAGTGTGGTCTCCTTTACACTGGGTAGTCAACGAGTCACGTCATTTCCTATTTTTTCGTGTTTTTTCCCCTTCACTCTTAACTCCATTTATATCACTATTTGCTTAGCCGATGCTACGTCTAACTATTTAGGTTTATGCCTCTTGAAAACTCACGTAGAAACGTTGGCAGTCCTCGTTCTCAATTCAACTAAATTTTCTCCGCTTCAGAACTATTTTTGATTTCTTTTTGGTGTTTAGTGAATGTAGTGCTTTTTTATTTATTTAAGCGCTTTCTCCTCTGAAACATTCAACTCGTTAGAATAATAATCAAGTGCCGTCTCTTTTCAGTATCAAAACAGATAGTCATAGTTTTCTCAATTAACGTTCACCATGAAGCAAGGATAGAGCATATTTTATATTCAAGGATGGCCGAGCCTATTTTCAACTGGCGGGGCTTGAGAATGAGCGTAGGGGCGCCCCTCCCCCTGAAAATTCTATTCTTGATACGTAAAATTGTGGACATGCGCCTTCATACTAAAACAAACAGAAATGTCGTCCTGGAAAAGCCATCCCTTAGGTTTTCGGGAGTTGACGAGGCAAAAGCGACTAAAAATATCTTTACGAGGCTCGTTGGGAAGATTTCCCCACCCTCTCTAGTCATTAAAAATTAGCGGAAATCTAAACATTTGTTTTTATCTTACAACCGTCCGAGACCTATTTGGCCGCAAACCCTCCGTTCTTTGACCTTTCCTTCTCTTGGAAGCAGAGATTCTCTCGAGTGGAATTAATTCAAGCTTTCTATCAAAGTCGTGATCATGGTGATCTGTTGGTCTGCTAGAAGTAAACAATGGCGCGCCATCAAAATTGTCATACTCCGTTTTTGATCTAACAACAATTGACGACTCGGTTAGCACGGGTGCAGGAGTTGGACGTAATGACTGCGTTGCTCGAATTTCTTCTGCAGTCTTCCTCTCCTCGGAGGAAAGAGGTCCGTACATGGTTCCAATGTCAGGAATCCCTTTCTCTGTGAGCCATCGCTGATACGCTAACTGACTCTCATGTTTACCCTCTGCAAGGTGGATAAGGCTCAGTCTTTGCAATTCTTCCTCGATCTGTTTGGCTTTTTGTTCCCTTTCAAGTTTTTCTTTCAAATACTGTTGTTTGTCCAAATACCACTGTTGATTGGCTAAAATGCGTGCACATTCCCTCTGGCCCCATACACGCGCTAAAGACATAGGAGTATGACCGTTTCCGTCGACAGCGTTGATCGTCGCACCAGATTTGATCAACTCCTGCAGGCATTTAACATGGCCTTCACTTGCTGCCTGATGCACTGGAGTGATTCCAGCCTTGGTTGGCCTAAAATAGGAAAAAAACATATTATCATTCACTATATCCATACTAACTGCCAGTTAAGCGGACACCTGCAAATGAAGTTAATCTTATTTCCACAAATTTATTGCTACGTGTCTTCTTTAAGGTACCAAATACGAGACGCCATTTAAATTTGGCAAAAACAAAAAAAATTATCATACGAGCCGCGGGTGAATGTCCTTCTGATATTCTACCTACATTTTGGCGTTTTCTGTTGTCTGTAACTGAACATAAATACCCACGGTAAATGGGAACTGCTTCTTTCGTAGAATGAACAGTAAAGCAAAGTGAAGGAAAGGAATTCTAAACGCTTGCCTCGTAGGTCTCATCTGTTTGGGTATAATTCGAGTCATGAGGAACTCAGTTCTCGTTCGTCAACAGTTCGTGTTCTTAACTTGGCAAGAACTATGAAAAAAATAAATTTTGGAGCGGCACTTTCACTTAATAAATCTGGGAAATCTCGCAAATTGTTCCAAAACAAATCGCTGGAAAAGACATATTCTCTTATCAAATACTAATCAACTGCAAATATTGTAATTACTGCACTTTCAGCATCCAGTTCATTACATAATCAAGCCATATTTACCGCCGTAATAAACGACAAGGGACGTTGGGAGAACATGGGAAAAGTCGCAAATCACGAGCCGCAAAGATTTCTATATAAATTTTAAAAGTGTTTTTCCGACATCTCAAGAGGTTATTATCTCGGTAAACCAGTAGAAAGTGCAGACTAAATTGCCTTTTTATCAGTACAAAATAGCTATGGCTTTATCAGCACAAAAAACGATTTTTTATCAGTGAGCGGGGAAATACTATCACAGTGATTTTAAGAAACAGGTATCTATGATCAAAAAAAGTTGAAGCAACATTAAGCCCTTCAATTCTTCTGATAATGAACACTAAAAGAATATTTAAACCAGCACTAAAATAAATACATCTAATTTGTTAATCCTGAGAACTTTTGTTCAACCAAGTCTTGATTTCAAAGGAAAAGTATGGTTATCATCTTTCCTCAAAATCAAAATTAAATTCTGATCATTAATTAAAAGAAGGGTCTTAAAAAAATCATTTCAATCATATTACAAGGTAAGTTTGCAGAAAACATTTAACCATCTCCTCATTTCCAAATTGAGGAAAGGAAGGAAAAGGGAGGGGGACTGGGTTGGAGGTTGGATCTGCCAACATCCATTAGCCTGTACCAGGCCAGATGAGCAAAAGAGTGTTTAAGTGACAAATGGCAGTTTCCCAAATTTGACAGTTCATCCACTGTGTAAGATTTTCTTAAATTTCTCCCACTTCACTACAATCTGTAACTAGTATTTTCATTCTTCTGTACTATATTCCAATCTTGCTTCCTATTTATATGGGTTACTCATCTACACATATACCATCAGCCCATACCTTGGTTGAATTAACCAGGGATGTCAATAACTTTTTCCATAAGCCGCTGCTGATGGTGCAATAAGCAGCTGTGCCCAAGAAGGGGCTGTAAGGTGATACCCAAACACAAGAGTCTGCTTTCAGGTTAAACAGATGGTGAAAAAAGTCTCATAGGCAGCAGTAGATTGCAGGTAAGCTGATTCATTGAAATTCCTGGTTTAACACTTAATTACATCCATTTTGAAATCACTTTTGATCCCTGCAATCTGATAGCCTCTCACCTGTGCAATTTAGACTCAAATTGAACCAATTTATGCTCTAAATCACATCTTTTTCCCAGGCCAATGAGACAGCTTTGCTAAAACACAACAATCAGTCAAATTTCAAGGCTTCAGTTTACAGAAATCAATCAAATTGCGGGAAAATGAGACACAACTTTTGCAACTTTTTTCAAACAAGCTCAATATAATGGATCAATGAAATATTTGATCAGACAAAAAAAAAAAAACTCATTGAGCCACTGAATTTGTGATTTCAAAATAGATGTAATAAAGAGGTGCCCAGTAACTGAACTTTGTGTCATGTAGTTTTGGTCTGAAATCATATTTGGAATTAAACTTTCCCTGTGTACTCTCTTGATTTTGAAATCGCATATGATTTCAGACCAAACTGCACTCCATTCAGTTCGATTACAATTAAAAAACACTCATCCTACACTAACCTTGATGGATCTGCACCTTTCCCTAAAAGATATTGTACACATCTCAATCCTCTTTTCTTGGTAGACTTGTTAATTGCTAAATGAAGGGGTGTCCATCCGGATGCACTTTGAAAATTAACATCTACTTTATATCTTTCTATCATTACTTTAAGGCATTCAAGCTGTCCATTCTGTGCGGCAAGGTGAATAGGAGCAAGACCCTGAAAGAAATTAAGGTAACATTAATATATTTTCACTTTGTTAGAGTTAAATTATTTTACTTTGTTAGAGTTTGCTGGTTTCAAGCACTGGGGGTTCAGAGATTCCAACCCTCCCGATTTGATCGGGAGTCTCCCGATTTGATGTCTTGCCTCCTGCTCTCCCGATTTTTACCAAATTCTCCCGATTTATCATAAAATTCTGAAAACTATGGGAAAATTGCTAATCTTTAGAATTTTTGGCGATCTGTCACTGTGAAACACTCATATTATACTTACTTTCTTCGCGAAGAGCATTATGGTATGTTATAACTCAGGCCGGAATGATGTCAAAATTCAGGAAATGGCACTTGAGAGAACCTAAATTTGCAAAATTTCCCGCGGGCATGCCCCCTGACCCCCCTAGAAGCTCGCGCCTTTGGCACTAATAATTACTCCCTATTTTCCATCACATGGGGTTGGAATCTCTGGGGGTTCCAGGCATTCATGTATTCATTAATCAAAATACATCCATGTACATGTAAGAAGCCATCAGTTTTGAGGAAGTTTTAAGGCTAGTGGCTAAACCAGGAGGCATTAAAGGGGGATGTACTTTTTCCTCTTGTCACAAGCATGAAGAATCCTTGTGAGGAATCAACATTAGATCTCTGGATTTCAAGTAACCAAAGAGACTCTATGGTGAACTACAGTAGGCCATTATGAGGTTTATAATTGACATGTGACACACACTTTTCCCTTGGTTATGAAATAAAACATTGGAAACAGGAAACAATGATTATTAAAAGGAAACACTGTAAGCTTGAATGTTATCAGGATAGCTCAATTATAGGGATGAAAACAAAATATTTTGCTTTCCAGATTAGTTACTGAGAAGCAACTGGTTTGGAAGCAAAATTTGTCTTCAGGTGGGAGAATTAAATGTTTTGATCCAAGACAACAACATTTTTTCCTGTTTTCCAGCAGCAAAATTTATTTCCACAAAATCTGTTTCTTGCACTGTTAAGCTAAAAAAGGCATTTTTCTCTGCAACGGTGTTTTCACAACAATATTATTTTAGCAGGGCTTTTATGTGACATAGCTGCCTTCATGTTCACCAGAGCAAGCTCAATACTCAATAATGTTGAATGAGCTTCCAGTGGCTTAGGCTTATCGTAATTTGTGGATCCATTTGCGACAAATTTGCTTTGATGCTAAAAGAAATACATGTACATCGGTAAATGTTAGAGTTTTCATCGAGGTCTCATGGCGTGAAAGGGGTACAATTGGATTTCTAATCTCCCTGGATGAAAGTATAAAATTCAACTAAGGTTGTTCTGAGTCCCCATCAAAATTTCATTTGGTTTTATTTCAGCTTTCCCAATCAATTTAGGAGTACTACCTGATTAAACTGATGAAGAAAGCTACATTTAAAGTAAATCCGATTTCTAATACTCAAAGGAGGGAATACTATCTAAACTGTTAATTTTGAGGACGTGAACGTCAAACAAAAAAAATGGCTGCTCCTTGTGGTAAACCCACCTTAATATTTCTAAAGTAATTCACAAGTACAGAAATGATGCGGCTGTGGAACAGAAGTCGGACTTCTATTGAAATGCTCGCAAAAAGTAAATGAAAACACGCTTCGTCCCGTTACACGAGACAGCGAAACAATTCGCACGTCTGTCACGTTTGCTTCGTAATAATTACCGCAACTTTCTGTCAAAGTATTACAGCATTTGACCTGCGCCTCTTTCGCTGCTAACTGTTCACACTCTAATTATCTGGCGTGAATAGAACTAAACAATCGAACACTGGTTTACAAGTTATTTAAAGAGATTGAAGAATTCGAGAATGTCACTTACGTGTTCGATGGAAACAGAATATGCTTTACGCGTATCATAGAGGCTTTGTTGAAGCCATGTTACATCACCGATCGCTGAAGCCATAAGCACGTCATCATCTATGTTCTTTTGGATTTTTAAAGATTGTCTACGCCTCCTCCTTATGACTGTATCACTTGGCTTATATTTCATTTCAGTCATGTTGTACCCGCGGTGGACCGCCATTTTGAAGAACGGAAATTTCGTTGCTAAGCGTTGCTAACGTCAACTTTTAGAAATACGGGACTGGACTTGTCTTTTGTGAAACTCGGACAGAGAGACTACTCGTCAACGAGGTAAAGTAATTAATTCAATTCTTTATCTTCCAAACACTTGTCCTTAATTCACGATTCTTATTCGCCTCCTCGTGAACTTTATTGTTGGAAAAATATATTGAAAAGAGTTCTTTTCTTAGTCATGAGTACAATTCCTATGGTGACTTACTAACGGCAACAGAGTTATTAATGTGCTTGCAGTATCAACCAAAATAACATGTACGTAAAAGACAAATGATATTACTATCATCAATAAATTAATCATCATCAAGCATTATACATGATACCAAACAGTCCAAGCTGTTTTACCATTGTTTGGTGAGCAGGAACCACTTTTCATGGCTAATATACTTGTTGTTTATTATAAATTTGAAAGGCTAACTGAAATTGAATAGATGATCTAATGGCAAGGGGAAAGCAAGATCCATACTGCTGGCACACTGTAGAAGAAAGAACTTAATATTCATGTAGGAAGTTGTTAACAACTAGTAATACTATTTACTGATGATTTCAGCACAGCATACAGGTGTAAAACCCACAATAAAATGAAGCATAAATACTCAGTAATTTATACTACATATAAATTTTCCTCTTTACTGAGGCTAGGCCCCCTCAAAAAAAATAACTTTACGTGAACTCCAGTTGAAGAAACAAACATGAAAGAACCATCATAACGACCAGCTCCCAGTTGGCTTGTTGGCTCAGTTGTTAGAGTGCTGCACCTTTACTGTGGAGGTCATGGCTTCAAATCGTGTACCAGCCTGAATTTTTTTCAGGTCTTATTTTTACCAGTAGCTAGGTAGCATTCATAATTGTGAGGATTGCTTTCACAAATGTTTTTTTGGTCTTGTCATGAGCATGGGACTGGACAAACAGAAAACTGAGTCCCATGAGGAACTTCAGATTCTGTGCTGCAATGCTCTGCGGCTGAGCCACAAAGACTCTATGGTGACCAAGGCCCATTGCGAAGTTCATATAGGACATGCATCCTGCATACTGCTGGAATCAGCAATGTCGATAGCGTCATGTTTTGTAAATAATAAATAATAAGAGAGATGGTAATTTTTTAGCTCAGTAAAAAAAAAGAGAAAGAAGTTTTTTTGTCTTTTCACAGGCATGGGACAAAGAAAAAATTCTGAATACTCACAAGGAATCAAGCCTCAGACCTTCGGATTTCACACTCAGTTGCTCTGCATACTAGGCATGATTTATCAAAAAGGTACTTTTTAAACACCAAACCTCAAAAAAATATGCCCTTGCAGGTGAAAGGATCAGAATTAGAGTCTCAGTCTTATTTTATTCACTAAAAAACATCATTCTCTACTTTTCTTAATTTTTTTTCTAATTTTGGCATGGCTCAGGAATAAAAAAATCCCTAGAGAACACTGATAATTCCTCAATGGATTCATAAGACAAAAGAGGACTGGGGAAGTATTTCAGGGAAATCCAAAGGAACTCGAAGGCATTTTTTCAGATCCATCAGATACATGTTGACTACAGGTGTCTCTCAGGCAGAGGGATTGTTGTCTGTTGGTCAAGAATTCACATCCTTTATCCTACTACTGGCTAGATTTGACTCTGGTTACCAACTACTGATCAAGTGCAACCTTTAAGCTGTACTCTGTGAATGGCCAATTAGAAAGCCTCTTAACAGAGAGGATTTTGAACCATCCCATATCTGTTTTAAAAGGCTGTTTACATAATTTACTTCCAACAATAAAATAAACAAAAAATTATTGTGCAATTAAAGAAATTAATAGTTATATTATTTTATTTTTATAAGACAAATGTCACCAATGTCTTGAAGAAATCAAATCCAACCTTGTCTTCAAGTTCTCATTCAAATCTGCCCATTTTAGGCAAGAAAAACAGTCCCTTTCTTACTCCAGGATATGGAATAAGAGAGAGAGAGAGAGAGTGACCACACCTTGTAGTAGAAGGTTAGAAACTGATTGTCTTTAACCCTTTAACTCCCATGATCTGATTGTCAATTCTCCCCTATAGCTGCTACATATTTCCATGTAAACAAGTTATGAGAATTTGGTGTTAGATCAGGATAACAATTTCCACCTGATACACTTGAGTATTCTCATTACTTGTTTGCTGAATAGTGCATGGATACTGTGGGGAGAAGTTACTTGTTAATAACTTCTGGGAGTTAAAGGATTAACATGGGATCTTCTAAGAATAAATTTCCACAAGAATTCTTGTACCGCAAATAATTGGAGAGTTTGTTTGTTTCTTGTTTACAAGATGTTAAGCTGCACAAGAACAGACATAGAAAGTATAAAGTAAAAGTATGATTTCAATAGCACAAGTTATATTGCAAAGGAAAGAGAACTTGATGACAGAAAGTCCTAGGTAAAACAAATACTAGAGTCCTGATTTTTAGCCATGATAGGAGTTCCTCAACTCCATACCCAAGTGGATTTATGAAGGTTGGTTTAACATTAGAGAAAAATGTCAGAGGATCCTCAGAGGTTACCACTCACTAGGGGAAGCTAACGAATGACTTATTGCCGTTTCTGAATCACCACTCACTTCACAGGAGATTTATCACCAGGAGGTACCCAAGACTGCGGCTCAAACGTTTCTCCACCCTCCTTTCCACTAGAAGATTCATTTGGATCAGACTCAGGAATCCACTCCCCGGGTTGAAAAGTCGTCCCAGTGCTTATAGGTTGTGTTCTATTATCCAGACTCTCGTACAAGGGAGCTGAGGCGTGGCCAATTTGAGCTGCTGCCTGTGATGTTTCCTGCTCCAAAGCTTGCCGTTCTTTATCCTTCTCTTCCACTTGCTTTGCTCTTTCTTGGAGCGTTTTAACTCTCCTCTGTTCGGCTATGAGTTCTTCATGTGTCGGGGGACGTTCTCGTTTCCCTCGGATCCACGCCTCCCACTCAATGGGAATTAAACCAGGGGTGTATTCCATTGGATTCATTTTGGTGATCATCTCCCTCTTAGGCTTTTTTCCCTGCCGGATGGTTTCATAATATTCATTTCCATGGAGATCGGTTCCTACAAGTCGTCTTGTTCGTCCGAAGACATTTAGTAACGATCGTACCCACTGCATTATATTGAACGTAATTTAGGTTTAAGTTAAACAGCTTGAAGAGAGAATGTGATAAAGTTCCTGTTTTTTCACAATTCTCGCTCTTTAAAACCTCCAGATTTTACATGGAGTTATATCAGTCAGACTACTCTTTCCGCAAGCGGGAGAAAAGTGATGTAAGAAAATTGGACAAGTCTAACCGCCATTTTGAACAATATGAAGATCAGAGAGAACCTGGTAACAATCAGATAGCGGACTCTCGTCACATAATATGCGCAGGGTGTCTTTAGTCGAGAAATGCGTCATTCTAATGGGCATAAGTTCTGTTTACATGTAGGAGACATTGTCACGAGTTGGCGGGTGGAATATTAATCACTTCATTACGAAATCGACGAAAAACCTGGTACATTCTAATCTAAATATGACTCTGAGATGACCACTAGAGTATTTGGAAATGGCAAGGTTCTACACTGTGATTAATTTCTCTGTATTGTTGACTTATTTCGCTGGTAAGTAAATGTTTTCATTTCTTTCACGTGACATAATTGGAGCGAGGCGTTCAGAGGCTATCAGTTGGTGCTTTTATGCTGTAGCTTTACTTCTTATTTCAGTCATGCTCGAAGTCTAGAGCTTTCTTATCTTACCTAGAAATTGTTCCCACGTACGCCTCAGCTAAATGAAAGCTCACTGTAACCAGTTCAAGTAACTTCCTGCACAAGTGATTTCACAATGTAAAAACTCACGGCAACTAATAAATGTTAACTGTTTTACTCTACCACGAATCTGGTTAGGTTACCCTCTTGATTAAGAGGTTAAAAATATATGTGAACGTAATTGAAATTACTTAAACTTGCTTTGAAACATCATTAAAGCTCTCCAATGTTTTGCTCGTAATTTTTTAATATTAATAATAATTAATATAGAGTTTCTGTGTTCCTAGCTTCATCCTAACTTAACTACTAGTTTCCTTACAGGCAGAAAACCCTAAGGGTTTGAGGCTTTGTGAAATCAGTCATTTAATATAGTTGTTGATCTCTAACATGTAAAGTAATCTGGAACAGTTGATCCATAAATAGCTTTAGTTATAGTGCCGTCACATTGTGGAATAGCCTTCCTTGCGAGGCTAGGTGTGTGGAATCCCTCAGGTTCTACAAATGAGAAATCAACAAAGTTCTTTAAGGCACAGCATTCATGGAAAGCAGTAATATAGTGTAATTAATAATGTCATTAATATCAATCAATAGTTAATGGTTTTTAATTAATCCTATGTAAACAGCTGATGAATTGCCCATGATTGATTAAAATTTAAATGAAATAAAATAGATAAATAAATAAATAAACCTCAGCATGATAACTATGAATTCTAGCCTTTGACCCTCAAAATCAGCCCTATTGATATTTAGTATATAAATAGAATTCACTTACCTTCAGTTTTCTCTTTTCTCTAATGATTGAGTAGGTTATTGAAGGTGATTCTAATCCTTCCTATAGACTCTCTTCCAGACACAACATAATGTAATAAGGCATGCAGCTCAGGGTTGAGAGTCTTGAGAACTTCAGCAAATTTTGTCCTCTTCCCAACTTTACTTCCCTCTGGTCTTTGGGCATATGTAAGGTTGATTGATGTAAAAGATCCATGCTTAAAATCATTGTATTTACACATCTCTAACCACCGAAAAGCTTGGACTAGTTTTTGGCTTTGTTGGTGGTTTTGGCATTGACTTATGATTTGATGATAAGTCTTAAATTAACTTTTTTGGACATGCAAGGAATCCATATCCAAGCTCTTGTTTCATTCCTAAAAGACAACATTGTTAATGAACCCTACTCCCACCAACAAGTAATATAAAATTCAAACAACTGTTCAAACCTAGCTCACTGTCAAGGTATAGTATTGCTCAGATATAAAATAACCAAAAAACACATATAAAACACATTAATTTGTATGATAAATGAAAGTATGTGCATCTAAATGTTGCATGTGCATGCATAAGCCTGACTCATTCACCTTATTAGTATGTATGAGCTAGGCCTTTTGTTGTTCTATTGCTGGTGGTTAATTGTTTTAAAGAATAGGCTAAATTAGCTCTACCGGTAATTTAAAAATACTAAATGGCTACCAATTACAAAGAGAATTGTTGATTTCAATTACGATTCAAACCAACCTTCCCCAATATGCTGTTGCATACATGTACCAATGCATCTTCATAATCAGAATATATAAGTGATGTATCAATTTACAACAGTATCCTTTTATTGAAGTAGCTGTTTCTCACTTCTTAAAAAAAATCATCCATCCAAATGGCTTGGGAATGTGTTAAAAATAAATTTAGTCTCAGTATATCGTATATTAGCATCAACAAAGGTGCCTGTTTGTAAACAGTTGTCACATTCTAAAAAGGAAGGCATACACAAGTGCTCATTTTATAGCATGTACCATCAATAAACATGCTGTTCTGCATATAACAAAATGGGGACAGGAAAATCATGTTTTATGGTGGATATTTGTAGTCAGTTCCACAATGATAGGGAAGAGCTGATTTTGACAGCTTCCAAATGCATACATTGTGCATTTGTACTTTCCTTTGTATCTGTAGGAGGGTCAGTGAAGAGGAGTATAATAAACCATCCTAAAAATAGTTGTGAATAACTGCAAGTAGTGAAAGAAAGGATATAGCTGTATATATATGTCTGTGGTTTTTGTGAAAGTGTGCTTGAATGATTTCATGTTGCTTTTTAATTCTTCAAAGCTTGAGGAACATGTTTATTGTTTAGGGGGTGGAGGAGGGTGTAAAACTGTTTGTAGAAGACAATTTGTGTGTACACTGGAAAGGAAAATGTTAATAGTCCTGCTCCAAACAAAAAAACTTTTCAAATTCTGAACCTAACTGTCACTGGAATTTGAATTGAGTGACCCCAGTGTAAATAAAGTCTTAAATAAATCTCTTATTACTTTCTTATTTTCAATTAAAGCTGACCTGTTGTGGAATTTTGGATTTCTGGGAATTCATGCTGCTGTTGGCAATGGTACAGAAGGTTCTTGTCAGGCCTGTCCAGTAGGAACAATTGGAAATACTAGTGAGTATTTTACATGACTGTGTTCTTTAATCAGGTTTTTGAATCAACTGAAGATCACATTTTGGGGAATTTTGATGATTAATTATTTCTATATGAACAACAAATAGGTTTTCTAGAAAATGAAAATGAACAATCAATCAGAAAGAATAATGTATATTCAGTGGTATTAAACCCAACTTTCCTATTATGCAGTACAGTTCCAGTTTGTATTAAGCATTTTGCTGATAATTGTAATAAATTATGATAATGAATTTATTTGCTTTCTTTGTATTCTGCACCTTTTGTTTGTAGGAGTTTTAAAATAGTCATCAACATCTGTGAGTGTGGATAGCCAGTTCAAAGTCTGCAAATACATGTACTTTAATTGTACATTGATTGTGTTGGCCACAAATATACATTTTTTAGGGGATGGTTTGAAGTAATCATGCATTCTCTTGTTAATATGCTGTGGAACATCCATACTGAATGTGTTAGACTTGAGAGCTCTGAATATACCAATTGTCTTCTGTATTTTGGGATAAACACACTTGTCCTATGGCTTTTGGGTACAACAAGAAAATACTAGTGACCTGTGGGATACTCTTTGGTATACCTGTTCCACTCACAAGTGTTGCTTATACTTGAAGAGTTTGAATTTTTTTTTTAACTAATCACATCATGGACTTAAAACTTTCAGGTGACCCAGACTGTCACAGTTGTAACATAAGTGGTCAGTGCCAAGATCCTTTGTCAAATTGTGTCCTGTGTCCTGCAGGCCACCACCAAAATTTAACAGGACAAACAGTTTGCTATGAATGCGAGAAAGGCAAATATCAAGACAAAGCTGGAAAAGCAACATGTATTCCTTGCCCTTTGGGATACTTTCAGAACAAGAGAGGACAAACATCTTGCCTCAAGTGTGAGAAAGGCCACTACCAGGATGCAACTGGAGAAACAACTTGCAAGTTATGTCAGAAAGGACGCTTCTCTGGGTGAGCCATTTATTGCACCTGAGTTTCAATGATTACAGACTGAGATACCTTTTATACTACATAACAGTAGGTGAAAACACAATCTCAAGGGTTTTTTATGCCTGTATTAGACAGTCAAAACTTCATGCCGTTATCCTTTTCCTTTTTCCCACTAGCTTTTGACTGGAAGGCACAAAATCATAGAATCAAGGTGCTGCCCATTGAATGTACTTTACGGAAGAGAAATCTTAGACCATTTTTTTGTCAGAATACTGAAGAATGTAATGGGATAAAGTCTGTTGGCTTAAATGGCTGCCAACTTGAAGAAAAGCATACTATTTATCAAGTTGATCATTTTTCACACTAAATTTGTACATGTATGGTTCACCCTTGCACACTCAGTACACCAGTCATGACCTGAAGTTGATGTAAACCACAGGCCCCAGTTGTTCGATGGTTAGATAAGGTCACATGTGTCAACTGATAATAAAAAATTAATATCTTTCTGGTGGATAGCAGAGTAGCAGTACCTTTTTAAACACTTTTTGACTTCTTCAGTGACTATAGATTTTTCCTCATTTCCCTACATTGCAGCTCAGATGGGAGTAACATGTGCATGCCATGTGGCAATGGGAAATACTGCAAGTAGGTGCAATTATTTTATTGTCATGCTATGTTCAACAATTATTTGCTGTAGAGAAGGTGAATTCATATTGTTTTAGTATGTACCACACAGAAACCAAAAAATTAGTTTGGTATATTTCTATCAATATACCAAAAAATGGTTGGAAATTACATTTTGGACACGTGATTTTGTCTCTTTGGCTACACAGAGGTGAGTAGTACTTGCTAATCACTTCCAAACCAGCCAATTAGTGAATGTGAAAAGCCCTCAGATACAAAGTTTTATTAATCGTAATGTTTAAAGAATATGATGATGAAGGTGATAATGATTATTGTGATTATTATTGCTCGGTAGTAGTTACTGTTTTGAAGTAGTTTAGGGCAGTAATAGTTACTGTAAGTTACAGTTGCAGCACTACATGTATGTTTACTAGTAATTAATGAGTTAATTTATATAACTGTTACTGACCATACTCTTATACAAAGTTCAATGGATCAGCAATCAAATCTGTGTTCACTCTTCTAACTCAAATGTTTCACTGTTCTTTTTTCTTAAAAAAAAAAACAAACAAACAAGCACCACGGGCTGTACCAAGTGTTTTGGTTGCCCACCTGGCCAAGAGGCAGATCATATGGGTGCACAAAATTGTACATATTGTCAAAAAGGTATGCAGTTTAAAAATGTTAATTTTATTTTGGTTTTGTTTTTAATTGTTGTTGAGAGGTGTTGTACTGTAGTTGTTTGCTTGTTTTCATTGAAAATGACATGAATATATGTAAAAGTTTCCCTGTCTTCAGAGCTGCTTGCAGTTTTGATTAGTCAGATACAATACAATACAAAGCTACAAACTTGATGTTCATTGTAGGACACAATAAGGCTGTTGTTGTTTCCAAATGTGTTGTTACTCAATGTTTTTACTGACTGATCAGAAAGTACACATAGCATCTGAACTATTTGCCTGAAGATAGATAGATAGTTAGATAGATAGATAGTTTATTTAAATATACCTAGCAGCCTTGCGGCTGAATTGTGTATATTACAATAATGTAATTAAATAAATATATCATATAACGTATATAAGAATATTCAAAATTAAACAATTAAAAAATCTATGAGCTAAAACCTATCTATATTTAAAAGCTATATTTACATTATCTACATAGGTTTCTAGGAAACGGTCGTTAATTAACTGTTGTTGTTATATTTAATGGTGGAGGCCATCATGAAGGTGTTTTTAAAACGGTTTGTCCTCCACCGGGGGATTTTGAAACGCCTGTTACGTCTTAAATTGTGCTTTGGATGGTTGGCACTAGGCAACAATTCACGAAGCCTGTGATTGTCATTTTCGATAATGTTGCTAAAGAGATTGCGGCAGCTGTCTTCCATATAAGCCATGATCGATGGAATGCCGGCAGCCTCTAAAATCTCCTGATAGTCTTGGCCTGGGCTTATAATAGAGAAAGCTCTTTTTTGAACGCGCTCTAACTCCTGCTGCAAATATATAGGTAATGCATAATAGAAAACAGGAGTCGCGTACGTTAATATAGATCTAATACAGGCCACGTAGAAAAGTATGAGATCTTTAAAGGCTACCTTTGCACGCTTTAGCTGAACCAAAAAATAAAGTTGCTTTGAGGCCTTCTTAACAACGTTGCTTATGTGTTCATTCCACGATAAATTGCTTGAAATTGTTACGCCGAGTAATTTTGCATGCTGGACAACCTCAAGCCCTTTACCATTGACAATGACTGGAGAAAACTCCGTCTGATTTCTGAAATTGTGTGTCCTTCTAACATGTCAAATTTTACAATTGTTTTTATCTCTGGTAAATGATATCATTTTCAAAACTGCCATGCAGACACACTTTTCATTTGTGTACTTGATAAAAGATCTTAACATTACAGTTAGAACAAGAAAGTAGCCATGGCCAGTTAAATGCATTTTCCAAACCTTACACCCATTACAAGAAAAGTCTGCATTTAAAATTTAATTCACAATGTGATCAGTTTCAGTTCTGGGAAGATGGTATTCATATCCCTTAATGGAAGAACATTGAAATTTATTGCATCACTGTGCTAAGACATTTAATTGATGAATGATCCTAAATCTAAAGATACAACCATAACAGTTTATTATGAGTCATCCAGCAGTAATTGTTTACCATAATGTTATGAAAAGCTAAATAATTTTTCTTTCAGGTTCATTCAAACCCTCTTCAGGTTCTGAGGTGTGCCATTCTTGTCAAGATGGATGGTATCAATTAAAAACTGGACAGACATCTTGTCTAGAGTGCCCAGAAGGACATTACTGCCCTGTAAGTCAATCATGTTTTTGTCTCAGTGGTTAACTAGAACACAACAATAGCCTCCAGTTGCTCAAAATTTTTATAGTATCACTGGACATGAATTTTCTGTTCTTAGAATTGAGCCATTTCCTTAAAGCTTGAAGACTCTGACATGCATTTTTTACACCAAATTGTGGTTTAAAACTGTCAACCCTTAATTATTCTTTTTATCATGAAAGCTGAGCTTTCAAGAAATGCTTTATGAAAAATATTTGCTGTGATGAAATGTAGCTTTTAAGTTGTCTGTGGTGCAGTTTTTGTTATATCTTCTTCTGTAACAACAATGTAATTTGCTCTTCCATCTTCAGTCACTCTTAATTAAACAAACAATTTCATTACTGTGCCTTGGACCACAGGCAGTCCAAGAATACTGGTTTTAAAAGTCACACAAACCAAAATTTCCTCAGTATGAAATATATCCTTTTGTCCATTAGCATTAAATCACTTTTTATTTCATTGAAGTTGATATTTCCGGAATATTACACAATTACATGGATAAATTAAGATCAAAATTTTTTTGCATTTTTGTGTGCTGTAAAAATGATAATGAGGATTAAAAAAATAATTATCAAGATTAAAACAAGGGTTAAATCTGATACTAGTTTTGATTTAAAAAAAAAAAAGTAGTGGTATATGTGGTTGTATTGATTGGGTATCGAGGTATTAAAAGACTAGCTAAGCAAGAGGTGAGGTGTTGATACTACCTGTGAATTGAACATACTGTAAACAATGATTGAATTTAATAAACAAATCAAATTTTCTTCACTGCCATTTATTGTATGCTTTTATTGCATGTGCTTTAGTGGCCAAACTCAGAACCAGTGCCATGTGATAAGGAGCAGATTTGTCCTCCAGGCAGTAGTGCACCAAAAGAAGACTGTAAAGGGTTGATGACTTTAAATAATGAAACTGAGGTACAGGAATTGTTTAATGGCAACATGGTTGAATCATCCCTCCAGCTTACTAGCCCACACTGTAGGAGTTTACATCAGTTTCCATGTTATAAAATGACTCAGGGTATTGTTTCTTCCCCCTGGATGGAATGCCTACAGGTAACGTCCCACCCCCACCCTCCCCCTCCCCCTCCCTTTCACCTGAGGCAACATTAGGCATTCCTGGCAGTTTTCTGGCACCCATTGATACTTCTGTCTGGGGGAAGATAGTGTGACAGTGAAGTGGTTTTTCCAAGTAAAAAGCACAATTACCCTGCTTCCAGCTTCTTGCAAGTAAGACTGACTTCAATTTTTATGTTAGACTGTTTAAATTACCATTAACAATGGCATATATGCTGCACTTACAGATAAGCAATGACACAATTTAATCTACCAGAAGACTTACCTGTGATAGTTCATTACTACGTATTTGATTATGTTTTAATTAGCCATTAAATGCACTGCCTAAATGGTTAAAAAACAACCCATTCTTTTATTTTTATGTTCTTGTGCGTATTTCATTTACAGGAATGTGAAATGAGCTCAATTGTTTATGCTCTTATCGCTGTTTCACTAGCAGGTACAAAACTTTTACACAAGTACAGGTCATTCCTGGAACTCAAGGAATTTGCATGACTGTATACTGGTGTCATATTTATTGCTAGGACCTAATTTCCATTGACTCTATAAGGTTTTTGTAATCTTGAATGGCTACTAAATATAAGAAGGGTGTTTCATGATGACTCGAGAAAGACTTAGTATGAACTTCTACTCTTTGGTTTTTTTTTGTAAGAACTGGGAGTGAATTTTATTTGTGATCTTAAGAGAGGATTGGAGGGAGCAGTCATACCTCAAGCTTTAATAAACGATTATTTAAGATTTTGAGAACAATCCCCTCCCAGCGAGGGGTGTGACCCATCCCAATAGGATAAGTTGTGTTGACACTCATGCGTCAATGGCTTCACAGAATAGACAGGATGAAAACCTATACTTGCCTTTTTTGTTTATTTTAGTGGTTGTGGCAGCTATTGGTTTTGTGATACTCCGAAAATATAGAAGGTAAGAAAACCTGCTCGGTTTGCAGCAGAGATATTCAGGTCTGTGTAGTATTGTCACGCAAAGCATCGCGTGACTGCTATTGCTTCGAACGTGTTTTTCCAAGCACAGTCTTTGGAGCTGTCTTTACACTTTCTTTTTTATTTTTGCAGAAATAACGAAACAAAACAGCGATTGCTAGAGAGACAACACCCAGTTTACACTGGTTGGTGAATATGGAAATTCACAGCACGACAAGAAAGATCGTTCTACTCAATGGTTGAATTACTTGCCTACTGTACACTTTGTCGCTTGGGAATGGGTAACGTAGCTAGGGAAGCTCCTCGGAGTATTAATGAATAACCCTCCCTACAGAGCGCCAGTTAATAAAGAAAACCCCGTTAGTTTATCCTAAAGTTTTCCCTTTAGAGGTTTATTAGCACGAGTAACAATTTACATGTAATAAGGTTTATATTTTGGATGTTGATTTAAGTCAGCACTATGGCAACATCATATCTAATGACAGACATTTGAATCGTTGGCCTAAATCCATGTACCTTATTATTTTAATGTTGCCTTAAATTTTTAAAATGCGAATAGCAGCGAAAGACGAGTTTATTTAGTTCCAAGTACATGATCATATACTTGTATGCGCGTGGTGTTAAAACTCCGTGGAGCCTCCTTAACTCGAGTGTCATTAAAATAGGCAGATGACTTAGTATGAATAATGCTTTGTATGAATTTAAGTTAAGTGATGACGTTGAGGAGAATTTTATCATTGTAACGATTCTTGCAATGATGTTCTTATTACACACGCATTTCCTCTCAGAGAAAAGGAAAAAAAATGAAATGAATTAGCTTTTCGTAAAATATTTTTTGACGTTGTGTAAATTCCACTGACATGTCATCAACACTCCCTTTGACTATAGTTGCCTTCTTGTTTAGTAGCAGAGAAATTTGAATCTCAGCGGTTAGGTCTTTCGGAAATGAACAACCCGGTCAAAACGGAGGTTTATGTGAACGCCCACCGCACTATTTTTGTATTTTGAGAGGAGATAGCTGGACACTCATTATGCGCATGTCCAAGGATGTAGTCAAGTATTTTGAGAGAAGGTAGCTAGACACTCGTTATGCGCATGCCTAAGTCCAGTTTTCCGTAAACAGAAAACATTTTATCGTGCTCTGGCGTAAACAGAAAGATTAGTGGTGTGAAAGTACGTTTTCGATTTCTCCATCCTTGCATGGCCGGTCCATCGTCCGCAGAAAAAACGGTCTTCCTCGTTTTCACTTGAGAACCTCTACGGACAGTCTTTGTCGAGAAAGAAATTTATGTAACAGTTACCGTAACAGTTTTAAAGTGACCTAGGGACGGACACATGATTTAAAGTATTGTTGACAAATATTTATTTTTGATAGCAACTTTGTGGGTGTATTGTAAGCAATGAAGAGATTCGCGCATTTTGTTGAACAGAATTATTCCCTTCCATCCATATTACTTCCCCCCTCATTTACATTATCGTCTGTAATTGTTTAGTCATCGAATACCACGAACAGACAAGTAAGCATCAGTTTTCTCTCTCATTAAAAATTTTTCGGTCAGATTTTAAGATATCTTTCGATCCATGTCAGTGTCTGAGCAACGACACACCTACCCCTCCCTTAACTTAACATCAGTCAACTGACAACAAATTAAGGTTAGTGTTGGATTATGGGAAGGGTGGGTGCGCAGTTCCTCACTCACCTCCCGGACATGATCTATATTTTCAGTGTGGGCGTTTTTCTAAATATGGCAGGTCCGTTTACAATTCGCTCTGTGGGAAGTAAATAGGAGTTTATGTTATTAAGATGTTTTGTTTTCCAATAAATTTTGCGCCTCTGCGTGATAGAATTTTGTCTTGATCGGTCTGTTTCGTACTGTAACTGTAGAAGTTATGATAGTGAAATTTGCGATGCGCGAATGTAACATGGGCCATTAACTTGATCCTGATACTTAAAGTCATGCATCTTGTTTTGTTCTTTTTTTCATTAGCCTGCAGTACAGACGTCTTGTTAAGGCGAGTTGACGTTAAAAAGCTTGCGATCTTTTATTCGACCGGCCACATTTGAGTAAGAGTTAGAGTGGACTATGGGTGGAAGGGGTGGGTAAAGACAAAATTTGTATATCCCCACCTCTCTCCTCTCCTTTCTTTGGATCGTCGCTCACCCACTTAGCACAAATTTCTTTCCCTCGCCAGCCTTCCGCTGTTGTAAAATTAAAAATGCTAGCTGTTTCATTTGCAACAAGAATATACTGAACACTCGCTTGCCAAAATTACGCGTAATCTGCAGGCTATTTATTGAATCCGCAGTTTCACCGACTTGTATAATTCGTTAACCTTTTAACCCATAAGAGTGACTAGCGTCTAATTTCTCCCGTCAATATCATCCCTGAAGTACACAATAGGATCATGAGAATTAAGGAAATGATCATCAACTAAAGAAGCTCTTGATTGTTAAACAAATTCTCCTTGTCAGCACCTTAGGAAATTTATGGAGAACAGTATGGAGAATATGCGTGAATACGATAAGGTGTGAAAGGTTAACTCTTTGTTGTTAGTAATACTGGGAATTTTTAGTAAACTTCATTTCAAAAGACAAGAAATGTATGCAGAGAAAACTCGAGTGAAACGGATCCTGAAAAATTCAGACTTCCTCTTCTCGTCGAAAATATACTTTTTTGAAGGCCTCTTTTCTGCATTGCTTAAATTGTAGTACACTAGCGAGCATCATCTATTTGATTGACTTTCATCCAAAGGTTAAATGAAATGTATTTCATTACAAGTTGTTGATACAAAACCCATTACCCTGGTGAGCCCGATAATAACATCACTGAACTACTTCATCAGCTTCTAAAGCGAGTTTAAATGCTGGCTCTCTCTTCTTTAAAAGACAGAAACAGTCTTGGCGTAGTCTGGTGCCCGTTAAAAGGGATCTCATTTTGCCCGGCCGGTGAACTGGTCGAACATAAACCGGCAAAGGTTCTAAGATCTTCTTGTGAGCGTCGCCTTGAACCATCGACTGTTCCTGGAACACTACGAGATTCTACTGCGATGCTATTTAACAGTCTACCTCAAGACATTAAAAATTGTACAGAACTCAAAGTATTCGACAGTAAATGCAGAAATCATTTTATGACATTGGCAACAAATAGTTCCTAGTCCTACTTATATATCTTGTACATACTTTATGTCTCATGCCAGTATTACTTTCATACGCGCGTATCTATATTATCCATAAATTTTACATCATCAATATTATACAATTTTACATGTGCTATCCATAACTTATGTATATATATTATTTATGTAATTATACATCTTGTTGCACGTTATGTATTTATCCATATATTTATTTCAACCATTATATTATTTTATTATATCCATAATGCATATTTTATCAATTGTGCAATTTTTTTTAATGAATTATTACAGAAGAGCCACCATGTGGAGTACTAGTAAACCATTATTATTATTATAATTATTATTATTATGCAATCAAACATGATCTTACCGAGGATTACCAAAATCTTAAAGGATAATTGGGGGTAGCCACTCAACATTCCGAGATGATTGAGTTGAAATCTAAAACAAGTGCGGACTTTGCTTTTTTTTTTTTGAAAGTGAAGGAAAATAAAATTTCTCTGGCAAATCCTAAAGAGCGATTTTTAAGAAGTTTACCTTTTTTTATACGTGACGCGCGAACTTCTCCGAATTCCTGCGTGAAACGGGATCAGGATTCAAACCCCCCCCTCCCTCCTCCTTTTTGCTTTCAATTTTTAACAAGCTGCTTTTAATTTTCGAACGCATGATCAGGAAAGAACTATTTCATTTTAGCACGTTTAACACCTCTTTCTTGCTAGGTGACTGTATGTGTAAACTGATGTGTTAGCTTGCATGAGGTAATTACTGGAGAGCGTAACCTGTAGGTGCTGTTCACTGCATTCGTTCTCCGCACTTAATATATAATCAAAAAGCGTATAATTGTTCGAAGAGTAGGAAGCTCGTTAAGAGGTGATACCAAGAGAAACAGTCGTTCCCAGTCGGGTCTTGGTATATTTTACACATTGTGTTGAGGGGCATGGGAACTAGGAGGAGCGACGCTGGTCAGCAGTAAAAGGGTTCGCCGCTTTTTGATCAGAGAGTGTTTGTTAAAGCAAACAAATCCAATTCAGTTTTGAACAAAGTGATATAACAAGCCGGTGAGTCCAAAGAAAAACGAAAACCAGGCCAGAGAAGTGTTAAACGTTATTCTACCAACTTTGAACCCACAGCTTCGTTCCTTAGCGTAAGAGATAAACAGAGCAATGTTGTTACGTTTGCGAAACGGATGTCCTGTTTCCCAAACTGTGGTACGGTTAATTTCCTCGTATATTCCTTTAAAAACAGAAAAAAAGTCTATTAATTTTGCGTTTCAAGACATTTTCTGCCACTAAGCGACTGGTCATTCTACCAAGCGGTCCGTTTATAGTCTCTCGATTTTGTCTGATCCCCCATAAGGCATTGTAATAATAACCCCGCCGGGGGGGAGGGATGAAGTGCCTTTGATTGGCGGTTATGTTTGATTTTGGTTTAGTTTTACAACACTCGCTAAAAGCACTGGGTTCGAGATTACTCACCAGCACAGCTGCTTGTTATCCTGGCCGCAAAATAACAAGGGAACACGAACAAGTAGAAGCAACAAAACAACAGCACGCAAACGAAAACGTATTCCGACGCTGTCGTATCATATTTAATTTCCTCTGAAATATATATGACAGTTACAACCACACCAGCTCCATAAGTCAACCAGTGCACCACAAACCACACACTGTAGGCTGACACTGTATTGAAAACAACTTTGCAGAGGTCCTCATGAATTTTGATGATGTCATCTATAGATTCGTCTTCAACACCCCCTACATTTCGAATTAGCCTGGTGACATCTTGAGCAAAAGTTCCTGGAAGATAGATCAGAAAATTCGATCTATCATTCCATTGAAAGTTATTTTTACCATGATGCTAGTCCTGCGATTTCATCGATATTTTTACAAGAAGCTTTGTGGCCGATTTATTTACACGTTGTAGTGACATCTGATTCAAGAAAAGATCTCGACAAAGAAGGATCAATTAACAACCGAGTGGCTTTCGAATGTTTCCTTCACAAATTTGTTCAAGACGTTATACATGAGCATCATTCTAGAAAAGTTGTGACTAATTGAGAGGGATTGTTATAGCTACCCATACTAAAACGGCGGCAAAATAAACTCCGAGAATCCGATCCTTTGCTATTCACTTCCGAACAATACGCGCAACATTTGCGCCCGAAAATGTTGTAATCGCTGCAGATGATAACTGAGTTAAAATCATCTTTCTGTGCTATATTATGTCACTGTTTAGTACATGCTAAAACAACAATTCAATGTCGGTGGCTTGCTGTGGATGATTTACCTCACCGCTTCGCGGCTCGGAAATATCCATCAGTAGCCATCTCTACTTCGGTGAATAGTTGCTTGCTTATTATCTGTAATTTTAGAAAGATTTTGATAAAATTAAACTTAGATGCCTATGTTATGTATTACGAATAACAACATACCAATAGCCAAAGAACTGACAGCGAAGACTTGGCAAGTGTTGACTGATGCCACGTAGACGAAAAGCTGTGCACCTGTACCAGTAATGGCGGCAATCGTGTAATGAGGATCTCGGATTTCACTTCCCTTTGGTAATGTGTACAGCGACGCACCCAAGCCTACAAACGACACAATAATTAAAACATACGGTAGAAATAACAACCACGCGTCGCTTTCGTTGATGTCTTTCATCAAGGTCTCTGAAGGATATACCAGCGCTGAATCTAAACGACTGGCAGTGAAGAAAGAACCGATGAAGAATATGTACGAAATAAGAGCGGCAAAAGAGACTATTGTGAAAACAGTATTCCCTGTAGCTACGACACCGTGAAGGGCTTTGTCGCTTGTTAAATTCGGTTTGAAATGACAGTCGAAGTTCGGACAGCCAAAATCAGTGTACATTCGGTAAACGACTTGGTAGAAGCTAATCACCAAGAACAATATGCGAGGAATCCAGTTCAAACACTGATATCCCCATAATCAAAGCAAACTGAATGAACATCTGAGGACAATGAGAAGGATTCGAGGAAATCCACCAATGGCTTGCTGCCCTCTGCCTTCTCGAAAGCGATCAAAAATCGTTTGATCGTTCTGCTCTGTTGACTCAGTTGTTGCATTCGGTTCATTTGGTTGTACAATTTCTACCCTTTCATCGTTCTGTTCATTAGATTGGTGCGGTGTTACAAATACTTCTCCTACTTTGTTTTCTGCCATTCTGGCGGGTTAAAAATTCAACGCCGTCAATTTCTGTGTGAAATATTTACCATTTACAAAAAAATTTCCTGAAGTCTGAGCGATACCTAAAATATGCCCATTTCAAGCGTGACGTCACATCACGTGACTACGGCGAACTGGAGGACAACCAAATGCAAACAAATCTTTTGATTCCATCACGCGTTACGATCGAAAAGAGCAATAAGGCAAAATATTTTGAAGTTCTTGCGCCATGGTTAACTTTTGTGCCGTTTATGAGTGCTCAAATCGTTCTAATAGAGAAAAGGATCGAAGTTATTTTCGACTGCCAGCGATAATAACAAGATCGAACGACGAAAAGCAAGCCCTTAGTAAGGAACGTCGAGCAAATTGGCGAGCTAGGATACGAAGAGATGATCTTTCTTCAAAGCCAAGTGATTTTGTAAGAGTTTGCAGCGACCATTTTATATCAGGTACGTCAAGATATATACACCAAGATTCGAATTTCGGAAAAAGTGAACGACTCGGACTTTCGATCGAATGTTGTTGTCAATTTGTAAGTCATAAAGTGTATGTTGCTAGTATCTCGTGTAGAAAATGCAGACATGTTTGCTTTATATTTCTTAGGCAAGCCTTCGTCAATTTACGATAAAGACAACCCCGACTGGGCTACTACTCAAAAGCTTGGTTATGATTGCAACAAAGTGACAGAGTCTAGCTAAGAGAGGTATAATCGGGCGCAAGAAAGAGTTGAAAAACGACGAAGGAGCGAGGGCGCCATTGCTTTATTGGAACTGTCAAAAGCAACCATGGAAGAGACTATGGACACCGGTGTTACTGTGGAGGAATCAAATTGTAAAGCTTGCCAGACTGAGACTGGGGCCACAGCACGAGTGCCTGAGGGGAAACGCTTTTGGGAGGGCTCCAATACCCCTCCAGCAGCAGGTTTTGGCGTTGGTTTGGTCTATATCAAACTCGGAAGTGATACGCGCTGTATCTGACAGATTCGACGTCACTATGAGCAGTATGGATAAGATTATACGTCGGGTATCCAGAGCATGCATGGATATGAGACAAGAGTACATCAAATGGCCCAATCGTACGTTGCGTATAAGCGAATTATGTCAATCATATTTTTAAAATAATTTGTCTCTGTAATTCTGTAATTGAGTTACAAATTCTTAAAAAAATCAATGACAATATGGTTTTAAACAAATAAACCAAGTAATCTCAGTTTAATAGGTGAGAGTTTCTTCATCCTTACAGCTAATTTCCATAGCTTTGGGTTAGGTGGCTCTGAATGAAATTCTGAACTCAAGAAAACAGGAAGAGGGAGGAATTTGCTTTGCTCTGTTTTGAGGTCACTTTGTTATATGATTTGATGCTGATATTCCCTGCAGGTAATGAAATGAATGAAACAATGCAAAATATGTGCATAGAAAGAAGTTTCATTCTCTTGTTACACGGGTAAGTGTCATGTTTCTCTCTTTTTGTAATGCTTATTGAAAATATGTTATTTGCAAGAGTAATTTCTAAATGTCAAAGCACTTTAAAGCTTTGATCACTGTGACGATAGGTTTTCCGCCCCAAAACTGGGAAACTGAATCTTCGCGGACGGCACAATAACAACTGGGGGAACTAACTCTGTAGAGACGACTTGGCAGCGAGAACGGAAACTCGTCACGATTTCCTGGTACACGGAGATCTGCTTCGAGCGAGCTTATACGGACGTCAAGGATAAGACAATCTTTGGTTCCACAGTACTTTTATTCTAGGTCAGGCCAACAAGCGACATGACCTCTAGCATACTCTAGTTTGTAATCAAAGCTGTACAAGGTACTTGCTTAAGAAGTAACTGGTGCGAAGTGCTATTGTTACACAAATCGCAATATTTGAATAAGGACACAAAGGAGCGGAAAAAAGTCTCTTTGAAGTTAAACGAAAACTACTTAATTATTCCATCTGTTTCTACGACGGAAAGAATCTCAAAATTAAAAAGACGGATGCAATAAACTTTAGGCCATTAAAGTAGGAAATCTAGGTGGAATTTACAGCTCTGGTATAGAAAACAATACCTATCTTAATTGCAGTAGCGCAGCTCAGGAAATAAAAAACGAAAAAGCAATTAAAAGTTTCTGCTTATTTATACAAGATTGGTTTGGAAACCATTGCATGAAAAGAAATTAGATTTACGAGTATAAACTCAGCTGCTATCTACCATGAAAACCAATGTTTCCAGAAAGACCATTAACACTTATATTTACCTAAAAAACCCATGTACTAGATGACAAAA